CGCTGGTTCACTACGATGTCCCCCAAAAGTGCCTCTGCTGCAAGGCAGGGAAGCCTCGAGCGATGATGGGGTGAAGTGATGTAACTTCCTGTGATGCCACCTTGATTGAATGAGTATACGGATAATGATTCACCCCCCCCTCCTCCTACCCGGCGATCTTAGGAATTCTCATGACTGGGTCACGATTTCCTGTTGTTTCTGTCTCGTTTGTATTGTTTATTAAAATGTTCTGTCTTTTTTGTGTGATTAGCATCAATCTTCCTTCGCACTAATGGATTTCTCTTGCGAAACTGACTCTTAAGTGTGAGTTAATTCTCACCTGGTTGAGCAATGACAGTCCATCACGAGGATGATAGTCATGGCAATTAAAATTATTATCACAATGTAAGGGATCGGTTCGTAGACTTTGAGACTAAATGTGCCTAAGAATTTTATTTCAACGGATGCAATTTTAACGCAGTGACAGCGACGGAACAGCTGTCTTGGTCACAATCAACTCTATTGTACGAGTGTCTGACTAGCGTGGTGAAGGAGCTGTCGGGATTGGTGGCAGAGAGGGTTGGCTCGAGGGGGATGTGGTTTTTGGGGGGGCTGGTGAGTGACAGGCGAAAGGGGACGTTTCGGCTTCAACTGCTTTGCGAGCCAGGAAGCGAACGCTGCTGGCCGCATGCCACGCGCGCGTGCGTGAATCTGCCCTTGTGTGCGTGTGTGTGCGTGTGTGTAACCTCCGTGTGTCACTGCGTGATAGTGTCATGACAGGCGGGGGTGGTGGCGACAGCGGCGGCGGGAGTGACGTGCGAGGGACGCGATGCGTTGCGAGTGCTCTTTGTGCTTGTCCGTACGTCAGCGGTGCCTTTCGCGGCCGTTGGAATAATTGTGGCGGTGGTAATTGTGAGTCTGGATGACGGACACGGATATATTGCACGATGTAGGTTTTTCTTGTTTAATGTTTTTTACCCGGGAAAGTCTCGCCGAGTCTCAAGACTCGTCTTCAAGAGGGCTGCGATATGTTGGAATGTTTGGCCAATTCCCCTATTGGAGTGCCTGGGGATACAAACCCATAGCAGTGGAGAACACTCGCGTATCGCACAGATCTCTTTGTCAGAGATATATCCTCCAAGGCACAATTGTGCCTTTTGCTCACATGTCTAACAAGTGTGCCGTTCTGCAGAAGAAAAAACAACTTGTGCCAATTGTTAATAAAAACAAAATTGGTGACTCATCCTTCCTCAAGGTGGCCTCTTGACTGACTCATCCACTCTCTCTGTTAGTATAACGATTCATAAACGTTATTCAACACGTTTTAAAATATATATAATTCTCTCACTGAATGGACCACAAGCAAGCTGTTGCACATTTCTCTGGGTACATCTACGCACGGGGTGGGAGAGGTGGTTTTTGTAGGAACCTGGCCACCTGAGTTTGAAGGCTCAGCGAACAAGTGGGCAGCAGTGTTTGAATCGGTTCTGGGTGCCCGCTTCACCAGCCCGCACTGACCACCATGGTGAAGTGTGGTCAAACAAGCCCCTTGTGCCTGACACATTATGGGGTGGGGTGCTTTTTCCAGCATGAGACTCACAAAAAGGCTGTTGTACATTTAATACATGTGTGTGATTACATATGCCACCTTCATCAACAACCATGGTCAATCCACTGCTGGACAAAGGCCTCTCCAAGCCAACGCCATCTCTTACTGATCCAGCAATGTAATAATCCATTAGCACCTCCACTCCATCTCTCCGGTGGACGTCCTACGCAGACACGTTCCATTCCTTGGCCGATTACGTAGACCGTGTGTATACACGAGTATACACTGCGTGCACACCGTACACACACAGGTACACGCACAAAATACACGCGCCATTTGGGATTTTACAAAAGCGTATAAATGTGACCGCATCCCACGGCGGACGTGCGTAATGATGTGAAGGGCCCTCGTTAGCGAGTGAGTAATCGGCAAAGCGAAGGCTTGGAGAGCGGCACTGCCAGGTGCCCGTGGTGGCGCAGCGAGCCAGTGCCAGAGGCCCGTGTTCCTCTCGCGCCATTCCTTGCCGCCCCCTTCTCCGCCGACGCAGCCGCTCAGATTCGCACCCTAAATTTGGCGATGGCGGCGTTGGCGTCCCGAGGGCGTCCGGGCACGGTCGATACTGATCCCTACCGCTGGTTGGAGCCTTTTGTGTCGGGGTCGGTGAGGTGAGCCAGCGGAATGGCTTCAAGAGTAGTCTGGTGAATATATGATGGCGTGTTGCCAGCGAATGATCGGAGTAGACAGTGGCTTGCTATGTGGTCCATGGCTTGAGTTATAATAATAACAATTCCATTCATATAGCGCTTGTCATCAAGGATCTCAAGGCGCTGTTATAGATTGCCATGGAATTCCCATGGAGATTCCTTTAGAGATGCAATGACTCGCATGGATACCCCCATATACTTAAATGTACACTTCTTTCGTATGGGTGGGGAGTTGATCGGCACGATGCTCGTATCTTGAAATGCTGCTGCTGACTCGATCGTAGGGAGCAGTGGCATTACTATGTTGGGTCACAGTTGAAGATTGGTGGGCTAAACTTTAATTGTCCACTGTATAGGAGGGAGATGGCCACATCTGCCCTGGGATGTTCAGACTGATGCGGTTCAGTATAAACCATTGTCTGACATGGGTTGAATGTTCATCCTCGTCTTTCCTCCACGAAATCAAAACCGGCCACGTCCTTTCGGCGCTGTTGGGAGGCGCGCTGTAAAACGCTCAGCAGCACTAGAGGAGTGTTGGATTTCATCAGGGGCTACGTGCAGGCGGGAGCTTTTTTCTGTTTCGACATCAATCCCGTCCACTGGCCGATTCTCACGCGTTTTGCCGCGGCTGCACAAGCGAATTGGGCAACAAATTAATAAATAAACGGCTTGATTCCTCCTTTTTTGGGCAACAGCAAATTAATGGGGAAACATGAAAGAACGGTCAGAGGGGCAAGCGGGTCAAGTGAGCGTTACATAAAAAAAATATGGCAAAGGCCAATCAGGCGTTTTTTGGCCGCCCGTCATTGTTTATGTTACAATTCCGTCTGTCCGGCTGCTCCCGCCGTGCTGCGGTTTCACGGGGCCGATATCGCGGACAGGGATCGTGTTTACGCGCGGCGTGCAGCGTGCAGCAGCGGCTAATCGAGTCAAAACGGAGAACAGGCACCGCTCGGCCGAGCGCCCGACCGTTTGGTGGCATTGCTCGCTCGCCCGCCCGCCCGCCTGCCAACCAGCCTGCCCATTGGTTTTAAAACATTTTGTTTTTCGGTAGCGAAGGGAGTGGTTTTGTGGGCGGCTTGTTTGTCGTCAATGGCGTGTGAGTGCGTGTGTACTGAGCAGTGTGGGGAGTCGTGGGTGTTGGTGGTTAGCCCACTGGGATAAAATAACGGTGGCCCCGGCTAACGTCGGTGTAACGTCGGTGTTGAGTGATGTTAGAGCCCGGTGCCGGGTCTGCCCTTGATAGGCTCGGACGGTGAGCGGGCGTGGGTCAGGCCACACCAATCCGTTGTATGCCCTGCCCGCCTTAATCGGTGCTCACTTACAACCATGGCCTAAACAGTCTGTATTGCTATGCAAGGTTTGGTAAGCATGCATGTAACGATGGCTCTATGCACCAATGTAAATTCCATTCTTAAGCTCTATGATGCACGTGTCAAGTCGGGATGTTGCGTGGAGGCTAATAAGGCAAGCAGAACTGTACAAGCGAAATCAAGATAACTGGAGCTAGAGTGAGAACGAAGATGGCAAAATGTATCTATTGTTGATGAAATCGCAATGAATAGAATCACATTTTTGTAGGGGAAATGGGTTAGCGCCACATTGGCCCACCAACCCAAACTTCATTGCTTTTATCACAAATCCTCACTTGTAAAATGGTGTCCGATTCTGATGTATATAAGTTGAACGTCTTCCGCGCTGTACGTAGCCAACCGTGCTAATTGGAGGTGGGATACCAGCACCATCGTCACCTCGCCAAGTCCGATGATTCCTCCTATGATGATTGGCTGTTGTGACGACGTGTCTGTGCGCAAACAAACGTACGCCTGCGGAAAGGCAGACGGACGGGGGTCGGTGTTTGGGCCAAAACTCACCGCAGCAACCCACCATGTGCTCTTAAGTGATTCTTAATCGGTTGCTGAAGAAGTTCCCAGCACGTGGAACAAAACGTTGGACATCGTCCAGAATAGAGGTTTTTAGGGTTTTGGGAATTAAACCCGACACGACCCTAAAACGTCGCAGAGCTATTAGTCTCTTTTGCCACTTGTATTACTCTGTGAAAGCCCAATCAGATGACTAATATCCCAATGGCAAAGGAGATGCGTGGTAAATACAGTGGCCAAGTCAAGGTCGAGAGGTCATCAGCATTTAAAATGAGGTCACACATATTTTTTTTACAAATTACGTAATTTGCGTAGTTTATTCGTCACACTATCGCTGCTGTGGCCACCCTGCGTCTCTATCACTTATTTCCTTTTGCTAAATCCCAAAACGGTTGTAAAGTTCGACTCTCAGGCCCTCCGAGAGCCGCCCTTGCAGGATTCCACCACGCGCGGGGTAGCTACGAAAGATTGCAGCAACATCGAGAGTGCATCACATTCGCAGCAGAGGTCGCAAACGGGTTTTGATTCCTTACCCGTACCCGGCCGCACCAGGGTCGCGTACGGGTACCCGTTCCCTACCCGTACCCTACAAGAAATGAGTGGCAAACGGTTACTCACCAGTGACTCACGGCCTACCCGTACCCGTACCCGGCCGCACCAGGGTCGCAAACGGGTACCCGTACCTGGCCGCGTACGGGTAGCCGGGTATCGGGTAGGGTACGGGTATCGGGTACCCGGTTGCGACCTCTGATTCGCGGGTGCTCACTATAATTAACAACAGCGCTTCTCTTAACCGTCTACCCGGCTAACAATGGTGCCCTTGGTGTGTGTGTCTGCGTGTGTGTATGTGTCTGCGTGTGTGTGCGTGTGCGTTCACCCTTGTAGTTTGATCGTCCGGACGGTTCCGTCCTGGCTCCTCCCTGCAACTTGGGCCCCGGCTATGGAAGCTCGGAGAGCACCATCAGCCTGGACGGCGTGGCCGATGCCGGCGGGCTCGTTATCATCAGCGGCGGCGGCGGCGGGATTGGGATTGCGGGGGGGCTGGCGAGCGGCCCCGGCGGATCGCCAGACCCCCAGCGAACCAGGGCGGCCATCGAGCACCTGTCGCAGAAGATCCTCAAGACCACGGAGCAGATCAAGGTGGAGCAGGCGGCGCGCGACGAGAACGTCGCCGAGTACCTAAAGGTGACGCGCGCACGCACGACGTTCTGACTATAATTTGGGGGGAGGGGGGGCCCGCGGGGTGAGGGAGTTTTTTGGGAGGTAGTCGATTGGGGGTTCATCATGGCCCTTGTCGAAGTGTTCAGCTGGTCACTGCCAATGAGGATTCTGGGTTTGAGTGGATTCCAACCATCCCAACCGTGAGTTGATGGTCTCAGCCTGGTCACCAATGACTTGCGTTGAGACCACAAGACTCGCACATGAGGATGCATCAAGCGCCAAATAATATGGTTCTATAAAAGTCATATGTTTGTTAACCAGTGATGATGGGACATGGCTCTGGTTTAGAAGGGCCAGTCACTCTTCCCCCGAGTTTTCCAATTCCTGGAATCCTTGACATGTCGTATGCATGGCCTAACCCATATTTTCCAGGGGGCTCACAGCATTTGCTGCATTATTTAATGAGTATGTAACTCTTCGTGGTCACCCACCCGGTTAGATTCGCAGCCATTTCCCCTGTTGCCATGGGAACGTTATGAAGTGTTAGAGGCTACGTAGTTAGTTTTATTCAGGAGTTTATGCAACTTTACAGTTGAAAGATTGCACTTTTTTGTTAGTAGTATGTAAATTTACATTACTGTAAGACTGTACTGTTACTGTATTGCTTACGTTACTGTGCACTGAAAACACTTATTTTAACAGAAGATGTCTGTTTTGTATAGCTACCTCTGTAAAACAGGAAGCACACATTTTATTTTTTAATATTTTATTTATTCATTTTTACAGAAGTTGTAGCATATTCATTTTGTAAAGCTACAGAACTTGTTCGACTCAATGTTTTGTAAGTTTGAGCCATCTGTTTGTTAAGGTCTGAAATAAAACAAGATGAGAACTTAAATATTCCCAGCACTTTCTGTGATGTAGTATGCTTGCTTATCATAGGAAGTAATAAGAAATGACTCTTTACATTAAAATAGGGTGTTGGGGGAATCACGTTTTTTTCTCTTGATTAACGCTGCTGTGCTGTACCGCCATCTGCTGGCTGGAGGTTGTTATTGAGTCTAGTTTTAGCTCCTACTCTATTGCTCACAACTCAAAGGGGTCTTTCTCTGTATGCAGGGCAGAGTTGTCTAGCTGTAGTCATTTAGTTCTGGACTCGCTAATGTTTTTCCCAAATAAATTTTGACCCTTGACTATCCTTTGCCCTGGACTAAACAACACTTGACATGGACTCACTAACCCGTGACCTGGACTAAATAACATGTGAGCTTGACGATGGATACCGCAGCGAGGTTATGACAAAAACTGATGCAACGGAGTCTGAGTCTGGAAGATAGAGAAGTGGGAGAGCTGGGATCAGCTTCATGGGCGAGACATTGTCGACAGAGACTTGGCACAATGGAATCTAACAAGAACAGCGTGAGGGAAGGCGGCAAAAGAGTGGAGGGGGTGGATGAAACTCGCGTTGACAGCACGTACTGTAACACAACGCTGCCTGGCGACGACGACGACGATGACCTTGACTTGGGACTAACTCAACTTTCACCTCGACAAACCGTCGACGTTGACCAACCAACTCTCGTGACCCCTCCCTGACCTCCGCGCAATCCACACAGCTCGCGAACAACGCCGACCGGCAGCAGGTGGGGCGCATCAAGAACGTCTTCGAGAAGAAGAACCAGAAGTCGGCGGCGGCAATCGCGCAGCTGCAGCGCAAGCTGGAGGGCTACCGGCGGCGCCTGCGCGACGTGGAGCTCAACGGCGCCGGGCCGGGGGGCGCCGGCCTCGGGGGCGCCGGCCTCGGCGGCCGCCCGGCCAAGGGCGTCCTGGGCGGCGTGACGCAGGGCCTGAGGGGCGTCTCGACGAGCGTGCGTGCCGGCATCAGCGGCTTCAGCGAGGGAGTCGTGGACAGCGTACGCGGGGGCCTCTCGGGTCTCTCCCAGGTGCGTGTGGGGTCGAGGGGGGAGGGAGGGGGTCGTTGGGAGGTGGAGGTCATGGGCTGTTGTTGGTGCGGTGTGTACGTGCGTGTACGTGCGTGTACGTGTGTGTATGTGCGTGTACGTGCGTGTACGTGCGTGTACGTGCGTGTACGTGCGTGTACGTGCGTGTACGTGCGTGTACGTGCGTGTATGTGCGTGTACGTGCGCATGTGTGTCTGTGTGTTCAGGGCTCGCACTGCCTGGATCAGTGACCAAACAGTGTTAGTTTAGTCGCCATAATTTAGTCTGTTTAGTTCGATTCAAGTGGACTGCATCCTTTAGAATTTTTGCCAAGTCTCAAGTCTGTGGGTTTAATTTAGTCAGCAATTTTCCATTAAAATGTTTATTAAACGCTAAATTAACACTGGACTGTGTTTATTTAGTCAGATTTTATAAATTTTCACAGCCAAATGAAATCCACATACTTAGGACGTGACTAAAATTTCACAGGTTGTTGTCAAATAGACCAAGACTAAAGTAGGACTGCCGCTCATCGGATTATTCTAGATTTGTGGGACTACGTTGTGGCTGGTCGAGGGCAGTGCAGAAACATCCATGGTTGTCGTGTACTTCCATGCTCCCACATATATGCTTCTCCGCCTTGACCAACCCTGCCCTGATCCGTGTGATGAAATTCACTCGAATAACTCCCACGACCCGGGCAGCGTTGGGAAGCCCTCGTCCGGCAGTGGATCGACACAGGGGCCGTTACGAGCGCGCGTACATCCGTCTGCTCGACTCTTTATCGCTTCGTCCCGCTCGCTCTCCGTCGGTGTAGGTGACGCACAGCGCGGCGGGGGCTGTGGTGTCGAAGCCGCGGGAGTTTGCGACGCTCATCCGCAGCAAGTTCGGCAGCACCGACAACCTCAATGCCCTGGAAGAGGGTGGCGGTGGTGCAGATGACTCCGCTGTGTCCGGTACTGCATGCGTGCACACGTGCAAAACACTACGCTTGCACGCAGCGCGCGTGCGCACACGGCGTACGAACGCGATGCCGGACACGCGCAACGCACGCAATGGTGAGCGGGCCTAGCAGGAGTGATTCTTGGTTCGAAAATCGATTCGTACGCTCACTTGGTACACCGAATTGTGCGTGTGTGTCCGTGCGTAGAAGTCTATTATTTACAATCTGTGTTAATTATATACAAATGTTATCGTTAGCTTAATGAAACAAACATCAATAAATATATACATACAAGGCAACCTACGGGTCACCGCCTAGAACAATGCAGCACAAAAACGATACAGGCTCAAAGCGATTCTTGACACAAAATCACGACCCCCCCTAATTGCGATGGTTCTTTGACTCGCGAGGCGGTGGGAGTCGACAGATCGTTGACGTAGTCGTGCCGAACGTAGTCAACCGCGCTAATCGCTAATCGGAGGCGCTCCACGAATAACGACGCCATCGCCTCTAACGAGCCCCCTCGCAATCCCTCGCAGGCGACGCCCACCACTCGTCCCCGCGCCTGTTCGGCAGCGACGACGAGGACAGCTCCAGCTCTACGTCCGACTCCGGCGGCGGGGGGGGCAACAGCACGTCAGGTCCCGGGGGACCCGGCAGCCCCCGTCCAGGGGGGCCGTTGTTGTCCGTCGGGGGGGGCGGCGGCTGGGGGACGTCGGAAGGGACGTTGGCGGCAGCGGTGGTCGGCGGAGGAGGTGGAGCGGCGGCGCAGCTGCAGCTGGGCTCGGCGGGGCTGGAGGCGATTTTGGAGGAACTGCGGGAGATCCGGGACGCGCAGTGCAGGCTGGAGGAGGCGCTGGGGGAGCTGAAGAGCCAGAGGCAGCATGACTACGCGCTCATCAATCAGGCCCTGCACGAGGAGCACTTCAAGTGAGAGACGATGACGCGGCGAGGCCCATGAGATCAATCGCTTGAATTCTGTTTTGGGAACGTGCGTTTGTCTGGGAAAGCCTCACGGAGTTTCGAGTCTCTCTCTCTCTTTTCCCAATCGAGTAATTTGTTGAGAATTCAGTTTTTGTGTTTGGTCACCATGTTACATTGCAAGTGTGCTGCTGCCACTGATGTTGCATTGTCAGGAGAAAACTAAATGTATATAGCCGAGACGAACATTCGAATCATTAATATAAAATTATAATCGACTACTTTTTTGGGGTCAATTACTTGGGGCCCCTTTAACAAAAGTGACCGTCGCCCCGTACAGCCCATGGGCAGTAGCGAGGACTGCAGTTGAGAAACACCGGTCTGTACTGTTTCTCACCTGTTCCATCTGTCTCAAATCTTCCATTAGCCCCAAGGTAAATTGTAAATTATCTACTGTCATGCACAAAATTATGTGCGTGTTACACCGTGATTGTAAGAATCGATTGTAGCTGATGAGACGTTGGGCGGTGTAGTTTTAATCGCGGGACGCATTTTGTCGTGGGCGGCCGCAGGTTTGAGCGTCTTGAGGAGCAGCTCAACGACCTGACGGAGCTCCACCAGAACGAGATGATGAACCTAAGGCAGGAGCTGGTGAGCATGGAGGAGAAGGTGGCGTACCAGGCCTACGAGCGAGCACGAGACACGCAGGTAAGATCCCCATCACCAGCTCACCCGCTCACTCGACGCCGACCTACGACAGTCGCCGCTCACCCCTCACCCCTCTCCCCCCACTCTTCGCCCTCTCCACCCGCGACTCCCAGGAGGTGCTGGAGTCGTGCCAGACGCGCGTGTTGAAGCTGGAGCTGCAGCATCAGCAGCAGCAGGTCGTGCAGCTGGAGGGGCTGGAGAGCGCGGATGCCCGTGCGCTGCTGGGCAAGCTGATCAACGTGCTGCTGGCCGTGGTGGCCGTGGTGCTCGTGTGCGTGTCGGCCGCCACCAGCTGCCTGGCACCGCTACTGCGCACTCGCGGCGGCGTGCTCTCCACGCTCATGGCGCTCGCCGCCGCCGCGCTCACCTGCCGCCACTGGGACGCAATCGCCAGCATAGTCGACGGCATGCATGGGCAGGGCCACTCGGCGCAAAGCTGACGAGCCGAGTGCGGGCGAGCCAGCCGTTGAACCGGCTTCCCTCGCTCCCACCCGTGACCCGTCCACGGCCCTCGTTGTTAACGGACCGGACTGCCTGAAAATTGAGCATTGACAGAGAGGAAGTGTGATTTTTTTTTTTTTTACCGCACCAACGACGCACATTGCGCCGCGGATGTCTGCGCTAAAATCTCAGCAATCGATGTATTGATTGACGAAGGGCCCCCTTGCAGCCTTTGTGGCATTGGGAAAGACTTTGTGAAGGCCCCAACGTTTAGCTCGCCTGTGTGTGCCCATCGTGGCGATTGTCCGTGGATTTGCAGTCCGGCTACTTGCGACAAAAGCCATCGAGGTTGGTGCGAGCGGTCTTAACGACCGTGGCTAGACCGCCGGCTCTCACGCCTGGAGAGTGGAGAAGCTACCCACGATGGGAGTTTCCATCGAGAGCCATCTTTTCCACGTCCCGGGGGGGGGCGGCAGTGGTGGGCTTCAGCGGGGCGTGGGACGGCGGAAAGAGCGACTTTCGCTCGTTTTATTTCACGTTTTTTTTAACCAAAGCACACCTCCCGGGAAGACGCCCGGACCTGTCGCATGACTGTGATGTCCTCGTTCCTCGACATCCCGTGACCTTACCACGACCTTGCCGTGACCTCCCCGGCCGCCATCGATGAAGCACAAGGGTCAAGGCTGACCGCGCGACTCCGCAGCATCCTTGTTTTTGTTTATTTAAAGCAAAATAACAAAAACTGAAACGCAAGCTCTTTCCTTGTTTACACCGAGCCGAGTGTACAACTTATAGTTTCTGTTACTTTGTATTTGTATTCATATTTTCGCTTTTTTAGCAGCTTTTTTCATTATATTTTATCGTGAAGCTTATTTGTTTTATAGAAATCTATTTAAAATGTTTACAAAGGAAGAAATGGCACTGCTAAGGCTTGTGCCGTCTTCCCTAGCCAATCACTTTTTAGACTTTTAAAGAGGACGGGAAGGCGAGAGGGAAGGAGGAGGGTACTTACAGGTGGTTGGGAGGGAGGTGAAAGTAAAGGAGATGGATTGCCCGGGGGGTTGGGGGGGGGGGCGATACAGCAAAACGATTTTTTTATATATATTTAAGTTTGCAAAAAAAGCGGTGGGACTGACTATGCTAGCAACTGTGAAGCCGCACATTCCAGAGACGGATACGAGTGTGAGCGTCGTGCGTGTGTGTGTGCGTGCAGAGGAGTTGGGAAGTTGAATGCTGAAGGGGTTGACAATAAGCCTTGTATGGTAGAGCCCGCCCCCCTCGCTTGTTGAAGGAGGAAGCAGTGGTGGGAGGGGGGGGGGCGTTAAGAAGGCGAGTCTGACGGAGCTGTGAGTGATGGGCGAGAAGACAGGAGGATGAGAAGGCAGTGTTCACATTGCAAGGGCCACCTACCTCCTCCGTCGCTTCAAGACGTCCAGCGTCGCGAAAGTTTCAACGGCGGAAAAATCTTTGACGGTGTGGGTTTCCGAAGGACAATTCGGACGAATGAAGCTTCTGGCCAAAGTGGTGGACTGGGGGTGTGTGAAGTTCAGATAGGTCTCTCTAGCATGACCTCCGGAAACTTTTGTAAGAAAAAAACAACAGTGTTTAGTTTATTTTTTTTGAGAGTTAACAACAAGTTTTCACAAAGGATGAATCTACAGTAACGAAGCTTGGGCCCTTTTGGGGGCCGCGTGATGCCCGTGGTGTCAATGCGTTGGGCCCTTTTGCACCTTATGGGTGAAGTTCTTCGCCTCGGTCGGGGTGCAGCATTGAGAATGCGAAGTTGGGAGCTGAACAAAGCGCGGATCTGAGCGCGTGACCAAGGACTGGGATTGTGTGTGTGCTCACGCGCGCGGACAGAAACGTCTCTCTTAAGATGCGTGTGCAATATAGGGCAGAGGCTGGCAGGCGTAGCACGTCCATGGTTTGTGTCGGTTTAAGATAGAAAGGAGTGTAATTTTTATTGAGGAATTACAGACGGGCAATGTTGGCTACTGTGTGAGGTTGTTGGAATCGGACGTGGGTTGAGGCAGTGATATGTGACTACAGAGACGCTACTCAGGAATCAAACGGTTCTCATCACCTTGTAGTTACATGCTCAGGCTATGTGCTCTGGGCTGTTCGACAAGAGTTTGAAGCTTCATTAATGACAAAACATACTTTCAGGTGACTTTCAGGCCACCTCAAGCGATGGAGATCATCATACGTGCAACCAATTCGACCTTCAGTGATTCGATTCTCATTATTCTGGGTCCGCGATTCAATTAAAGAATTCGTGATTTTTCCTAACAGTGGTGAATGTAGTAGTGCCTCTTGTGGCTGGAGGGTCACGTGAACCAACTTGCACTGAATACGAATTGAAAATAGTCAATTCTCACTCACGACTTGATGCATGTGTGTAAGAATCAATTTCAATCGGTGTTTCGTTTCACTACTGACATCGCTAGAGTGCACCTTCAAGTCACTTTAATGTCTTCTGTTCTCATTAATGAAGCGTTCAACTCTTGTTGGACAGGCTGGACACACAGCCAAGGTACATATCTACCTGGAAATTAGCGCTGTTTTGTTTTTGAGTCTTGTCTTCCTCTTTTAAGGTATCGGAACATTAGGGCACCGACCAATGTTATTTATAGCAAGAAGCGTGTTTCTCGTGTTGGCTCAGCACGGGAACAAATGGTGGCGAAGCGCACAGCAGCAGTGGGTGACGGTGGGCTGCGGACACAGCAAGCAGCAGCTCGTCAAAGGAGTGCAGTGCAGCTCATTATGCAAATACAATCAACTAAACGAGCGCCGTTCATTCAGGGAGTTGCGAGAAATCCAATTGTGTGACCACAAGCAGCCAGTTGTCGAGGCTCAGATACCTCTTTTTCCACTGCATAACCGAGCCGCGCCAAGCGTGAGATTTTTCCACTGCAGAACCCCCCGAGAGACCTGTGCTGTTCACATCACACGCACAGAATGATACGGTGATGTTGTGTCCTTACAACACAATGACATCACACTCGCCTCATTAGCACGGTGGGCTACGTACAGTGCGAAAGAAGTTAAACTTACGTATGTAATGAACATTTTAATAGCCGTGCCCCTGGCCCTGTTTTGCCACAAGCCAAATTCAGATGTATTCTGAGAGCAGTGTATCACGATTTTCAGTTCTGCCTCGGCACGACAGCCAGTGGGAAAAACGACCCGTACGATAAGGGCCATCGTGCTGGCTCGGCTCGGATGTGGCAGTGGAAAAGGAGTAAATATGAAGCCTGGATTTCAAGCCTGATTCCACAGGTGCTGAATGTGTCTTGGAAGGCGGAATGTGTGCGGTCGGTCGGTCGGTGTTGAGATGTTCTGAGTGCCTTCGTTGTCATCGATCGCCGCTATGTGCCAGCGACACGAACTCCTCGTGGTACTCTGTGAGAATATTTGGTGCGGCGGTGAGAACGTGTGGGGCCAGGTGTATGTGGTTTTTAGAGCCCGCCCGTCTCCGCTTCCCTCCCTGTGCCGCGCTGGGAGCTCAGTTCGGTAGGCTTGTAACGATTCACCAACTTACAATTGATTCCTACGCTAACGATATAAACATTAGCATCATCGGCCACGATCAATCCACTGCTGGATGGAAGACTCCCCAGGCCTTTGCCATCTCTCGCCATCCTGCAGCGTGTATACACACGCACACGTGTTGAATTGTGTACACATTAATTATTTATGATTGAACGCAAAGTAAATGCACGTCACCGTGCGGAATAGTAGAACAAGCGAGATGGCAAAACGATTGAATCAAATTGACCTTTGGTCGTCACGATACATTGAATCTTAGAAGTCTGTTAATATTTGTACGAATAAAACAGCGAAACATGCTGTGAACCAAGTGACTTGATTTCCGGCCACAGCTAAACATTGGTGGCAAGTGAAGTCTCAACTAGCGCCCCCCCCTCCTCTCCTTCACTCGCCAGCATGGCGAGGTCTGGTCAAAGAACCCTCACGACGGACATGGCACAGTAAGGCCTTCCTCCAGTAGTGGATTTGACAAAAGACGTACTCTATAAAGAACCCATTGAGACCCAAGGTCACCTGTGTACAGATGAACAAATGCCATTGTGCAATTTTTACAATGAAGAGTAAATATTAAATAATAAAACTACAAGGTGATTAAATATTAAAAAGTAAAAAAATTACCCAATTGTTGTTCACTTATATCATTGCAAGCCTACTCGTGAGTTGGGGATAAGTAGTGATGTGCCCATGGTCACTGAAGTGTATGAAGTAAAGGCATATACTGTAGTAGGAATTAAGCAATACAAAACATACCCTTCGCTTGGACTTTAAAAGCAAGAAAAAAAACTTGAAAATAAACAGTTTTAAACATGCCGTGCTTTATTTGTACTTTGTGAAGTCCAGAGTTCCGTAGTAGCACAAAATAACACCTAAGCGTCGTGGAGAACATTCGAGACCTAAATCAATAACGCCCAACTTCACACCATCTCCACGTAAGTGTTTTTCACGCATCCCATCAGCCACACGGCCTTCTGGGAGTACAAATTTGCAGTATTGGTTCAATACGGGCACTTTGGAGTGGTTTTGAAATTCGGTCAGCAGACCGAGCCCAATTCTGCCAATGAGAAGCTGAATGTCGAAACCGAGATAAATGTTTCAGTTGAGAGAGACGTGGGGAAAGGAGAGTTTGAACAGTCTAGCCGTGAAGCAGCTCCAAATGCGGCTCTTGGAGAACATCGCAAACTTTGTTAAATTAATGCAGCACAAATCACAACATGAGAACATAACCCTCATCATCATTTACATTGCTATCAGGGTCTCTTTATCACAGGGGCAAGGCTAATCAAAGTGCATTGTCAGAATTTGCATGACGTTTAACTTTACACAGATGCAGTATATTTTGGTGGTCCCACACAACATTGAATGTTTTCTTATCTGGTTTGGTCATCTCCAGTTATGTTTCTTCATAGGCCAGGTGCGAATCTTGACTTAAAGCTTTCTTGACTGCAGGAATTAATATATTTTGGGTCTTTTGGTAAAGTCACGTAGATAGGTTCAAAGAAAATAACAAAAAACTACGACGTTTCGATCGCAACACATGACGAACGCTTGTGTTGCTATCGAAACGTAACCCATCTTCGTGACTTTACCGAAAGACCCAAAGTGTGGGTATTCCCACCTCTTCCAAGACATCTGGCCAGTATGAAAGAATAGGCCAAAATACCCTCTTGCGGGACTCAAGCTCACTGTAGTAGAGACCCTTCTGAGAGAAAGCAAATACACAATCTTCTTGGTTCTTTCGGTAAAGTCAGGTAGATGGGAAATAATAAAATAATAATAAAAAACATAATAAAATAATTCTCACGACGTTTCGGCCACAACGCAAGCAGCCGTCCTCAGGTGAAGAACAGGTCTGTCGGAAAGACAGCGTCTGAATGGTGTTCATTCAATGGTGTTCATTCAGACGCTGTCTTTCCAACAGACCTGTTCTTCACCTGAGGACGGCTGCTTGCATTGTGGCCGAAACGTCGTGAGAATTATTTTATTATGTTTTATTTTATTATTTCCCTTCTACGTGACTTTACCGAAAGAACCAAGAAGATGAATCCCTGCAGTCACGAAAGCTTTAAATTAAAGCAAATACACAATGTTTTCTAAACTTGAACCGTTTTCACATTTTCTTCCAAGTGTAGTTACGGAAAAAATACCCCTGAAATGGAGATCAACTCGAAAGCCCCCTCGTCTTCAACAGCATACATCTGCTGAGAAAACTAACATTAACAGTGACGAGGCTCAAACATTCAACAAACATTGCACCGTCAACACACGGGTAGAGGTCCCTCGGTGTGGCCGTCGCTCTCCGTTGCGGCGATTGACGACAACGTCAAGAGGTGGAAGAGAGGATCCGCGCGATCGTCGACTGACGGCCACGAGGAATCGAATGTCATTTTTGGTGAAAGCGACGAATGGCTGCATTGCTTCCAGGGTTTCGTCGCAAAGCTGTGTCGGTGGCTCAACTCGCTCTCCCTGTGCCTGCAACAAAAGTGAAGTATGAACAAAGTAAAAAAAAAGGTACCTTGGTGACATGGTTACAGTCTGTAAGAGGGCGAGTTCTCGTGGCTGGTTGTCTGGCTACTGTTTGCTTCACTTGTACGGTTAGGGTCCAGAGAAAGTGCAGGTTCAAGTGACTGGTTGACTAGATTTGTTAGGGGTAGTCTTATTACACTGGTCAACAACAAAAATTTTTTTTTTCTGGCCTGGACTTTTGCAGTGCTCTATCACATCTCATTTTTATGCTATCGGCATACCCCATTTTCATTGATTTTACCCGAAATTAACTGTCACTTATGATTGCAAGTTGTTGCGAGTCAGTGACTGCTTTAGTGTTAAAATATGGTGCTGTTTTTTAGGATAGTGTGTTTATAATATCATTTTATGTAGATATCCACATTTATTTAATATTTTTCTTCTGCAGTTTTTATTGAAAATGCAATATTTGATATCTCAAAAACCTGATGTGATAGACAAAAACTAATGCCAGATTTGGAATCGGCACCCCAAATTTACCTTCAAACCGTTGGAATACCTTATGCCAGAAAAAGTGTGTTGACCAGTGTTATTATTGGGATGCCTATGCAATAACCTCTTCTTTTCGACATTGCCATATAAAGAAACGGACACCACTAACTCTCTGCCACCTGGGACGAGTGACACTGACTCAACGGTGTTTGCATCTCTTCCACATCACTTCACCCCCACCAGTATATCAAGCCCTCCTCGCATCTGTACGAGGTGGCGGTCAGGCAAGCCTCATCCTCTTCGTGTCGCTTCCCTCCGCTCCCTCCTCGCCATCATTCTCCTGAGGCTCCGACTTAGTGCTCAATGGGGAAGCTCCCTCCTTCTTCTCACTCTTCTTCAGCCAGTTCATCATGAGGAGACTGCTGCCATTGGGTTTCTGCTGCCCCGAGGGGCAGGGGAGAGAAGGAAGATGGGAATCGGAGGCACGGTTACGGCGTGGGCGTCTCATCGATTCTCTCCGATGCCATCTTGGGTTGTGCCGCGCGTTGTTCGGCAGTGACGTCCTGACGTTTCACTCCATACGCTGGGGAGCTTCTTCCCAAAGAAGCAAAACGTCGGACATCGCTCAAAACAACGCCAGGTAATTCATTATCAACGTTTTTGGGTTAGATCGCGTTATCTATAAATGTGTCGTAACCCTCCACCACCCGACATGGCCAATCAGCAAAAAAAGTGTCACATTGACAAAAGACAAATAGTTCACTGCTTTAGCCCACCGGTGTGTTGAAGCGTGAAACCACAACATTTTTTTTTTTTTTGGAAATGTAAATGTTGTGGTTTCACACTTCAACACACCGGTGGGCTAAAACAGTGAACTATTTGTCTTTTGTTAACGTGACTTTTTTTGCTGATTGGCCGTGTCGGGTGGTGGAGGGTTACGACACATTTATAAATAACGCGATCTAACCCAAAAACGTTGATTATGAATAATATTGGTCGCGAAAGCCTGCTACGTGTTAAACTAACGCCAGGTAACAACGTCAAACACCGTGGGCAGCTACACAGCACAAGCGCGAAAACCCAAGCAGTATGAATTGATTCATCTCTCCATTCAAATAATATCTCGTGATATGCGCATATAATAATGCGTTTGAAAATTGAATGCGCTTTGTGAAAATGAAACGTTAGCTTTTGGGTCGTGGAATAAATGAGCCATAACAAGATGAGACTGTATGTGCATGATACAACGTGCATTTAAATAACCAATTCTAACAGTGTAAAATTATGAGAAACTTATCAGGCAGAAACAATGTGCACGCAGCCTAGAAACGAGATTAATAATACGAAACTCCTGCAGACTATGTCTGTGAATTGTCATGCCTTCATGTGTGATAGCAGTGCACTGTAATAGTTGTGCGAACACCAAATGATTCCGTGATTTCCATTCAGCGCCATCCCATTCTAGTTTGGGCCAAAAGACAATGCTCACTCACCCTTTCTCAATCTGCCTCCAGACGGCCGCGAGACCTTTTTTTTCTGGGTACCCCGTGTCTCGCCAGGCACCACGTGTTTTTTTCCGGACATGGTCTATTTACCAGGTGCATTGCTGGGTGCAGTATTCTGCCCGATGCCGTGTCGTGCAACGTACCGGCTTCTCGGCGGTGGCAGGGTCATGCGGCCGTGCCTCGAGCACGCACTCGGGCGAGTTGTTGCGCGAGTTGTTGACGAAGGTGGAGACGGCGTGGAAAGCCACGCGCTCGCTCGGCCGCACCAGCTCCTCCAGCGCCGCCTTGCCGCCGGGCAGCGTGCCAAAGTCCAGCCAGCGCCGCACGGCATCGTCATCTTCTAGGATGGCCGGCATGCTACGGCACAAAGACAAAGATCCCCCGTATAGCCTGTAGCAGACTGTTGGGGCAAGAGCTGTTAAAGAGCACCTATGAAGGCCAACACGGTACACAAGGTAGGTGGCCAGCACCACCCCCGACCGCCTTTGTCTCCCCAGTGGTGATGTTTTTACACATCGCTCCAATTCCTCATTTAAAGCTGATTCAACCTAGGGGAGGCCCAGGACCAGTTCAGATAATCGTCACTGGTGTTAGCCTTCAGCAGGAATCAAACTCATTACTCCGAGTTTGTAGTAAAGTGTGCTAATTACTCCACCACCGCTCCACACCACAACGCTTGTGCCAGGCCAGGTGCACTCCGAGGCCACATGAAGTGTCGAAGGGTCGCTGAAAGTTCACGGGACAGTCCTAGGTGCCATGGGTTAACTCTCTCAGATGACTGGTGGATGGACCACCTGTGCCCCCTACTGTACCAACTTGCTGCATTTTTGCCGCCTAATGCTTTGCTCATTGTGAGCATTGCTCCTCTGCCCTCCATTGTTGTTGGAGGGCAACTGCAGCGTCCTTCATGAGCCTCCTCTATAGAGGCTGATCTGGACTGGTACGAGTCCATCTCTTTTCCGGCCTATACCGTGCCAGTTTATCCCCTATCCGTCCAAACAGAAGCTGCTTGGACATGTGGTAACTGGGCATGCGGGCTACATGACCCAGCCAACGCAGCCTTGCCCGTCGGAGCTCACTGATGGGAACATGTCCAGATCTATCAAAGATTTGTAAGCTCTTCACACAACTCAGCTTCTACACAGCGTCACGCAGCTGGCAAAAAGATTATGCCACTTGGCTGAATCTGACTGAGAACTCTGCTGCCAGACTGGAGTTGGTCATAAGCACAATACCCAGGTACGGAAACTTCTTCACTCTCTCAGACACAGACAAAAATCCCCCGTATAGCCTTCAACAGAATGTGGGCACAAGTGCTGTTAGTGAGCACCTATGAAGGCCTGCACGGCACACGAGGAGGTGGGTGGCCACCACAGTGCCCGGCTGCGTTTGTCTCCCCAGTGCTGATATTTACACCTCGCACCGGGTACTCATTTGAGACTGAGTCGACCTAGGGGAGGCCCAGGACCGGTTCAGGTGTTGGCCGTGAGCAGGAATCAAACTCGGGTCGCTGCGTTCGTAGCGCAGCGTGCTAACCGCTACACTACCGCTCATACAAGCACGCTCACACACACACACACACGCGGGTGTACCGGTGGTGCAGCCAGGCCAGCGTGGGCGACGCGTCTACAGTGATTACGGTGAAGGTGTAGAGGGGCTCCTCTGCCCCTGCACCCTGCCAGCACTCAAAGAGACCCGCCATTGTGAGGGGACGCCAGCCACGCCACTCCTCAACCTCCTCCTCCACACCGCAGCGTTCCTCCTCCTTCACCTCCTTCACTTCCTCCTTCACTTCCTCCTTCACCTCCTCTTCCTTTTTCACCTTCCCCTCCTTTGTCACCTCTTCCTTCAGCTCCTCCATCTTGATGTTCTCACCGCTGGTGGTCGCTTCAGCCGCCTCCTGTACAAAGACACAAGGAAATATTCCTCACGTAGACTTTAGAGTCTCAGCGAGGGGTGGGGGGGAGCGAGGGGTGGGGGGGGGAGCGAGGGGTGGGGGGGGAGCGAGGGGTGGGGGGGGAGCGAGTGGTGGGGGGGGAGCGACGGGTGGGGGGGAGCGAGGGGTGGGGAGGAGCGAGGGGTGGGGGGGGGAGCGAGGGGTGGGGGAGCGAGGGGTGGGGGGGGAGCGAGGGGTGGGGGGGGGGGAGCGAGGGGTGGGGGGGGAGCGAGGGGTGGGGGGGGGAGCGACGGGTGGGGGGGAGCGAGGGGTGGGGGAGCGAGGGGTGGGGTGGGGGGGAGGAGCGAGGGGTGGGGGGGGGAGTGAGGGGTGGGGGGCAAGGGGGGAGCGAGGGGTGGGGGGGGGGAGCGAGGGGTGGGGGGGGAGCGAGGGGTGGGGGGGAGCGAGGGGTGGGGGGGGAGCGAGGGATGTGACGTCACGACGAATTGGGTCTTTCGGGAAACTCTAGATTTAAAGTCACATAGATAGGTTCAAATTAATAAAAATACAGCACAGTGTACGAGGGGGCGGTGTGGTGCAATGCCGCACCTGGCCGCCTTTGTCTCCCCCAGTGCTGATGTTAACACACCGCACCAGGTACCTGTTTAAAGCTAAGTTATTATCATTAAGACATCACTGACTGGGTCACACTGGGCATGGCTTGTGGGGGGGGGGGGGGGGGGCGGTTCCCGCCTTCAGGAGGCAGGCTGGAATATTTACAGGGACCACGAGTAATCGATAAAATAATTCGATTGGTCGACTTCACTGCACCCGGCTGTACGTACGAGCAGCAGGTGTAGGCGGTCGCGGTTCTCTGGTGCATAAATGAAGTACGGCTGCTTGGTCTTGCCCCTGTGCCACTCGAAGAAGCCGTCGGCCACCACCACACAGCGCTGGCCCTTGTTGAGGGGCACCTGCGGTAGAGAGATGCGCCAGGCCCAATATCATCATTTTTAGTAGCACTTTACAAATAAGGTTGAAACTATTTTTGCAATACCTCCCTCCGAATGTCACAGTATGTCAGGGCAGTCACGTCTACGATTCAGCACCGATTGATGATGCGCACAGCGATGATGCACACTGTGTTGGTGTACGGTGTTTTTTCTGCAATATTTTGCTGTCTTTTCTTGGATTATCTGTTTGCACTCAGTCACATATTCACTTTAAGATGTTTTTTTGTTCATGTTTTTGTTTTTTGTTTGTTGCGGTTGCACCCGATTCAAGAGCCGAATGGCTCACAGGGCTATACCTAATACATGAACTTGATGATCACACGTAAAGGGTCACGCATTCATGGTTACGCGCAGATGAACGGACGTGTGAGAATCCACACCTGGTAGGACTTCTTCTCTGTCATGGTGTCGCTGCGGCAGTTGTTCATGCTGTAGGTGGAGGTCGGCTCACGGGACCACAGCGGCACAAGGCCCCAGCGCATGGCGGCGAGGACGCGCTCACCGGGCTCCGCGTCCTGCGGCGGTAATAGCGGCATCGTCATGATTTTTTATCCTCGTCGACATTGCTGACATTAACACCAACATGATTAAAAAAACATCCGCATCCTGCCTCAACATCAGCAGCCAATTATCTCTGTACTTCTGTGTAAAAGTCTGCCCACGCCGACGGCATCTTTAATCGTGTTGCGATGGAACCATCCGTCTAGCATATGGACACAACCTCATTGCTCCATCTCCGTGGTGGAAATCCTCGTGGGTGCGTTCCCTCCTTTGGCTGCCACCACGACGTCATTCGTCTCGACCACCAGCCATCGTCTGTCGTAGCGTCGTGTCCTGCGTGTGTGCGTTTCTCTTCCCGTCTCTCAGTGCAATTTCGTACATTTCTGTACGCTTTCCTTGTGCTCATTCAATTTATTTGTCAATGTCAAAATAGCAAGGTAACATACACTCATATTCTAAAAACAATATTTATATTATTTTATTATTTCCCTTCTACGTGACTTTACCGAAAGAACCAAGAATATGAATCCCTGCAGTCACGAAAGCTTCAAATCAAAATTTAACATACACTCGTTAAAAACTTTTGTTATATTTTAATTTATCTTAGTTTTCCAAAAGCACTCCAACCTGCTCTCATCTGCCTTACAAGTTCATCATATACACATTATAAAAACTATAGATCCTCACACAACAAAGATCCCCACATAGCCTTAACAGACTGTTGGGGCAAGTGCTGTGAGCTTAACTATCGGTATACCTACACGTTGAAACTACGCATCATTACGCTGCAAATATCCAGAAATTACAATAACCTCACGCACAGCCATCACAGCTCCTTCCCTGCCCGACCAATCCCTGCTCAGGGGCTCCTGAGTCCCCTGTAGGCGGCCAAGCACCTGGCAGAAGTGTCGCTTGGACACGAGCACGGGGCAGAAAGTGCTGGGGCTCTTGTTGAAGGAGGGCCGGTATTTGGTGGCGTCGCCATCCCTCCACGCCGGCACGGTTCGGCGGCCCTTTCTGTCCCGGTACGTGCACGCCCGCGACACCTGGCCCGCCGGCAGTGGGCACGCAGTGCGGCCGCACATGGTCGAGCCTGGTATGGGCGACCTGGCGCCGCCGGGAGTAGCCGAGGGGACGATCTGTGGGGTAGCGGATCCGAGTCCTGTTTCTGGACCTCCATCCCACACAAAGCAGAAGTTTAGTTCAGTTACTGGATTGCACTTAACCATGCTAGAACAACACACGGGGGAGGTGTTTGAATGAAGGCATCAAGGAGTCGCCTGATTGTGTTGGCCGTGAGCGGGAATCGAACTCGGGTCGCCGGGTTCGTAGCGCAGCGCGCTAACCCCCACACACACGCGCGCGCGTCCATAGGTACACATACACGCGCTTGCTGCAGACACACACAACTTTCAGGGTGCGTACGGCAGGAAACGACTCAAATAATAAACCAATGCTACGCGAAGAACGCCTTTGACCTGCAACACATTTGTATTTCACTTTACGGGCGAACAGTTGGCACACTCCGTTACGCTTCCGCACACGGGTCACATATCCTTAGCGCGACTTACGCCGGATTGGTTGTCGAAATAAATAAATTATATTCTTGGTTCTTTCGGTAAAGTCACGTAGATAGCTAATTTAAATTTTAAAAAATTGAAAATCAGAAAAGTTAAAAAATCCACGACGTTTCGATCGCCAACACAAGCGGTCTTCATCAAGTGGAGAGAAAAGAGGGGGCTAACCTCCAAATAAATCTGCTTATCAGGGGTTCCAAAGTGTGGGTGGGTGGGGGACGAGAGTTGTGAGGCGTAAACAGCATGGGCAGGGCAGCCAGTTAGCCAGTGCTCGTGTAAGATTAGAGAATGGGGGGGGAAGGGGGCAGAGATAGGGAGAGAGGGGGGGAGAGATAGGGGCAGAGAGGGAGGGAGGGGGGTAGAGATAGGGGGAGAGAGGGGGGGGGAGAGAGGGGGGGGGAGAGAGAGGGGGAGTGAGAGATAGGGGGAGAGAGGGGGGGGGGAGATGGGGGGGTAGAGATCGGGGGAGAGAGGGGATAGAGATAGGGGGGGGCATTGCACCTCGCTACGTCGCGGGTTTTTTTGCTTTATTTTTTAAAAAATCTTATTTTAATTAATTTTTATTTTCTATCTACGTGACTTTACCGAAAGAACCAGGAATATGAATTCCTGCGGTCACGAAAGTTTTAAGTGAAAATTTAAATAATTTCGAACTCGCGCGTGATTGGACGCGGGCTGGTGGATGGAAGAGGGTGGCGGGGGTGGGGGGGGAGCGAGGGGTGGGGGGGGAGCGAGGGGTGGGGGGGGAGCGAGGGGTGGGGGGGAGCGAGGGGTGGGGGGGGAGCGAGGGGTGGGGGGGGAGCGAGGGGTGGGGGGGGAGCGAGGGGTGGGGGGGGAGCGAGGGGTGGGGGGGGGAGCGAGGGGTGGGGGGGAGCGAGGGGTGGGGGGGGAGCGAGGGGTGGGGGGGAGCGAGGGGTGGGGGGGGAGCGAGGGTGGGGGGGGAGCGAGGGGTGGGGGGGAGCGAGGGGTGGGGGGGAGCGAGGGGTGGGGGGAGCGAGGGGTGGGGCGGGAGCGAGGGGTGGGGGGGAGCGAGGGGTGGGGGGGAGCGAGGGGTGGGGGGGGAGCGAGGGGTGGGGGGGAGCGAGGGGTGGGGGGGGGAGGCGAGGGGTGGGGGGGGAGCGAGGGGTGGGGGGGGGAGCGAGGGGTGGGGGGGAGCGAGGGGTGGGGGGGGAGCGAGGGGTGAGGGGGAGCGAGGGGTGGGGGGGGAGCGAGGGGTGGGGGGGGAGCGAGGGGTGGGGGGGGAGCCAGGGGTGGGGGGGGAGCGAGGGGTGGGGGGGGGGAGCGAGGGGTGGGGGGGGGGGGAGCGAGGGGTGGGGGGGAGCGAGGGGTGGGGAGGGAGCGAGGGGTGGGGGGGGGGAGCGAGGGGTGGGGGGGGAGCGAGGGGTGGGGGGGGAGCGAGGGGTGGGGGGGAGCGAGGGGTGGGGGGGAGCGAGGGGTGGGGAGGGAGCGAGGGGTGGGGGGGGGGGAGCGAGGGGTGGGGGGGAGCGAGGGGTGGGGGGGAGCGAGGGGTGGGGGGGAGCGAGGGGTGGGGGGGGAGCGAGGGGTGGGGGGGGAGCGAGGGGTGGGGGGGGGAGCGAGGGGTGGGGGGGGGAGCGAGGGGTGGGGGGGGAGCGAGGGGTGGGGGGGGAGCGAGGGGTGGGGGGGGAGCGAGGGGTGGGGGGGAGCGAGGGGTGGGGGGGGAGCGAGGGGGGGTCGAGCGAGGTGTTGGGGGGAGCGAGGGGTGGGGTGGGGAGCGAGGGGTGCGGGTGGGAGCGAGGGGTGGGGGAGCGATGGTTGGGGGGGGGGAGCGAGGGGTGGGGGGCGGAGCGAGGGAGTGGGGGGGGGGAGGCGAGGGTGGGGGGGGAGCGAGGGGTGGGGGGGGAGCGAGGGTTGGGGGGGGCGAGGGGGTGGGGGGGGGCGAGGGGTGGGGCGAGAGCGAGGGGTGGGGGGGGGAGCGAGGGGGGAGGGGAGCGAGGGGTGGGGGCGGGAGCGAGGGGTGGGGGGGGAGTATGAGAGGGGGTGGGGGGGGGGAGCCAGGGGTGGGGTGGGAGCGGGGAGCGAGGGTTGGGGGGGGGGGGAGCGAGGGGTGGGGGGGGGGAGTGGAGCGAGGGGGGGGGGGATGGAGGGGTGGGGAGGGAGCGATGGGTGGGGGGGGGGGAGCGAGGGGTGGGGGGGAGCGAGGGTGGGGGGGGGAGCGAGGGGTGGGGGGGGGAGCGAGGGGTGGTGGGGAGCGAGGGTGGGGAGCGAGGGGTGGGGGGGGAGCGAGGGGTGGGGGGGGAGCGAGGGGTGGGGGGGAGCGAGGGGTGGGGGGGGAGCGAGGGGTGGGGGGGGAGCGAGGGGTGGGGGGGGAGCGAGGGGTGAGGGGAGCGAGGGGTGGGGGGGAGCGAGGGGTGGGGGGGGAGCGAGGGGTGGGGGGGGAGCGAGGGGTGGGGGGAGCGAGGGGTGGGGGGGGAGCGAGGGGTGGGGGGGAGCGAGGGGTGGGGGGGGAGCGAGGGGTGGGGGGGGGCGAGGGGTGGGGGGTGAGCGAGGGATTGGGTCTTTCGGTAAACTCTAGATTTAAAGTCACATAAATAGGTTCAAATTTCCATTCTACGTGACTTTACCGAAAGAACCAAGAAGATGAATCCCTGCAGTCACGAAAGCTTTAAATCGAAATTTAGATTCAAATTAATAAAAAAAACTACGTTTCGATTACAAACAGAAAAAATCCCGCCAAAGAGTGAGGCGATTTTTTAAAGAATCTAAAGGCAACTGAGGTGGGGGGGATAATTACCGCAGGGAATTTATATTCTTTGGGTCTTTCGGTAAAGTCACATAGATAGGTTATAAAAATATACGTTTCGATTACAACACAAGTGATTGTCATCAGGAGGAAAAAAGAGGGAGAAAACTGCCGAGGCAGACTGTTTTAAAGTCACGAAAGCTTTAAGTCAAGATTTACCGCAGGGAATTGTATTTCTAACTACGTGACTTTACCAAAAATAAACAGAGTATTTAAAATGAATTAACACGATTGAATGGACGCTAGATCAAACGGACAAACGATCAAGTTGTTATTCTTGGTTCTTTCGGTAAAGTCACGTAGAAGGGAAATAAAAAAAACTATTATGATAAAATAATATATTGCTGTGGATTTCACACTTGATGATTGCTTGTGTTGCAGTCGAAACGTCGTGAAAATTTTTATTGTTTTATATTTTTATTATTTTGTTTCCCTTCTACGTGACTTTACCGAAAGAACCAAGAAGATGAATCCCTGCAGTCACGAAAGCTTTAAATCAAAGATCAAGTTGTTATAACGTTCTGACCCCGTGCCCCTACTGGACATGTCAAAAAAGAGCTTTACAGCTCATCGGATTCCTCCTGCAGTATAAATAAAGAAGATGATTCTGATCTATCATAAAGGAGCTCAATAGCTCATCGGATTCCTCTTGCAGTATAAATAAAGGTTATAAAGTAAATTTCGATTTAAAGCTTTCGTGACTGCAGGGATTCATCTTCTTGGTTCTTTCGGTAAAGTCACGTAGAAGGGAAGTAATAAAATAATTAAAATAAAACATAATAAAATAATTCTCACGACGTTTCGGCCACAACGCAAGCAGCCGTCCTCAGGTGAAGAACAGGTCTGTCAAGTAGACAGAGTCCTGAGCATTTCAGACTCTGTCTACTTGACGGACGTTGTGGCCGAAACGTCGTGAGAATTATTTTATTATGTTTTATTTTTATTATTTTATAAAGTTCACCTCCAAGCTCAACCTCTACACGAGTTCGCCATATCACGATGCTCCCCACCCGTTCAGCAATCGACTTCTCGATTCGATCCAATAGTTATAATATTGTTTCTTTCGCCAGTGTGTGCGTGTAGATATGTATAAATGCTCGATGATTTACGTGCAACAATTACAAAACAAGAAAAAACCCGATATTCATCGATTCATATGAATAGTATCGCGAGCACAATCGATGTATTCATTTTGCAAATCGTTGTCGGAATCGATTCAGAATCAATTCCGTTATTGCTCGCGATGCTACAACCGCTACGGGAAGCTCCGCGTGCAACAATCGCGTGCACCAGCACACGGCACAACATATACGGAAATAGAAAGAGACAATCGAATTAAATTCCTCACGATTCTAATCTATAGTATCGATCCAGTCACGGACTGGATAATTTCCTCTGACCTGGCATGGGCCCGCGCGCTCAATCACGTGGCGCGCGCTGAACCCCAAGAAACGCGGCGGCCGTGACGTCACACAGCTCGTCGACGTCACCGCCGCGGGTGACCTTGCCGCCGGTCGCGGCGTGCGCGTGCGCGCGCGCTGCCCACGTGACTCCCCGTGGACGGACCAATGAGCGGCGGCGGTGGTGGTGTGTGGGGGAGGAGCTTAGGCCGTAGCCCCTCCCATTCCCCCCCCCACCCTTGCCGGATGTGACGTATTTCCGACGTCGGTGTCTTTTGGTGAAGGAGGCGTCCATCTTGTGAGTGGCAGCACCGGCGGGAACTGGGAGGAGGTGGTGGGTGAGAGTCCTTGAGGCGTTTCGGTATAAAATAAAAACGCCTCGCGGGCGTAGCATTCGGTCTTAATTCGTTGCGAGGTGATTGTAAGTAAGGCTTGCGCGTCCGCGTGTGCAGGTGCGGGTGTTAATTAAAGACGAAGCCGAAACCCACCCATTAGCAGACATGTTCACATCGATCCTTCCCGCGTCGAGGATCAACCTCTTCCACAGACCGCACTTCACCCTCGCCCGCGACGATGGTGGCGACATCGCCTCGCCCTCGTCTCCCGCCGCCTCGTCGCCTTCGTCGGAGCTGGTGGTGGCGCCCCAACGTCGTCAACTTGCCGCGGCGTCCGCGAGCGGTGAGAGAGGGAGGGGGATGGGGGGGTCATGGCGATTCTGCGGCAAGAGAGGGGAGCTGGGGAGTTAAAATTGTTTGTGAAAGGTTGTGCTGGGGAGTTAAGATTGTTCGTGAAAAGCTGTGAGGGTGGAAGGCTGCGAGCTGGGTTGGTTGCAGCGCGTGATTGAGATGTAATGCTCGAGAGCGCTTTGTATAAACTCGTGTGTGGGGTCTTGGGTCGACGTTATGGGCCTTTGGTCTTAAGTTGCAAGCTTGGTTTTTTGGGAGCTTAAAAGTGCAATACAACATCCAGATTGTGCTATACACACCAAGGATGCCCACAGTGCTGTACCCCCTGTAAGGAATAAGCCAATTCGTGTGACCTCCATTGCGGAAGCTTCCTCTTTGTCATTGTAAACGTCCTTCACACAGCGGCTCCTTTCATTTATTAACTCCTTTAATTTATTATTACATAAACAAAGTCCATGTTCTACACGGGTGAAGGTCTCGATGCTATTACCAATGCTACGGTCACAAAAACCTCAGCCGAGGAGGGAATGGTGGTAATGGAATTAATTATAATGCGAGAGGTTTTATAGACGGATTCCTCCCTCCCCCTGTGTAGCCTCATAGCCGGTTGGAGGAAGTTTTGTTAGAACATCTACTAAAGCCGGCTGTGGTCATCTTTGTACACTGCACCAGGTACCCATTTGTTAAGGTGGCGTCGACCTACGGGGATGAGTAGGTTAGCGCACGGGTTGATAAGCAAAATAAAAAAGCCGTTTCGAATTCGATCAATTAAAAACCCACAATATTTCAATAGCCGGCAGTGCACTATGTGGTGACACACGAGACGCAGTGGTCCTTGGTGAAGCCAGTCCTTAAAGAGCCTCATGCCGCCTCTGGGAGCCGCACGTGGTCGACCCACGTGGTCGACCCCTGACCTCGGGGAAACGTGAGGTTTGTTTCTAGCCCTCGTGTCGCAGCACACGGTCCTATGCCGTCGTGCCCTTTCACACACATTTCCACTCACCGCAGTATAGTGTTTGCCTTTGCGTCGAAGCGCTGGCTGGGTGAGTTAGTTGGGGTGGTGAGGATCCAGGAGGGCGCCCTTTGGCAGGGAGAGGCGAGTCGGGCGCGCCTAAAATATTTGGCAGATGCCTCGCTTTTTAGTCTCCATTTGACTCAAAAGGCAAGATAAGAAAACGTATGCAATAGCGTCCGTGTGTGTTGGCTGTGCGTGTATATAGTACACACACGACTTGCACGTACGACTAGCTTTATTGGTGATGTGGTGAAAGACACTAATGTTTTGTGAAAAATACAGCAGTCGGACAACGTTTGGTTTAAGTGCGATCAGAAGGCACGATATCGGGTGTGGTGGCATCAACCATGCTTGGAAAAACGTGGGGGTGAGTCGTGTTAGGGGATGAGATTGTAGCTTCCATTTGACCATTTTTTAAGTAATATTACATTATGCAGTGGTGCCACCAGTGCTGGTGAAGGAATGCGAGCGATGCAGGGTGGGTCCCATTGGGTTATTGGAAACTCTTGAGGCTTTGTCCTCCCATTGAATTCCACACAGTTGGGGATAAGGGGGTAGGGCAGAACGATTTGGGGAAAATATGTAATTGCGATTTGATTTGAGATTCAATTTTTTAAGTCAAGCTTCCGTTCAATATTCACTGTGTAATAGATTTAAAACATGTGATGCAGCATTACCACATGATACCATCAAAATATGAACTGCTATTATTATAATGCAAGGATGAGAACTTAAAAGATATGAATTGCTTCCAACATGTATTTATCAAAATGTTGTCATTGAAATAGAACAATCAAACAGAACAATTGTTAAGTTAAATAAGTAATAATAAAATAAAACAATTCCAATAATAAAGTAATAGGACTTTTCAAATCGCAAATATCGCAGCCTTTGCGATTTACCAATCGCATTGTTTCAAATTTCGATTTTAAATATAAATTAATCGTTACTCCACATCAAAAGTTGTTTACCATTCAATTTACTTTAATTTGAAGTCAATAAAACTTTACAATTAAACTAACTTTAATTTGGAGCCTATAAATTACACGAAGTTTGGTCCAGACCTGGACTTTAGTACAAGTATTTTAATCGAATATATTTTGTTAAACGTTTTCCTTTGATCCCTTGTTTGTCAGACCTGTTTAATGTACATATGTTTAAACAATCTATAGGATTGTTCTACGCAAGAAGATAGTTTTGGAAAACGTGGAAGGTTTGTTTTATTCCCCCCCTCCCGATCGGGCAAGGCAGTGAGCTATAGTTGCTGCTGGCATCCATATCTATCTGGCCACGTGGGAGGGCGAACACGTGGCTGGCGCTGTTGAGCATTCACTGCAGTTACTCCCGAAATAGAGCATTAAAACTTACAGCTGATTTACAGGTTGTGCACAGTGTCCGTTTAACCCTGGTAAATGCCACGTAATGAAACTGGGCAAAGTTCAAGCGTGCAGCATCTTGTGTGTGCTTTAATGTTGGACTCTGATAGCCTGGCAGCTGCATTGTCACCCAAATGTGCCTACTAATCACACTGTTAATGATCCCATTTTATTAAAGCAATCTTTGTAAATGCGGAGGGGGCTTTGCGTCAGACATGCCAAGACACCAATACAGTACAATGTGAAGGGCGTTGTTGCACGTTACATAAACGAGATGCCACGCTTGTTCGTTCATGAACTTTATCTATCCATATCGGTATCGGGATAGAATGATGCTTCCTTTGTAAAGGAGAACGGGGGTGCTACAAATAGTAGGTTAAAACATGTTCTGACGGTAACGAGCATTGTTTATGTGTACGGCAAATTATGTGTTAGTTTTTTCAAGGTAATTTGGTTGAGTATTACACTGCCTTTTATACAGTTATTTTTGGCACGGTGGTACAGTCTCATTAATAAAGCACCTAGTATGCGCTTACTGCACCTCTAGACAAGTGGAGGCAAAAACAGATAGATACCTTGTCTAAACATTATTTTGTAAACGATTGTGGATAACTTATATTTTACATGTGCACAGGGAATCGTTTAAGAATAATTTTACAAAAAAATCATTTTATCTTAATCCACTGCTGCATAAAGGCTTTCCCACTCCATGTCGGTCATTGTTAGTCTGGATTATTAAATGGGCATATATCAGTTGCCAAGACAAATACACTTTGCCGAGTTCATATGACTGCGCTAACCATTCTGCCACGTTATTAATAAAGCTGTGATTTTGGCACAATGTCGCGGTAGTCACGGAAATCGAAATTTTAACAAAGACCAAAGTGATATCTTGCACATGGTCTTAGAAATAAATGATTAGGCACTTTGTATCCTTCATAAATGCCATATGTTCAGGGGTGGACTGCCTGACCATGTTCCTTGACCTTTCCATGCATTTTTTTATCCCCGCACTTTTGGGTATGACATTTACAAAAAATATCATGACAATCATAGCCTTTGCCATGACCAAGTCTGTAATTGATCGTTGTGATCTTAATCACCTTGTCCACAAATAAGGTCAAACAATCTATCAATATGAATGCAACAAGCACTGTGGAACACACCATTAACTCAAGTCAGCGGAGCTTTCTCAGAGGGCAGGAGTATCATACTTTCACTCGCTCTCTGCCAAACCCATCCGCTGAATTTCCAATATTGGCATCAATTGTTGCCACTCAACTGGTATCCATACGAGAGGGTGAGCTTGAGACTGTGTAGTCGGTCTCGCTTCAACGAATGGGGATAGCTGCGGGCGCTGCTAACGAGTGTTGGTCCTCTCGCTTCGTTGCCTGACGAGAACCCCGTTGTTCTCGGCCTGGCAGAGGACAGCTGCGCGTACGGCTCGAGCAAGTACTTCCTTTTGTGCGCCTTTGGCGGCATCGTGAGTTGTGGCACCACGCACACGGCCATAGTGCCGCTTGACCTGGTCAAGTGCCGCATCCAGGTGCGTCCATTGTGTGTGTGGCACGGAGTGAGGTGTTGGCACGGTGTTTGTGATTCCTTACTCAGTTTTTGACTGCTCGTCCTAACCCAAAAAAACAAGCGACCGACCCAGCCTGCTTCTTCAACAGCCAGCGCCAGACCTGAGATTAATTTGGAATTATAAATTGAATTGTCGGTTAAGTGATTTATAATAATTAGTTGTCAGTTTAAGTTCAACTGCTTGAGTGTTTGTGGGTTGTAGCGATAGTTTTGCAATATTTGTGATGCTTCACCCCACGAGCTGGGAGCTTCGGTTCAAGAAATTAATTTCTTGATGAAGCACCCAGAACGCGAAACAAAACATCGGATATTCCAAACTAAATTCGTTACTTCCTGAAAACCTTACACGGACGGTAATGCTGCAAAAATTGTGTTTATAATTGATCACAGGGTCTGACTAGCACAAGCATGTCTCATGAGGGAAATGTTAATCTGTAAATTCAGCTAGTTCTTTGCACACAGTGCAGTTTGGGAGACAGGAGTTAGGCTAAAGTTAATCAAAAACCCTGTTGTGGTTTGATTTCTTGCTTTGTTATTAGTGTAGGTTACATGTCTGCACTTTTAATTACATTTCCCTTGCTATGCTAAGTTTTAATCCCATATAGGAGTCCCAAATTAGAGTTGGAATCTCATACTCATTTGAAGTCACAAGTTAATGCTATTTTGGAATCGTTAACCAGAACTATACACTTTGAAAATTTACAATATTCATAATCCAAATCAACGTCTTTAGCCCTTTCTAAGGCACTCTTAATACAATTATACAGTACAATTCAACTTTGTACATCGCATCTTAAATGTAATTGCACCAATTTGCTGTACAGAACGGTGGCGTATTTGAGGCAGAGGGAAAATGGATGCCCTACTGTAATAAAAATCTAAAATCCTCCCACTAAGTGAATAAAGTGTTATTTCCATTTGCTCTGTCACTTAAATACATACAAAGTGAATAATACATCTCACGTAGTGGTTTTACACAAGGAACTACAATAATCTAAACTTGTCTAGTTTAAACTTGTCAAGTTTAGATTATTGTCAAGTTCTGTAACCTTGCGAAGGTTATTATTTATACATTGCAGTCGTTCATTTGTTTGCTTTCCGTTCCTGCGTCCTCTTGGCTGCGGGCGTCCAAAAGGTGCCCTTGGAGCGATGAGTCCAACCTTGAAGGGGGGCGGCGCTGGCCGGAATGTGGGTGGGGTGGGCACAGTGCTGCTGAGCTTGCACGGGCATTTATGACCGACTTGGCAGCCTAGCGACACGTACAAAAAAACGGAACGCATGTAGACGTCTCAATCCAAGGGTTACGTTGTTAAAATGTCGGTGTATTTTTTACACTTTACAACCAAGTTTTTTAAAATCATTGATGCATTAGAGCTGTCTAATGCATTAATGCCCACAATGACTTTCATGAAGATTAGCCAACATAGAGAAACGTTTATTTTAAGTTCTGTTGCTATTGGGGACTTAGCCTTAAGGAAACTGGCCAAATTTATGAAAGTTGCTCAGAATTTTACTTAACAATTGCACCTTCCTCTCATCACCATGACGTCATGAAGAATGTGACGTCATCTCGTTAAGTGGCTCGGAATGTAACATCATTGCTGCTTAAATCCGAAGAATGTGTATTGAAGTGTCATAGAATCGATACATATGCTTTATTTTGTTTGTATTAACCCGAGTGATAACTAACCAAAGGTTTTGTGTGTTTTTAGCGTCCTAACCATGCTGTGTGCACGAATCAAACCCGCACGGTGTGCTGTGTTGTGTACGGTCGTGCATTTTTGTGCGACACTTGCAGACAACTGCAGCTGTGAATACGGCTCGACAAAGTACTACGTGCTTTGTGGGTTTGGTGGGATTCTGAGCTGCGGCATCACTCACACGGCCATCGTCCCCCTCGACCTGGTCAAATGCCGCATTCAGGTGTGCAGCAGTCGTCGTAATCCATCGCATTGTAAAAAAAATAATTTTACCCGATATAGTGTAAAATTATCAATAATCTGCAGCCCCTTTTTTGATACGATGGAGTTTGACCGAACGTCTTAACTCTGGTCAGTTGGAGATGGAGGGGGCTGTGCCCCCAGCTCCCGTTCCAATATTGCTCGCCGCTTACCTTTAATGTGGCTGGAAACAGAACTCGTGTCATATACCCCCCTGTGCTAAACCTAATCGAATGCAGTTTGTGCTATTGGCATTAAATCAGATATCATGAGATAAAAAAATTTAATTTGTTATTTACTGGCAGTGGATGCCCTGGAAGAATGGCACAGAACAACTTGTGAAGTCCTTGCAGTAAGCGCCCACTAGGTGGTACACCGGTTTGTATTTCCTTCAAAGAGTGCCTGACGTGTTCACCTGGTTGCAGGTGGACCCCGGCAAGTACAAGGGCATCTTCACTGGCTTCTCGGTGTCGGTGCGCGAGGAGGGCATGCGTGGCCTGGCCAAGGGATGGGCTCCCACCTTCATCGGCTACTCCATGCAGGGCCTCTGCAAGTTTGGCTTGTATGAGGTCTTCAAGGTCTTCTATGGCAACCTGCTCGGTGAGGTGAGTGCCGAAATATGCCGTGAGCACGGGTTTTGGAGGAGAAAGTTGATTATTTAATTAATGCCGTGGCCGCCCGGTAATTATTTGGCAAAGCAATCCAGTTTGTTTTGGCTTTTACGAGCCAGATTTAGTTAAACTGAGACTTGTAAGCATTGGCTACATAGACCACACTACCACAGATTAAATTTCGATCTAAAGCTTTCGTGACTGCAGGGATTCATCTTGGTTCTTTCGGTAAAGTCACGTAGAAGGGAAATAATACTTTACCGAAAGAACCAAGAAGATGTACCACAGATTACTCTGGAATGGTCAGAAATCGTTGACCTTTTTCATGTGCACTCGACAGCCCATCACCTGTTACTAATGACCTGCTTTTGCGCTCATAAATGTTGAATCGTCTGCCAAGGCATGGCGCTCATTAACCTGATGTTCCATCTCGGTGTGTCGTCCGCAGGAAAACTGCTACCTGTGGCGCACGTCGTTGTACCTGGCGGCGTCGGCCAGCGCCGAGTTCTTTGCCGACATTGCGCTGGCGCCCATGGAGGCTTGCAAGGTGCGCATCCAGACGCAGCCCGGCTTCGCCAACACGCTGCGCCAGGCCTTCCCCAAGATGTACAAGGAGGAGGGCGTCTGGGCGTAAGTGGTTGCTGTGCAACGTTCGCTGTCGCGTCTGTATTGTAATGGTTTGTTCAGTATTGCACCGTGCTACCGTCATCAAGATTCGATTATCTTTGCTGCCGTGGTCAGATGAGTAGCACGATTGACTTGCATTCCAGAGGTTGCCGGTATCACTCCCATCTCCTGACGTGAGAGTAAAAAAAAGGTACAGGTTTCTTAAATCACCCCTCCCCCGCAGCTCTGTGCATACATCATTATAAATAAGTACACTAAAGTGCCGGTCGTGATTGGTGTGCTCTGTTGCAGATTTTTTTCTGGGTCTCTATAGACTGGTGCAGATGTGACCAGTAGCCATACTGGATATGGTGGTGTGCCAGATGTAGAAATGTTTTCCCGGGTTGCTGGTAAACTGCAATAGGGGTCACATGACGAGTGTCCACAGCCATAGTTTGTGGAGGTATTTTAGATGTGGTGTGCCGGGTCAAATGTTGACCCAGGACAGAGCCCGGCTGAAAAAAAAATTAGCATCTTGAATAACACGCTCCTTAGATCCACCTCTGGGACCCCGTGCTGTCTTCCACCGCTTCCGTTATTTCCCGCTCTGTCCTGTCACCCGTCAGGGAACCCCACTGGGGTCCGCCTGATGTGTGCCTTGGCAGGGCGGGGCGTTGCGGCGGTTGTGGCGCTCAGACCTGGGTCCACCAACTTTTCCGGTTGTACGGTCGGAGGTGCATGAGTCATTGGCGTGTGAGAGCAATATACCTGCGCACTGGTCCGATTCGGGCCCAGCGGCAGCCTACACCGATTCTGCCTCGATCTGCCGGGGCCCTCATGTCCCCCTCATGATGAAAGGAATGGGGGCCCTGGTGGGGCGAGGGGAGGAGGAAGGGCATGCCCTCCGCTGGGTCCCAATCAGTGTGCGGACACTACCTTGGTGCTGCTGCCGCTGGCTGCTTCAAGCTGGCTGTGTTTGGAATTTGTAAACTGATAGTGTGGGTTGGCGCAAAAGTGGTGGTTAGGGCAAGCAACCCCGCGGTGTCATGTCACGATTCATGAGTTATGTTTGTCTCTGTCTGCGCATGCCACATGCACATGTGCCCTTGTCTTCTGTATGTGTACCTTTGCTTGTATCCTGTAACTGTGTTTGTCTCCTGTGTGTCTCGTAGCTTTGTGTGTCCGTCTCTTCTTGTCTCACAAGTTTGTGTCGCTATGTATCCTGTGTCACCATGTCTCGCACCTACATCTTCTGTGTGTCCTTCACACCAATGTGTCCTACGAGTCTCCTCTGTGCCTCACACCGTGCACATTTCCTGCGTTTGCCGTTGTGCAGCTTCTATAAGGGTGTGGTGCCGCTGTGGATGCGGCAGATCCCCTACACCATGATGAAGTTTGCTTGCTTTGAGCGCACGGTGGAAGCTCTCTACAAGTTTGTGGTGCCCAAGCCACGCGCGGACTGCACCAAGGGCGAGCAGCTCCTCGTCACCTTCACCGCCGGATACATCGGTACGATCACCACCAACCTCCCCTTCCGTACCGCCTAAATCACAAATGAGAATGCAAAGCTAGCGGCGACACCACCTCTAGCTTCGTTTGACCTCGGTAGTTTGTTGCGAGCTGTGCTATGATGTAATAATTAGCACACTTGCGTTCTGAAGGTTGCCACTTCCACTCTACATTTCTTAATATTTTGGCTCGCCACTACAAAGCAGCTATTTCTATGAATAATAATATTTACATTTATATGGCACTTAAATGCCTCGGCAACTCAAAGCACTATTCGGCACATCCCATGTCAAACAATTAAAATGGCATCCCCAGTGGCTGCTGTCTTTTTGGACCCAAGGTGACTCCTCGTTTGGCCTTGGCCTGCATTTGGGCATTATTCTGCCAGGATGCGCGATTAATTGTTGCATGTAATCCCAAATCTGGCTTTGTGTCCCACCCCCTGTGCTTCCATGTTTATCACGTTTCTTGAGCTGTTGTGTTCTCTCTCTTCGTAAGACACACCTGGCCGTCTGAGTTGACTTTCAGCTTGCCTGAGATGGACACCGCCACCACCACTCTCGCTTTATTTCTTGTCTTTTCATTTCTGACCCAATACAGTCTGTTGTCATCCCTGAGATCCCACCTGCCATCCTTGTTTTTTTGGCGCACAATTGTGATAGTTCGGAGATGTAATACAGTGGTGATATCGGCATGGTAATTTCCTACGAAAGTCGTGTATTTTATTGCTATTGATGGTGGTCGATTGACACATTTTGATGGCAATGTTCATGATGTGACGGTGTTAATGTGATAATATCAATACGGCGATGTGAGGCAGTGGTCGTGACATGGTAATTTTGACATACTGTAATTTTCATGGTTGTTGTGGTGATGATGACCCCAACTGTGACCTGTCGCCCCCAATCACCGCGTGCACAGCCGGTGTGTTCTGCGCCATCGTGTCCCACCCGGCCGACTCGGTGGTGTCGGTGCTCAACAAGGAGAAGGGCAGCACCGCCGCTGACGTCCTCAGAAAGCTCGGCCCCCTTGGTAATTTACCGCACGCTACACCGCCACCCTCCCAGTCCCCTCACATGTTACATTTTACATGATTCACACACTTAAATGTGGAACCAGCTTTACTTCGTGCTGGGATCAGAGCTCGATGGGTGGCAGTTGCTGTGTACGGTCAAGTCAGTGAATTATCAGCAGAGGGAGGGCCAACATTACCCAGCATTGCAACTCGCCCATGTTTTTGCACTTGTATGGTGAACTTTTTTCACACCATACATAACCAATAGTGCTCATTGGAGGTACACTTGAACTGCACTTTAAAACACACTACCTGCCTGTCATCTTCACCAAGTTGGGCGTGCGGCAAGAGCTGGTTAAGTTGTTTCTGGTTGACTGTAGCCTTGACAGCATCTACACGACCTTTTTATCAATCCATTGCTGGATGAGGGCCTCTCCCATTCACCATGTCAGTGTATTTCATGGTTATTTGACGACTTTACCATGCTGGTCAGTGTTGGTTGGTAAACGTGCGAACATGGACAGACGTATATTATAACAACCGAATTGCTGCACTGCTCTCTCGTACTCGTTGGTCACCCATTCAAACACATTCCAGACTTAGCTTTCGAAAACTGACGAGATCCGGTGCATTCCGGGTGATTCATTTGTAAGCAATCGTACACGTACTGAAAACGCGCATCTGTGGAGGTGTTTGCTGACGGCACATGCCCAATAGTCTGAACGGGCTACATATATGGGGGATCTTTGCTAAAATGTGTCTGTGCCGATGCAGGTGTGTGGAAGGGCCTGGTTGCCCGTATCATCATGATCGGCACACTCACTGCGCTGCAGTGGTTCATCTACGACTCGGTGAAGGTTTACTTCCGCCTACCGCGCCCACCTCCTCCGGAGATGCCCGAGTCTCTCAAGCGCAAGCTGCAGCTCAGCGAGTAAGGTGGCGGAGGAGAGCAACTGCGGCGCCATCGCTCAACTCGGCCGCCAGCAATCTCCTCTTCCTCCTTCCAGCGGGGCCCTGACACTGCTAAGGCCCCGCTCGGTGGTCTCGTTGGAATGTTCAACTTTAGCATTTTCTGGAGGGGGCTTGCGGTTGGCGCCAATCGCGATGCCCTCATCATCTTCATACGCTGCCAGTTCCAGCGGTGCTAGTTCCCAATGCAGCCCGCGCAACCGAATGAATTTATTTTGTTCCGAGTTGGCGGCAATTAATGGGCAACACAGACCCCTCTAGTATAAACACGCACTTCCCCTGCACCTTTCAGCAACACTGGCAGTGTTTATTATCTCATTACTTAGCGGTTAAACATTTCGTTGCTCGCAAGCGTGTGTGTGCTCGCTCTTTCGCCGCCTCTTCCACCACCCCGTAACCTGAGCTGTGTATTTATGTGACGTCCCCATAGAGCCAACAGAGCAGAGTGACTGGGGCCCTCCAGATGTCCATGTTTCCCTGCGAGCTGTGTTAATAGTTTAAACGCTGTGATGGTGAATGCAATAAAAGCATCGGAGAAATTGGCAGAAACCCCTGGGGGGGGCTTCGGTCACGGATTTATCATCTGAAGTCTGGCCGCACAACGCACACCCATGATGTTGAGATGTGTAATAAGAGCATCTGAATAAAACATGTACATCTTACGTGACAACCGCTGTGAGACTTTTACATCCGTGTGCGGTAGGTTTTACATTTTTTTCATTCTGAAACTCCAGCCTTGGATACTTCACAAATGATCATGTTTTGTTTTAGACTGATCCAAAAACATGGCGTCACTTCAATGTGTTTCCTGCCAAAGGTGATTTTGCATCGGGTGACGTAGATTATTTATACCAAGACATTTTAAACAAGTCAATGGAAATGATTCGGATTTGAAATGTCAATACGAAACTCCTCTCTAGTATGCAATGTAGTTAATAGGTCCAGACCAAATATTGTACATGTTAATACTACATGAGATGGAAAATTTTAGTTGCTCCAATATCTTTACATTGCCAATAAAAGTTAAGTGTGCAGTGACCTTCATAAGTATATTATCACATGATTTTCTGCTATGTGTCAATTATCACAATGGATAATTTAGAACTCGCCAGTTCGATTCAATCCTCAAGCACTGCAGTTGAAACTTAGCACGTTTCTTAAATCCTGCCTTTGTCTCCCCAGCAGTATAAAAGGTTAATCCAGTCAGTCCAGTTGTGAGTATCCCACCTTCTAAAACATCAGGCCAGTGTGAAAGAGTAGGCCAAAATACCCTGCCTAACAGTGGTGCGAGTATGAAATTGCAGGGCTGCACTTGCATCACATTTTCATTAGCCATATACAGAAACTAGTCGCCATGTTTTCTACCACCCGTTGTACCAAATTCTGCTTTCAACTGGACGAGTGGTGGTGGCGGCTCGCCAGAAACCGCACTGAATACTGCCAAGTGGTGCCCACAGCATCGCCTCCTTGCCGCTGGCTGGGATGGTTTGCAAATACCGCATTCTTTTGCAAGAACAGATGTGAAGAAAGATTTTGGTTGTGACAGTATATTTCACTTGTAGCTGCGTGTTCTTGCTCTTGCCTGAACCTGCCTGTCGTGACTGGTTTTGTGTTTATACAAAGCCGGCTTGTGGAGGTGTGTAGAGGCTTGTAAGTTTAGCTGAGGGTATGTTTCAATTGTTTCCGTTTACCTGTGACTTCGGGATAGAGATGACCTTTAGTGCACAGACCTTTGCAGCACTCGCCAGGAACCAACCTGTTTAAGATGTCATTCGACTTAACTGGTCGAGGGCAGAATAGACTTCATGATTCAACCATGGAGATTTGCTTGACCGTACTTTACTGGTCCACGTGGGTTCTTAAAGGAGGGCTCCTTCAGATGTTGCCACTGATGATAGAAAGCGTGGCCAAGGGTTAAACTTGACTGGCCAGGTTTTTCGTGCTAGTGTCCTACCCACTACGCACCCTACAGGAATGTATAGTACGTATTAAATCGCACACATTTTAAAACATTAGGCACTCTTCCCTCGAGTATGCAATTTATATGAATGCGATTAAACCGGACAAAGTTGATGAATTTCAAAACACTGGAAATGTGCTCGTGTGATGCAGTGTAGGCTCATCAAGAAGATCAAACGAGAATCTCGGCAACACTGGCACAACATACAGTAGTGGCCTTTATTATGTGCAAGCCTGCTATGATCCAGAGTTACCATTTAAATGCCATACGATGAAAACCGTAACACTGCATGCTTATTCGCTAGTTGAAACCTAAAGCGGCATTTAAATTGCACTATGGAAACTAATGTTGCGCGCGTACAAGTTGCCTCCCATCTGAGGTCCAGTTTAAAGTGCTGTTTGAAATTGAATGGCGTTTGACCGCAAGTGCTTATACATCTCTTGAATGTTACACCCAGGGGCTTAATTTCAGCCGCGTCTGTCCATATCGGCAATAGGAGAATATTTCCGTACCCGGTACAACCGCGTCCACCGTTCCTCTCACTATGGCTGTGGTTTGCCAGTCACGAGCCGCCTGCTCCAGTCTTTACACACAACATATTTCGGCAACCTTGCTGTGTGCGTTCTGGTTGTATATGCCACCAGTGATAAGGCCCACGGAGCTATGTAGCTCTTTTTTTAGAAGCGACCTGGCCACGTGATAGCTCAACGAAGTGGCTTGTTACGTGGACATTTATAGCAGTCAAATACTCTAAACGCATTTTTCTAAATAGGGAAAACATGAAAACTCCAAATATACAGCAGGCGTCAGGGTCGGGATCCAACCCACGACCTCCTGTATACCAGGCGAGGGAATTAACATCTCGCCACCGCAGCGCCCTTAAACAAATCGACTGCGTGCCCCGTTTAGTAAACCCTCGGTTTTTTTACGCCAGACATCGAGGCGTTAAGTAAGCGCAATTGCACAGCTCACGACGACGACGACCATCGGCAGAAGCGACAACATCGGCTACAGACGTGCTTCAAATTTGGACAAAATCATATTCCTGAGAACGTAAACCTAAAGACTTCTTGCCCAGCGTGTTAGAGTGGTTTTATTTTCACCTGCCGGCGACCTCGGCACGATCGGAGATGGTTTCGGGAAGGCGGGGGGGGTGTCAGTGGAATTGACACGGAACTGGATGTGAAAGTCGAAAGAAATGTAAGAGGTGACTAGTGACGTTTTAGATGTGCATCGTTGAGTTTAATTTATAAGCGATGAAGGTTGCCGTGGCGGTGTTTTTAAACACGGCGGGGTGAAGGGTCACGGTGAGGGTTGTGGCAGTGTTGGTTTATGGTTGACTTTGACATCCACCCACCAACCTCGTCAGCAGTGTTGCCAGAGCAGGCCTCTGCCCTCTTGATTTAAATCCACATATCTCCCCATTCAAATCCGCATTCGAATATGAACGTGACATTATATATCGACAAAGGCATTTTCGTGCGAGCGCTTGGGAGAGTGACATTTCTCTGGCTGTACTGCCCTCTGAAAGTCCTTTGGCATCGGTGCTTTTCGAGGGATTGTGACTGCCAAGCAGTCATCCACTGTGAACACACACTCGAGTGGCTATTTTATCGGCATGAAAAAATAATAATTGGAAACCATGACCCTTAACACCCTTAGTACGTATGATAAGTAATGTTTAGTAAGAGTCAAACATTTCTATTTTATAAGTATCGTGTGTAGTGCTTAATGTCAGCCAGAACATTGCTCTGTGGATTATTTTGGTGCGTCACATCCACGTCTCCTAATTTGGTCCTAAACCTGCCCATATCGTCAAATGAATATAGGGCATAATAATAAAATATGGATAGGTGTACCTTTGACCCGAGCGGTATTGTCCTTATGCCGATAATCCCTACACCCAAGCCAGCCGATTATCGTTCCGGAAAATGTCGAGTGAGAAAATTAAGCACCGCCTGTACCGTATCGCAAGGAATGGTCGGAGTGAAAAAACATTTTTCTTCCGTGCGACGCGTGGAAAAGTTTCACTCGCGACTGGACGCCGATGAAAATCCGAAGAGTTTGGCCGAAGGTCAATTTGTTGGGATCGAGGTCATCCAAGAATCGGCGTGGTTGTGTAACGCGAGAGAGTGGCCCATCAGCTGGGATGTGTCCGGCTGAAGCAATTCCACGAAGACCTCACGTCTACAACGCAAACGTAGCGGCCCAGAAAGGCTTCCTTCCAACGCACACAGCTTAGTCTGCATTCTCAACAATTAACGCCACGCGAAAACTAAATGACAGGCAACTTTCTTTGGGGCTTTCGCTAAAGTCACGTAGATAGGTTCAAGGAAAATAACAAAAAACTACGACGTTTCGATCGCAACGGAAGCGTTCGTCATCAGGAAGATGATGACGAACGCTTGTGTTTTGATCGAAGCGTAGTTTTTTGTTAAATACTTCGAACCTATCTTCGTGACTTCACCGAAAGACCCAAAGAATATGAATTCCTGCAGTCACAAAAGCTTTAATTCAATGACAGGCAACTTTCTACGTTTCAGCATTTTCCCTAGTTAAATAAATAACGATGCCATCGTTTTGGGTTCTCGCAATACAAACTTTACTTGCCAACCCCACGGATTTAAGTGGCAAAGCTGCTGATTTGTAATCCCTCGATTCTGCACAACCGATCTTCAAAGCTAAAATCGCATCGCGAATTCATTATTTTTCCCAACATTTTTTTATAAAGAAGCACAGTGATAATTGGTTTTTTACCCTTCTATCTGGCAACAAAACTGACACCTTTTTTTACAAGGAATCATGTTTGCATAGACCACAATACCTGCAGTCATTTGCATTATGACTGCAGGTATTGTGGTCTATGCATTATGACTGCAGGTATTGTGGTCTATGCAAACATGACTCCTTGTAAAAAAGGTGTCAGTTTTGTTGCCAGATAGAAGGGTAAAAAAACAATTATCATATTTTTTACTGGCAAATGAGGTTACAATGAAGCAGAACAGTGTCATAAGCTTTTTAAATAATTGAAACGTAAAGGTGCAGCCCTGAACCTCACTTGCTGACACCACTGCCGGCAGAAGGGCCTCCATACGTGGCAGCTTGAGAGAGACTCTAGACTGGGTGTTTGGCCTACTCTTCCCAGCGTACATGCGGTAAAAGAGTTTACAAATCAGCAGCCTACTTGTTAAATCGGGAGTTCAAATCCAATACATTTAGTAAATAATGAGAAAATCCATCAAAACATAAATAATGCGTGCAGGATGTAAACAGAAAAAACAACCCACAAAGGTGTGCTGCTCACAATAGCATGAAGGCACGTCTCCCATCCTGCCTTGGCATGCATGTGCCCACCAGATTGCACGTACAAGGCTCTCAGCCTTGTCCATGATACAGCCATGTTCAGTTCGGTGGTCTGGACAATGCTGAAAGGATTATACATGCAGTGTGGTGATCTCATGGCGTGCACGGCATGATGGGAGACGTGCCTCCCTGCTGTCGTGAGCAGAGCACACCTTTGCGTGTTGTTCTATTACGATCAGTAGCGTTGGCAAGTGTATAATACTACTGCGGTGGTAACACTGGTATGGGCGGCAGCCTATATATGCGACCACGTGTTTACTGCCCCGCAGAATTATCCCAAGTTGCCGGAACGTGATCCGTGCCCTCCGCGGTGCTGGTGGTGACGACAACAGCGACGGTGTTGTTAGGCAAGTGGCCCTGCACCCACTGGCAGGTGTCAGGACCGGGGCTGGAACCGGGACGTGGCTCGGTCTGCAGGCACGCATGCTCCTCGGACAGTCGGCGACCGTCCAGCCCGAACATGTCGTGGTAGGAGCCGGTGCACTCACCCGGCACCGAGCGTTCACACTCGCTCGCGTAGCAGAGTTTGATCTGAGCGCAGTGCGAGGATAGAGAGGGAGGGAGGGAGTAGGACACGGGACCAAGAAGGGTGGTTTTAACTCTTTACAAATGAGGTTGAAGGCGTTCATGCGTTAAGATCGTTCTTGTCGGTTCATCCGTTATCAGTTCTGTCGGTCCGTCAGTATCACCATCATCATCTTGTAACGATGATTCAATGCAAATAACATTTTAGCGTAAAGTCGTGTTGCTGTTAGGGACTTGAAAACGGGCCAAATGTATCAAAGGGCAGCCCAAAAACGTCGAGACAACCCAGGATAGAAAGATTAATTGCATGGCAGTCAAACTGATCTTTCTAATTGTCAGAGCTGGAATTTTTCCGAATTATGTTGCGATCCCAAATTCAACCGATGATTTATTTTTACAGTCAATGGAGAGAGAGTGGTCTGAGAGCCATTGACCTTTGCTCCTCTTGACGTTGCAGTTAATCCACGGGTGGCTACAAAAAAAAACAGATTTAAAACCAGGATTGTCAGCGGCGCTGGCTCAAATGCTCTGACCACGCAACCACCTCGCTACGTTCTCGGAGATCAAGAAGAATTTAAAACGTAATGCAGCTGAAGTGGCCGGGAGGCTCAGAGGGATAATGTCGTGTCGGAGCACTTGAGCACGCATAACCCAAAAATACCATCATCTGCCAAGATCTCTCCACTGCTGGTTAAAGGCCACTTCAAAGCCGTTGCTGTCTCTCGCGGGCCTTGCGATGTAACAATCCATCAAGCACCTGTACATGAGCTGGTGTCATCGTTACGTCTCTGTAGTAGACCCGTCTCTCGGGTGTGTTGCCTGCTTTAGCTGATTTTTTTGTTATTTTTCGTTTCTACATTTTTATGTGATTCTCACAGATTTCAGTCACCTGTGATTAAACTGGGTTTTCCAGTGTACTGAGCTTTGATGATCTCACCCCAGTCACTGGAATAGCAAAACTACACAAACTCTCTGCTGAGGCCCCCTCGTGGCTATCAGACCTCAACATTGGCATTTAGCTCTTAAACATATTGCCTCCATGTGAATTTTTTTTATACTATTCCATTCATCAATGCCTAAACAACAACAAAACTGCATTTAAAATGATATATTTTAAATGATTGTCAGTTCTGAGAATGTTTAGAACTGTTTTGATGGTTTTATAGTCATGTGAATAGTGCAACTCATGTGGATCAAGAGAGCCATTAACTAGATTTCATAGTTCTTGGTTCTTTCGGTAAAGTCACGTAGAAGGGAAGCAATAAAATAATAAAATCTAAAACAATAAATTCTCACGACGTTTCGATTGCAACACAAGCAATCGTCATATGAATCCCTGCAGTCACGAAAGCTTTGAATCAAAATTTATATTTCATATGTAGTTATTTTCCATGGCCGTTCCAAATTGAAATGTAACCATCTCATGAAGTGATGCTTATAGCAGAACTGCAATATAATCGACAGGAAAATTGTAAAAAAAAAAATCAACTAAACATGCCAAAGCAGGACCCTCTTGCGAATGAGTCTTGGAGACGCGGCTTCGTGAAGGTGAGGGGGAGCGTCGTGAATGCGCGCGTCTCGTGCCGTCGTCCGTACCGAGCAGACACCACAGCCGCGCCCGTACTCCCCGGCCAGGTTCTGTGCCTGAGCAGGGCTCACGCTCGCCCAAGGCTTGGCGAGGTCGCACAGGGAGATGCGCAGCTTATCCTCGACTCGGCGCGCTGTGGGGGTGGAACAACCAGGGGAGGGAGAGGGGGGGGGCTTGAGATGCGGGCAACAATGACGGCTGCTTGCGTTGTGGCGTTGTGGCCGAAACGTCGTGAGAATAATTTCATTATGTTTTATTTTTATTATTTTATTATTTCCCTTCTACGTGACTTTACCGAAAGAACCAAGAAGAAAAATGACCAGGGTGGTCGCGGGTTTCCGATTCTGATTCTGGGTTCGCAAATGTTGGAGGCCAGGTAGGAGGGCGCAGGGTTATGCTGAGGTTGCCAGAGTTGGGTGGCTTAGCATTAGCCCCAACCCTAGCCGAGATATAAATATAACCCTAGCTCTAACGCTATGCCTAAGCCTAAGCCAGCGTTAGTCCTTAATTAATATAATCCTAACCCATAATCATGACTTTAAGAATAGCACAGCCATAAACCTATGCCTAGCCTTAATGGCTAACTGTAGCTCTAAGCCTTACCCTGGCATTATTCAATTCAATGTTTATTTGTTACACGGAATATCCCGTTTCGCCTGTTACCCAGCACGAGTGAAAACTCGAGCCCTAACCATTAGTTGGAAACTTTAACCTTAAAAAACAATCATAAGGTAACAACAAAACAACTACATCCCTTTTCATGCCAATTGAAAGCCTCCCCCGCACTGTGTCGGATGTGGGGGTTGTTTAACCATACTTCACCGCGCTTGTTGTTGCGGTTGCTTTAAATAAAGGGTATTATCTAGTAGTATTATTACTACAACTGGAACTCGCGTGATTGCAGAGCACTAACCTGCCAGCAGGTACTCAGTGTCCGTCTTGAGTTTTGCACCACACAGGTAGCCCTCGCGGTTCGTGTACAGGTGCGTCGCGTCGCCCGGCCCTCCTGGGCCTTTGAACACCTGCACGAGTGGGAGGTCGCAGCCGGATTGGTGGAGGCCGTGGGGCCCCAATACCATTTCATAATAATAATCATCGCAACGATTTGTTTTTCTATTGATCGACCGCCTTTATCGCCTTCCACCGATGTTAGCGGCTACGGCGCGTCGCAATAAATCCACGATAGCGGGGTTTTTTTTTTTGGGTTAGATCGCGTAAATATATAAATGTGTCGTTAAACCCGCCACCACCCGACACAGCCAATTAGTAAGGTTTGTCACGGAAACAAAACATGCAAATTCGTTACTGGTACAGCACACCGGTGCGTTGGGGAGTAAACCCACAACATTTGCTGGTAATTACAATCAGGCTCATTATGGATATTATTGGTCGCGAAAGCCTACGTGTTATACCGCAATAAATGGTGGAACACATGATCCATGTCTGCTTTTGAGTTGGGCTACGTGGTAGTTTTATGCCAAAATAATTGTCATCAAGCCACCGGTGAGGTGTGGACCTTGATCGGTCAAAATCGATGAACACATAGGCACGTACAATATCTGTCTGTAAACTTGACAATCAATGTTGTCGGTTGGTGGAGGGTTAATGGCAATAATTTTGGCATAAAACTACAACCATGGGGCGTAACCCAAAAAAAAAAATACGCACTCGTGGCACTGGCTATGAAAGCCACGTTTTGATGTGGAACGCATCGTGGCCTCTAGTCCACTACAAGCCTCCTCTAGGTTGCGGTACCTGGAGCAGGGATATTTCGTACTGGATGCTCGCCGATCCCTCTGGGCCGGCCACCACCGCCTCGCCCACCACCCTGGCACGTGTAACTGCACACACACAGCGCGTGGCACGCGGTCGGTGTCTCACAGTACACATCAGTAGGTAGATCTTCTTGGTTCTTTCGGTAAAGTCACGTAGAATGGAAATAATAAAATAATAAAAATAAAACATAATAAAATAATTCTCACGACGTTTCGGCCACAACGCAAGCAGCCGTCCTCAGGTGCAGAACAGGTTTGTCTTTCTGACAGACCTGTTCTTCACCTGAGAAAGACAGCGTCTTTCTGACAGACCTGTTCTTCACCTGATGACGGCTGCTTGCGTTGTGGCCGAAACGTCGTGAGAATTATTTTATTATGTTTTATTTTTATTATTTTATTATTTCCATTCTACGTGACTTTACCGAAAGAACCAAGAAGATGAATCCCTGCAGTCACGAAAGCTTTAAATCAGTAGGTATATGTCACACAGTACATGTCACACAGCAGATCAGTGCATACAATTAGCATGGATACCAAAGCTGTGAATCGATATACTATGTAATACAGTATACAAGTATTCTGTATATTGCTAGAAGAGATGCATAATGCTTACACACAATTTACGGGACGTATTGTGTGGGCGTGCGCTGCCACCATAATGAGAAATTTACACCGCTGACTATACATACTTGAAAACACTTTGAGCTTTTGTGGACATTCTTAGAATGTGTTATAATGGTAATTAAAACGTCAATGGTGATTACGACGATTAATATGACGACTAATAAGGTGATATGAATGTGATGATAATTATATTGGTAAAGATAATGACACTGATGAAAAGGTGATGATTACGACAATGAGAATAGATGCAATGATGATGATCTAGGCAACGACGACGAAAGAGCTCCTGCTGATGATGATGAAGATGATAATGACAGAGACAATGGTGATGACGCAGGCGCTGTTGACAATGGGCGATAGTCATGGGGGATAGTGAAATGACGACGTATGCACCGTTTTATATTCTTAAGACATAAACGCCAGTTGATCTGTAATTGACTTACTCTATACTTACAATTTGCACAAAACGATGTGTGGGAATACTAAACGAAACGAGTGTGTTCCATTATCTTTAAATATCTAATGCCACACATTCACTTATGCATTAGTCTATACATAACCCGTAGGAGGTATCTTTACACAATCACACAACACAATTAATGCGTTATGTTCATTTAGTTGAGTAATTGACGGTGGAAACAGTCACTGCAGAATGCAGACGACTATTACACGAGATTCCACAATCACATGTCCGCATCATCCACATCCTCCTGCCTCGAATTCCTGCCCCTAATATTCCCATCGGTTATCGTTGATGGTAATGGTAATGTTGATTAAGAGAATATGGTGTTGGTGATGGTGGGAGTTATGCTGCTGATGATGATGTTTTGGGTTGATGATGTTGTCCATTATGGGGTTTATACTGGTGTTGGTGATGATGTCTGTTATAGTGTTGTAGATTAGAATGATGTTGCTGATGGTATTGATACGTATTTGATCATGACGGTGTTGCTGCTGATGATTATGCTAATGCTGCTACTATTACTACTCACGATTATTATGTTGCTGCTGATGACGATGCTACTGCTGATGATTTAATTGATGCTAATGAAACTGCTGATGCTACTGCTGCTGATGCAGCTAGTACTGCTGCTGCTGATGAAGCTGCTGTTGGTGATTAAGCTACTACTGAAGACGCTACTGCTGATGCTACTGCTGAAGATGCTGCTGCTGACGATGATGACGAAGCTACTACTGAAGTTGATGCTACTGCTGATGCTACTGCTGATGTTGCTGATGATGCTGATGATGATGCTAGCTACCACTGATGAAGATTATTCTACGACCGCTGAAGCTGCCGCTGCTGATGATACTGCTGCTGCTGATACTGCCGCTGCTGCTGATGATACTGCTGCTGATGATGATGACGAAGCTACTATTGAAGTTGCTGCTACTGCTGATGCTACTGCTGATGTTGCTGATGATGCTGATGATGATGCTAGCTACCACTGATGAAGATTATTCTACGACCGCTGAAGCTGCCGCTGCTGATGATACTGCTGCTACTGATACTGCCGCTGCTGCTGATGATACTGCCGCTGCTGCTGATGATACTGCTGATAACGACGACGACGACGATGATGACCCTCTCTCACCCAGGTCCGCTGCACAGAACGCCTGCTGCGGGTGCGACGGAGCACAGGAGCAGCCCTGCACGGCCCTGGGGCCCATTGCGTTGGCCATGATGAACACGAGGAGGCCCCACAGACACAGGCGCATTCCTCCGCCGGGGGCTGACATCGCTGACGAGGGACGCAGCTCACGATCCAAGACGTCTCTTTCTTCCCTGCGCAGCCAGACAAATAACGGGGTCTCGGGCACAGGGACCAGGGGAGTTGTAGTTCAATGCGGCCGGCGCTAGAGGGCGCTGTGGCCACAGAGTGGCGAATTTAATCCAGGGTCGAGATGATGCCGTTGCTGCTGCTGCTGAAGCTGATGGCGATGCTATTGCCAAGTGGTGAGCGGTGGTGTTCAAGGGGTTAGGGGCCGTCCATAAAGGACGTCACGCGATTTGAGACGATTTTTAACCCCCCCCCCCCTTCGTCACACGGCGTCACAAAAAGTCAGACCCCCCCCTCAAATATGACGTCACAAAGCTCTGCCCCCCCCCCCCAAAAAAAATAAAACATGCTTCAAATCGCTTTAAACTATTGCCATTGTAGTGCCTATTTAATGTGGCGCTGCCTTCTGATGTTGTAGGAGAATAAATATATGAAAACGTCTATTTAATTCAGTAGAACGTGTTGTAAATATATTTATTTAAAGTTGCGCATTTTGATGTGACGTCACATTTCTCATCCCCCACCCCCTCGTCACACATCGTCACAAATGTCTGACCCCTCCCCCACCCAGGTGCGTGACGTCATTTATGGACGGCCCCTTACGAACCCGGCCACCATCAGTGACGATTGTCTGAACCGGTCCTTTGCCTCCCCTAGATCGACTCAGCCTCAAATCAGTGACCTGGGAGCGGTGTGTAAACATCGCCACTGGGGAGACAAAGGCGGCCGGGGGTGGTGCTGGCCACCCACCCCCTCTCGTGTGCCGTGCCGGTCTTCACAGGTGCCAGTCCGCTAATGGCACTTGCCCCTAATGGCCTGTTAAGGCTACACGGGGGATCTTTGTCTGGACAAGTGGAGGGGGGGATGGGAATGTCAGAGCCTTGGACCATTGTTCCAGCTGCCGCTACGGGCGATCGAATGTGCAGCACAGAAACTGCTCACTTTTGGCCTACTCTTCCACACCGGCCCTTTGCGTCTTTAAAGAGGTGGGAGAATCCATCACAATTGTTCCCGTCGAGGCGACTAAACCATTGACATTGCTGGGTGGGGCAGAGATCGCGGTGGGGTTTAAAACGAACACAATAACTTGCTGAAGTTTCACCAGGAGATCAACCCCATGGACGGCGTTTGTCCATCGTGCGAACCATTGCACCCACGCTGTTTACGTTTTCTTAGTAAAAAAAATGTAATGATTTATCTTTTTAAATAATGATATAAGTGGGGCAAACCGTTAACCGGTTTTAGCGGGTTCAACTGGTTTTGCCGAGTTTTACAGATTTAGCAGATTTTTACCGGCTTCACAGATTTTAACCGGTTTTAAAATATTACCGGTTCGAACCGGTTTTACAATTTTACCGGTTTCCCCTCTTTGCGGTTACCGAACAACAACCCTCGCAATGAATCGATTCCTGCCCGGACGAGTTTTGAGGCTTGTCCGAATCGAATCGTTTACCTTGCCAATTAACCCGATGGGCGAGTATCGATTGCGTTGTTTTAAAAGTGATTTGTTGGTGACGATTCCGTTATTGAGCGACGTCACCGCCTCGTGTTGCGCTGTATTGCTAAAGCGGTGGTTGTCTCGCTGTCACAGGTTGAGTCACAAACCGCACCTCTCCATAACAAAGGCTCAGCCTTTGTTATGCAGTCTATTCTTAGTCTTAAGCCTCACCTTACCATATTAATAAAAAGTATGCGGCCCTTGCCCCACCACCTTCTCCAACCATTATATAAACGGAGTGGTATCTCCTGCAATCTCTCATTTACTTGATACAGCTGTCGTGCCTGTGACGGTACCACCTGAAGACGGAAGCTTGTGTTGCCTCCGAAACGTCGTGATTTTTTTTTACTTTTTGATGTTTTTATCTACGTGACTTTACCGAAAAAAACCTAAGAATATGTTACGGTCCTATTCGAGCCGTTGTCTTCAATGCAATTATTACAAAAAAACAATAATTCTCACTGCGACGGTTACGCTTGTTGTGAGCGTAAGAATACATTTGAATTGATTAATCGACGAACAGTTAAACTCGTAATAATGTATATAAATACAGGTGCCGGGTGGATGATTATATCGGCCTTGATCCAACAGTGAATCGATCAAGGATGAAATGTCTCAACAATTAAAAGTGTTATTCCGTTGCATTACATCTCAACCATTCGATTGCCCTGTCATTTAACAATCTCGCCAAGGGGACCCCCACCAGTGCCAGCCAGCCCTACTGATGCCTTATCCTCTCATTAGCATCAGCAGCCGTGATCAATCCACTGCTAGACGAAGCCCTCCCCCCAAAGCCATCGATCGTCTCTGACGATCATGCGAATTGAAGAATTCACCCAGCATCTGCAAGTTTGCTGGAATTTTAAACGTGAAATTTGCTCTCCATCACTCCCGGTGTGAATTCTTGAAAGCAGTCATAAATTGCCCCTTATTTTGTTTTCCGTGACAACTTTGTATTTATATATTTATTTACTCTGTCGGGTGGAGGAGGCTTTATGACACACGTTTCATTTACGCGATCTGACCACAAACAATCAGAATCGGAATATTTTTTTAATACGATAAATTGTGAATCGCAATAGATACGCAGTTTGGGGGGTGGGGGGTGGTGTGGGGGTGAGGGGGTGGGGGAGGGGTGGGGGGAGGCGGTGTGGGTGGGGGGAAGGGGGTGAGGGGTGGGGGGTGACGTGGGGGGGAGGGGGTGGGGGAGGGGTGGGGGGTGGCGTGGGGGGGAGGGGGTGGGGGAGGGGTGGGGGGTGGTGTGGGGGGGAGGGGGTGGGGGAGGGGTGGGGGGAGGCGGTGTGGGTGGGGGGAAGGGGGTGAGGGGTGGGGGGTGACGTGGGGGGGAGGGGTGGGGGGAGGCGGTGTGGGTGGGGGGAAGGGGGTGAGGGGTGGGGGGAGGCGGTGTGGGTGGGGGGAAGGGGGTGAGGGGTGGGGGGAGGCGGTGTGGGTGGGGGGAAGGGGGTGAGGGGTGGGGGGGGGTGCCCTCTGATTGACATGACGTCAGTGCCGCATAATTTTATCCGCTCTACCAAATACAACCCAGCTGCTGCTGTCTACAGGAATCCAATTGGCAACCGCCGCTTTGGCGCCCTCCCCCCCCAAAGATGACGTCACCGTCGAGAGGTGCGCGAGGGGGGGGGGCGGTTAATCAAGGGGAAAGTGAGGGGGGCGGGGCTTGAGATGAAAGGGGGGGGCCTAGAAAGGGGGAGTGGGCGGGGCTTGATGTGTGTGTGGACAGGGCTTGTTGTGTGTGGGCGGGGCTTGTTGTGTGTGGGCGGGGCTTGTTGTGTGTGGGCGGGGCTTGTGCGAGATGGGCGTGACATTTGGGCGAGGGGGCGGGGCTTGTTGTGCGATATGGGCGGGGCTTGTTGTATGTGTGGGCGGGGCCTGTGCGAGATGGACGTGACCTTTGGGCAAGGGGGCGGGGCTTGTTGTGCGAGATGGGCGGAGCTTGTTGTGTGTGGGCGGGGCTTGTGAGAGATGGGCGTGGCCTTTGTGTAAGGGGGCGTGGCTTTTGAGAAAGGGGGCGTGGCATTTGTGTAAGGGGGCGTGGCCTTTGAGAAAGGGGGCGTGGCCTTTGGGTAAGAGGGCGTGGCCTGGGGCAACCCGATAACACAAGATGGCGGAGGCGGGCAGAACGGCGGCTTGGAAGGGAGAAGTGACGTGCAGGTAACCCGAGTCCCAACCTCAACCGCCGCCTCGACCACGGCGCCCCCCCCCCACCTCCTCTCTCGTCGAACTACCCCGCCCGCCCTCCCGTTCACGTAGTCAGCAGCTCCCGCGAAGCCGAGCGAGGCCTTTAATGTCCTCCCCGTCCCGCCACCACCTCCGGGCCTGAGGAAATCCACGAGATTTCGGCTTTTTGAAATCGTAGCGCGGATGGTCGTCGCGAGCGTTCCGGCTGCGCGTTGATTGGTTCGTTTCGCACCACGGAGCGGTTGAGGGGAGCGGCTCGACCAATCGGCGGACGGAGCTCGCGTAAGCGGACTATGAAATGTCGTCGTTGGGGGTGGGGGGATTTGTGCGTGGCCTCAAGGCCTAGCGAGGTGTGTGTTTAGCGCCGTCTTTGTCTTTCTTTGTTTTTAATCGCGTCGGTGAAGAGGTGAATTTAAACGAACGTTATAATCGGGCGAGGTGAGGCTGAAATCCGAGGGCATCGCTTGCACGCTAAAATGCCACGGCTGCTGGTTTGGTTTGGTTTGAACGCGGCGGCCGCTGGGCCGTGTTTACGTTGTCGGAGCCGGGTGGGCTGATATTTTATAATTTTAATGTTTTTTAAAAATAACTTGAAAAAAATAAGCGATTAAAACGGCGTCGCGTTCACTCGTTTAACGCGATTTTGAGTTCAAATCCCCGGCCGTTGCCTTCATCACGTGCACGCTCTTTGTCGTGTGGAATAACGTGTGTGCGTGAGAACGCGTTCCTGGTGCTCGTCATAGGAACGTGGAATTGTTCTTGTACCGTCAAGCTTTGGTTTGCCAACGAAGTGAAGGCGTTGCGTTGAATTGGGTGGCGTATTTTGTTGTAGCGAATGTGCGAGGTCTGTGTGTTGGCGGTACGTGGGGAGCGGTGGGTGTAGTGGTTAGCGATACGAACCCGGCGACCCGAGTTCTGAGCCGGTCCTGGGCCTCACCTAGGTCGACTCGGCCTCACGAGTGTCTGGAGCGTTGTGTAAACATCGCCACTGGAGAGACAAAGGCGGCCGGGCGTCGTGCTGGCCACCCATCCCTTTCGTGTGCCGTGCCGGCATTCATAGGTGCTCGCTAACAGCACTTGCCCCAACAGTCTCTTATAGGCTACCAGTGCTCGGTGAGGCCTCCAAACGCCACGCGGGTTCTCGTAAGTCAGAGGTGGGGAACCTTTTGTCTGCCAAGGGCCATTTGGATATTTATAAAAATTATCAACTTAAAAATAGCCCGTTATATTTCGTCAAACGTTTAATGAACTCGCCCCTAATGTGATGTCTGGTAGTGCTTCTCTTTGGCGAGGCGTGTAATGTTAGCTGGTATTGATGATGTTGCTGCTACTGGCAACTGCTTTTCCAGGTTTGCTCCTAGATCTATTGGATTTCGAGTCCGGCCTTCCATTGATTTGCCTTGGCAGGGCCGCACCAAATGATTTCTCTGGCCTTATACGGCCCGCGGGCCAGACGTTCCCCACAGCTGACGTAGGTGATGTGACCATCTCTTTATACACGCTGGTTAAAGTGCACGTGACTTTTTACGGCGGTTGCCTATATCCAAATCACAATCGAGCCTCACGAGATCGGGGCGCGTTGTGAGTTAAGTTTGCAAACCCCGACGATTGACTTCCCACGCCACTGTGTGAATGAATATATACTCGTCAACGTTGGCCAGACGTCTTGAAAAACGATTTCAACTATATATTTTTTTTACATTATGACTGCAGGTATTGTGGTCTATGCAAACATGACTCCTTGTAAAAAAAAGGTGTCAGTTTTGTTGCCAGATAGAAGGGTAAAAAACCAATTATATATTTTTACTGGCAAATGAGGTTCCAATGGCGTATACTCTTTTGTTCTTTCGGTAAAGTCACGTAGGTATAAAATCTTGACGTTACCTACGTGACTTTACCGAAAGAACCAAAGAGAATGGATTCCTGCAGTCACGAAAGCTTCAAATTAAGATTTAAACTATTTTTGTTATTTTACCAGGTAAGGCCCACTGAGCTACTATATAGCTCTTTTTTTCAGAAGCTGGCTGGCCACAAATGGTATCTCAAAATCTGGAGGTCCTGGAGAAAAATCCACGCGACAATGCAGGTGTCGAGGTCGGGATAGAACTCGCGATTTCCTGTATACCAGGCGAGGTAGTTAACATCTGGCCACGATGGCGCCCTTAAATACTCGTCCACGCTGGCCAGAAGTGGAAAAGGTGACGGTGCCGACAATTGTCCCCACCACACACGACCTGCCGATAGACAAACTGTGGTGTACCCATTTATACTCCAGGCTGGACAGAGGCGGGAGGGATTTAAGAAATTTGGCCATTGTTTTCAACTGCCGCGCCAGGAGATCGAACTGCGACCTCTGGATTGCAAGTCTAGTGTGTGAACCATTACGCCACGGTAGCATCCTACGTGGTATGTAATGACTATAAATGATCTCGTTTATAAATAGAGGCTATGAGAATTTTTTTCTGGCGGTATAAAGGGGAACATACTGTGGCTGCCAAAGGAGAAAACACTTGCGGGAGGACGTCCACTCAGAAGATGGAGTGATGACATCCGCTTGGGTGCAGGTGCTAGATATATTGCTGCATCGCGTGAGCCTGAGAGATGATGATGGCTTGACGCATTCATCTAGCAGTGGATTAACCATAGCTGATGGCTTTATCCAGGAAAACATCACACCCTTAACACTTTTTTCAGGAGGGTCCTGCATGAGATGATTGGCCAGTTCCATTAATCACACTACACTTTAATCCTGAGACTCCAACATGTGCATTTGGTTATCTAAACCTGAGAACCTTGAAACGATAAAGGCTTATGAAGGCTGTGGATAGATAGTAGATGAATTGGTGTGTGATGTTCCATTTTCTCGTGTCACTGGGACAGGTATTTTCTTCACGGCGTCTGTCGGGAGGGTCGTAACTGCCCCTACTCACACGATCTGAGCACTAGCAAGCCTGCCATGTCCTGCAAGTTCTACCAACGTGGGCGCTGCGTCTATGGAGACGGCTGCAGGTGAGCGAGCGGGGCCAATGGGGTCGTGAGTTGGTGTGAGGTGGGTTGGAAGTGCTTTGGTTACCGGTGTGAGTTTATAGCAGGGGTGAGAGGGCCAGAGTAAGCGAGAGGTGTGAGTGGACAATGTTTGTGGGCGAGGGCAATTGGTGGGGGGCGAAAGGGATGGGTATGTGAGAGGATTGAGGTGGCAGGGTGAGTGAGAGTGGCGGTGAGAAATGGGTGTTGATGTCCAAGGGAAGTGATTGAGAAGGACTCGTTGAGGGAGTTGAAAAAGAGATGACGAGCCACCGAGAGCTGCCTTGAACGAAATTCTTTGATTTGCTGCTATAGATACGACCATGTCAAGCCGCCCGCCCCATCAAAGCAGCAACATGCAGCGCCGCCGTCGGCAGCCAAAGCTCCCCCACGCCCCGTACCGCTCACATCCGATTGTGGGGCCGCTCCGTCCAAGCTGACACCGCTGAGCCGTGCCAAGCAGGGCTCCGAGACAGGGGGAGCCACGGCAGCGGGGAAACACGGGCTCAACCATCCACTCGGCAAGGCCGGGGGGGCGGCCGACTGGGTCAACGCAGCCGAGTTTGTGCCCGGGCAACCCTACAATGGCCGAGAGGGTGAGATCATATTGCCTTTTTTAATTTATATTTTTCAACTCAAGTTAAAATTATCTATGTATTATCTCTGTCTGGCTAGCACAAGATGGCCAATGTAATTAGAGTTAGCCACAAACCTGAAAGATAGGTAGAAAAACCTAATGCATTAGCTCTGCCTGTATGTCTAGACTAGGTGGAGGATGCACAATAACTCTCGTAAAGATGATCCAATGCGAACAAAACTTACCTATAAAATTACCTGGCACTATGTGCGTGTCAATTAATGGCCATTTGCGACATGCCTTCTCGCCTACCCTGACACCGCCCAGTCCCGTCGTCGTACCTGGCGGCGGCGCAAGAGGGGCTACCACCACAGGAGGAACCGGTCCCACCGCCGGCGCCAGCGGGCGCCTCCCAGCAGCTGTGCCCGTACGCGGCGGTGGGCGAGTGTCGCTACGGCGACCACTGCGTGTACCTGCACGGCGACGTGTGCGACATGTGCGGCCTCCAGGTGCTGCACCCGTCCGACTCGGAGCAGCGCACGCAGCACCACCGGGTGAGACGCGCCGTGATGTGACGCAACTCGCTCGCCAGTTCAGAAGCGGAATGTTCATTTAGACTGCAGGAGGAATCCGATGCGGTATACAGCTCTTTTTCACAGATTTCCAATTGGGGTAGGTCAACAAACAATACAAAACACGACAGGAGTGCAAATTATTGGCAAGGTCAACAAATCACTTAAATATATACAAATAAAACTAAACTTTTTTTTATCTTGCGAGGTAAGGCCGACTGAGCCATTAGCTTCGTTTTCAGTCATAGCTCAACCAAGTGGCTTATGTGGAAATGGACAGCAGCAAAATAATTAAAAAAATAGATGCATGTTTCGCTGGATATTTTCCTTGTCGTTGGTCAGCTGGAGTAGGCTCGTGCTCAGTAATTTTGATTTGTTGTCCAATGTTGATGTGCAGTTGTAATACCCGCTGTTGTCCGTGGGCGTCGTGTGAGCTGTGCGGACATGGTTCTGTAAACTTACACGGGGAGACGTTTGGAATTCACTGAATAGGGGGCAGCCAGGGCTTAATTTGCGGCCAGATTTTTTGAGGGAATAGGTGGCGCGTGTGACCCCGGAGTAGCCACAGCTATGTATGTTCGATGTGTGTAGCCTGCAGAGATATTTTTTTATGTCGCTCACCTGAACAGACCCGGTTGAAATTAAGCTCTGATTATATTATCGGGCGTGTTAAAATTCAACCGTTTCACCGCCCCTTCTTCCTCGGTGAATCCATGAATCGTTGCGAACCGGGGTCATGATGAAAATGACGAATATATTCCAACGTTGGCATGCGCAGTCACTTGTGCGCGGTGGCTTTAGCTTCTCCACGTCAGTTATTGACGGCGACGCTCTCGCTCCCCCCACGGTGGCGCCGACTGACCGGCGATGTGGCGCAGGCGTGCGTGTCGGCCCACGAGAAGGACATGGAGGCGGCGTTTGCGGTGCAGCGCAGCAGCGGGGTGGTGTGCGGCATCTGCATGGAGGTGGTGTTTGAGAAGGCCCGCGCGTCGGAGCGCCGGTTTGGCATACTGTCGAGCTGCTCGCACGCGTACTGCCTCTCCTGCATCCGCAAGTGGCGTCGCACCAAGCAGCTGGAGAACAAGGTCATCAAGTGAGTCGGCTCGGAGCTGCAACTACAGAGCGTCCCCGGTCTCAAGGCTTCGGGTTTCACGTGCGCGCGCTCGTGCGTGTGTGGGTTCATAAATGTCCTAGTGGTATCCACTGAACCAGCTCTGCCACTGTGAAGTTCTTAGGTTATAGAGCTGAACCTGCTTCTCTGAAGGGGTTGGTAATGGCCGTGTCTAAAGCCACAGAGCGGACACCGCCGAGATCCTGGGTATGTTAATACCTGGGGGTCGATGTCTCCTTGGAGGTTCGTAATGGCCGATAAACCCGCAGGTCGTGCCCCGAGTGCCGCGTGACGTCCGACTTTGTGATCCCGAGCGAGTACTGGATCGACTGCAAGGAGGAGAAGGACAAACTCATCCAGAGCTACAAAGACGCCATGGGGTAAGATGAGCGTCCCTCCTCCAACACTTCCCAATTAGAGGAGGGAGGGATGGTGAGAGGGGAGGGAGGTTGAGATGTTTCCTCCTCCCTTCTCACCATTCCCCCCCCATTCTCCCCCCATTCTTTATCTCTGTCACTTCACCTATTCTCCCCTCATCTCTCCCCTGCCTGCTCTCCTCACTTTCTCCCCTCCATTCCATCTCTCTCCCCTCTCACCATTCCTTCCCTCCGACAATCCCCTCCCCAATTTCCTCTCTCCTTCCCTCTCACCATTAACTCCCCCACCACCACCACCACCTCTCACTCACTCCCCTGCGTCTGTTGTCCCCACAGGCAGAAGGCGTGCCGTTACTTTGACCAGGGCCGGGGCTCGTGTCCATTTGGAGTGAAGTGCTTCTACCTGCACGCGTACCCCGACGGGCGCAAGGAGGACAAGGCGCGGGCGCGCAAGCAGCACGGGCAGGAGGGACACGTGCGGGTGAGGAGGCAGTGGCAGCATCGCTCGCTCGCCCCCGGTCCATCGCTCGCTCGCCCCCCGGTCCATCGCTCACTCGCCCCCGTCACTCGCTCACCCCCGGTTCATCGCTCGCTCGCCCCCCGGTCCATCGCTCGCTCGCCCCCGGTCCATCACTCGCTCGCCCCCGGTCCATCGCTCGCTCGCCCCGTCGTTCGCTCACCCCCGTCGCATGCTCGCCCCCCAAACACAGCCCGGAATTGACTAATTGCATTGAAAGTAGAAGCACAGTGTTGCTTGGAAAATTGGAACAATTTCCCTGCGGTACCTGATTTAGTGCGGCTAGGATCCTGGCCCGCAATAATAGAGTACTTGAGGGGATATGTTATTGAGGTGATGGATTGTCCGCGAGCTGTTTCGATCGATGTGGTTGCCTCATGTGGCCGCAATTTCCTACCTGGGCCTTAACCGGTGCCCGCTGTCCATTGGATGGCGAGCGTACATGCGAGCTCGGGGGTGACCTGTATTCGTACGTTTGTTTCTTCGCGCAGTTCCAAAGCTCGATTCGGCTGTGGGATTTCATCGAGGAGCGGGAGAGCCGGGCGGCACTGCTCGACTCGGACGACGACCTCATCTTCTCGGACCTCAGCGATCTCCTCTTCATGCTGCTCGCGGGAGATGCCGACTTCGCCACCGACTCCGACGACGATTCGGACCTCTTCGACGACTCGGACCCCCTCGACGACGACGACGAGTTTTTCCTGTGACGGTTTCCCCCGGCTCTCGCCCGCTTGCCTTCCCCTCCCCGTGACGCGCGAACAGCTCTCGCTCCTCGTCCTCCTCCCGTTCCGCCAGCGACTTCGCGCACCGCTCCGCGCCGCCCATTTGTCTGCACCGCCTTATTGTGCCGCCCTCCCCTTTCTCCTGGGGGGGGGGGGGGGGTCTCCGTTCGTCTCCGTCGACCGTTATTTTCCCGCCGTAATTTTTTTTCCCCAGCGATTTAACCTTCATCAGGTTTGAATTTTTTTCTCCCCCCCCCCACCCCCGCGCCAATCGTGACGGTGACGTCATGGGTGGCGATTTAATTTATTTGCCGGGAGTCGTGCGAAGGTTCCGCAGGCCTTGGTGCAGCCACGGTCAGCCCGAGCTGCTCCGCTTTTGGTCCACGGTATTAGCCGCGAGACAGTTTCATTGATCCAAGGGTTACACTGGAGATTGGCATTCATTGGCTGCCCATCCAAGGTTCTGCCCTGGCCAATCCTGGGCCGCGATACTCGGCACTGGCCTGCGTACATTGTGCTGCACGATTGACTGTGCTCGGGCATGACCATGCGCCAATTTGTTCTGCCGTTTATTGCGGCTGTTGCCGGAGGCGGCTGCTGTTTTGGAGACCTCTCTCGGGAGAGGACGATGGTGGTGGTGACGGAGTGAGTGGGGGAATGGGAGGGATCATTCTGTAAAGGTGTTGATTTCACAAAGGGCTATCTCAGCGGAGTGGGGGTGGCGGGGGTTTGGATGCTTATGCTTGCGCTGACATCAAATCTGGCAGTGCACGTGGGAGATGGGAGGGTGACGATCACAGTTCAGAGGGGGGCGAGGTGGTCAGATGCAATGAACGAGTCGAGGCGCCTGGTAGATGAGGCGGTAGTGATGCTTCGTTCTCGCGGTGTACTGACTTGACGTCACACGCGATGCAGACAAACTCCTGAATAGTAGTTTGGGCCTCCACTGGATCCACTCAGCCCAAAACGAACGCCCGGTGTTTGAACACCCCGTGTCAAGTCGGCGCCACTACCTTCTCATCTGCCGGGCCAGCAATTGAAACACTCGCCTGAGGCTGTGGTTCCCAGTGCTGCATCCCACAAGTAGGGACTGATGTTGGACCCCTCTTGATTCTTTCGCTCTGCTCGCTGCCCATCGCGAGTTCCCAATGGACGGCTGCCTTGCTGCAGTCGAGTTGGCAGCCCCAGCTTCTTGTGAGCCCTGGCTCCGTGGCGGGGGGGGGAAACCTTGGCCTGCAGTGTCGCGAGCGATCGCCTGGTTTGCAAGTGCCGGGACGTTCTGTCTGCAGGCAGGATCCACTTCTCTTTAACCTCTCAAAATCGTTAATTCGTGAATGTCGGTACCTGCACCTTGCCCTTACCCCATCACCCCCCCCCACCCCCCATTGCCTCCGCGCCCAGCGTAGTGGTGTAATGCACAGACGACGTGTGTAGGTGTTTGCAACTTGGCCTGAAAACTCGGACTTGGGAAAATTCTCCCCCGCCACCGCCTCGGCCCTAAAGCCGGCTCCGCACCTGAGAAATGGGTTGCGCAACTTGTTAGCATGCAACTGAATCGCTTACGTGTGTGCAACTAGTTGCTTGGAGACGGACGACTTTTGAGAAGCGACATTTAAAACGTGCACGTTTGTGAACTGTGAGTAGTCGTTACGATCTGGAATGCGCACTGTCTAGTTTCCCTGTTGCACAATTGCTCGTTCAGTTCTGGTCAAAGCAGTTGCAGGCGATTTTTGTGCAAGTTTCGAGAGCGGTGTGGATCTGGCTGAAGACTCGAGCACATAAAGACCTCTAACTTGCGTAACTAGCAGTGTTGACAGTCCGGCATACTCGTATTCGTTACACAGTACGTTTCTCAGAAGATCGAAACAAATATACGTACTCTTTAACAGTGCGACCGCGGTCCTGCGTCACAACGGGCGGCTATGTGGATTTAAAAAAAGCTCCATTGGGCTTGCGTTGAGTGATGGGTGCACAGGCTCGGGGAAACGTGAGGCAAGCCTTGGAAGTTTTAGGACTCGTCGGCATGAATCGTTGTTGGCTTTCCCGGCTCCTTGCAATTAACAAGACCCATAGACCCATCGCTTCCAGGCGTGCTCTCGAAAACGATGGCTGCAACTTTATCTCCGGAAACTGTTTATTATACTCAACCTGCACCCAGTAGATACATCGCAACCTCGCTGTTCAATCGAAACTTCTGGCTGCCCTCTAGCTGCTGCTAACGTTTCGTTAAGGCAAAGCAGAGATTCTAGTTTTAAACCAAACGCTGTCAAATTCTTGGTTGTTTGAGAACATTTTCTCAACAAGGGCGCTCATTCGTTGCAGCCGCTTAGCCTGTCCCGTTGTGCGACTCGTTAGAGGGAAGCCTGCTCCTTTATTTTCCCCGAGTTGAATAACTGCTACACTCACTCACGCGCGCACGCACGCCACTTGTGTAAAGTGGCAGAGTGCAGCCTGCATGTTAGGGTGGGGACGGTGGCGGTGCTGGGAAGGCGGCACCGGCGGCGTTGTGCCTCCCCTGCTCCGCCTGCCGTCGCCACCTCCTCCCCTCGCGCCTTGCCCTATCGTACCTCACCCGGGCAGCGCGCGGTGGGGGCGGCACTGTCATCGCGGCGTAGCCATTGCGGCAATGCCGCCATCGCGTCGTCCGCGGAGCGAGCGAGCGTGCTGCGGTGACGGAGAGAAACGCTCGGGCTTGCCCGGTACTGGGAGCTTCTAAACCGCGAGAGGCTGGGGCGGGCCAGTTGGCGCCACCACCGGACAGGATGCAAGAACCCCGAACGGACCAATTGGGTGCGACATAATGAGCAGGCAGTTTGTGAGGTGCACCGTAGTACAAATAGGACGTTGTGTGGCAGGTGGTTCAAATAGTCCGTAAGGTGATATGTGAAGACAGGTAATGTGAGACTCCCATTGTGCACGTCGTTTTGAAAAGCCATGCGCAGGCAGGAAGGAAGGTAGGCAGCCCGTAAGATTGATCGTACCACAAGAGATGGGTTGTAACTTGGATTGGATCTCAAGACAGCGTTGTCGTGTGGGCAGTGAAAAAGTGGCGTCACCACTTGGGAGACCTCTTTAATGTCCTCCTTTATCCCCTACCACATCATTATCACAAATGAGGCATATGTTACCATTTGAGCCTGAAGCCAATTCAAGGTTTTTCTTGATTTTTGCCAATTGAAACATGAATGACCTTTGTTAATTTTCGGATTGAGGTAAACCTAAGCTGGTTTAAATCACCAAGTTTAACAAAGTAGTTGAGCTTTATCATCAACCAAGAGGTGGGATAAATCAGAAAGTTGCCTTTAGCTGCTGTGAAAGTCAAGGAAATGTTGCTATCAAATTTGATCACACTACATCCACTTTTAAGATACTGTTCTCAAATAAGAAAATGCCATCTGCTGAGTGACCAGTCCAGACTGGCTATGTACTGTAGACTCAGGAAGAGTGATTGCACATTTGGAGTTCCCCCCGAGTTATTTTATGGAGGGGTGTGCGTGGGTTGGTTTTTGGAGATTCCTGCTCCACACTCTTTTGGGTCCCTTCCACAATATTTCTCCACCAGCCGTGGTTTGGACTATCGCACAGAATTTGCCCGCATGGCCTCTATTCTACCTCATTAAACTCGTAACTCCCACTGCGTTTTGTCCCAGTTATTCCCCAAGTGGACTTGAGTTTTCCCATTTTGGTGCCGCTGCTTAGACTCCGATGGGGCACGCGCGACGGGACCCGTACATTGTTCCAGCCGGGAGAGCCGTGTCCCAGCGCGAAGTGAACTCGAGCGGCCGTTGATTTTATCCGTTGATTAAAACAAAAGTAAAATAAACCGGTAAACCTATTTGCACATTTTGCGACGCGGTGGTGGTCAAAATGAGTAGGGGCTTGGCTACAACCACTAAATCGTAATCGAGAAGGAACGACGAGCGAATCCTCGCGCGCGCCAGACCTTGGTGCGCGTTCGTGAGCTACGCACTCGCCTGAAGCTTCCAGTACCGGGGCAAAACATGCGTGCGCGTGTTGCCTTATCGAAGCCGCGGCGTCTTTTGGCACGCAAATGGTGGACGCCGCTGGACGATCGAGCGCCGGTTTTTCGCGAGCCGCGGTGGAGGTTTTGTGGGGGGTTGAGAGGGGCGAGTTTTGACGACCCGAGGCGCTCGCCCATTGCTCGTACGGGTTTTCCTCTCCATTCCATGTACAATCTTGTAGATAACACAATAAATATGAACTTTGGTTGCCTCTCCATTCCCGTGGTGTTTGTGCTGAGGGTTTGTTTCGCTCCAAGTTGTTGGTTGTGGTCTTGCAGGGATTAAGTGGGTGGTTCTTAACCTTTTGGTTCTCAATCGTAAAAAAAAAAAATTTTACTATAAATCCTTTATATGCGTGGCGGCTAGAGTCCTCTCGTCCTCTGGCTTGAGATGGCTGCCACCTATGGGTCAGATGATTGCCTGCCACCATTAAGCAATTGGTAATTCAATATTTTTTAAAAATTCCTAAAGTGTAACATTTTGGGAAAAAAAATTTTCACAAAAATAAATTGTGTGCAAAATGTCAGCTCGATTGGATCACGGGAAGTGGGTTAAAAAACGACCGAAAGATTTGCACGGTCGTAAGCGCGCAAGCAAACAAGCAAGTGAACTTAATATAAAGGATTTAAAAAGGATGTTAATACATACATCGGTTTAATGAAACAAAGTAGTTGTACTTATGTGCCCGTGCTTACATTTTTTTAAATTTACCTGCTAAAGAAATTGGCCATGTCGCACACCTCCTTGTGGTGCGTGCACCCCAGGTTAAGAACCACCGACTGGCTATAGTTCTCGCCAAATGTTTTCTGGTCGCTGACAAGACTGATTAGGTAGCATGCGACTTACAGCCATCGTGAGAGGTGGTGTACAGGTATCACTTGATTTCCGATCATTCGCATTTACCAAATTTCGCGTAGTCGCAATTGACAACGCGTGGGACACTTTTCGATGAACGAAATCGAATTTCCGCGGGAACGAAATTTCCGATGGCACACGCCATGAGGGCATCAAACAAGACGCACCCGGGAGGGTGCCGTCATCCATCCGTGACAGCGCTACGCTGTCCCTGCACTCCTGCAGTGCAGCAGCAATGTCTCCCCATTACCTCTCCAGTCATACCAACATGCAGCAGGTCTTTTGGGAAGTTCCCTTAAAATGTGAATTATATTTAACAAAAAATTATTCAACCATTTTAATTTGTTCTTTATTTTTGTATTGTGAAAAGGGATATAGATGTATGCGTGTTAGGTTTGGAGTAGAGTTGGAATGACTGAAACATCCACAATTTAGTATGAATGCAAAAAGCCATTTTGATACACATTATTTTTGTGTTTTTGAAGAATGTGTGCCAGGTATAGAAATATTTTCTGGGTCACAGACCCAGATTAATCTATGCCCTGGTTACCTGAGTTTCAGAAAAAAAAGATATCTTTAGACTGGAGGAATCTGATTAGTTATGAAGCTCTTCACAGATGCCCAGAAGTAAAATTTGAGGGTCTCCCCACACCACCCAATTGTTGGTTATTTGAGCATACTTCCCCACGCTGGTCGGTGCACGTTGGTAGCAAAGGCGGGAAGCAACGATGTGGACGCAGATTGCACAGGACAGCAATGGGATTTGCTGCAGTGCCCCTTAACACCTGCGTTACGTGCACAGTGGTCGTCCATCCAAGCACAATCCAGGCTCTATTCTGCTTAGCTTTTGAGAGTCGGATTAGATTTGGCACATTCAGGGTGAACTGATCTTGAGCTTCATTGCTAGAAAACATTTAAAATGGTTTCCTGCGGTTGCTGTAAGCACAACTTGAATGGAAGTAATTTAATTACAGCCCTTCATCATTCCGTGCTGTGCAGGAATTGACCAAACCTGGGCACGGGAGTCAGTGAAGGCATACATGGAGAAGTACAGTACAACGGCTCTTGCTGCCCTTAATGTAGCCCTGCAGCAGCCGACAACTGTTTTACTGGTAGGAACCTCCTGGTTACACCAGCCCACGGGATTATTGTGTCCGTCGTGCAGGGAGGGGCTGGGTGGGGAGGGGAGGGTGGGGAGGGGCTGGTCACCCCGTGGTGCTCTTATAAAACTCAACGTTTAACCTACTCACGCCGGCTTGTGCCTGCCCTCACAGTCGGGCATATTTGAGGAATACACCACGCCGCCGTTGACCCTGGCCATTGACCGAGCAACCCAACGTTCCTACCAGCTCCCTCCGCAGGAATGTGTTATGCAGTGGGTGCTTTCAACACACCTGCACTGAGTAACCATAATAATTTTTTTTAGGGATGTCGAGGTCAAGGTTTAATCATAACATTTACCACATTTCCTCTCCCCTTGCAGAGGTAAGCTCATCTCACACAAAGCCTAATTAATGTTAACCAGGGCCCGTTTAATGATCTAATTAGAGGTCGTGAGCGACAATCGGCATCGCCACCTGCTTCACACCTCCAGGACAAAACGCAGGCACAAAGGGAACGGCTCCAATAACAGCTTCACTTTATTGGCAAAAATAAAAACGGACGCACAGAAGGAGCAGAACATATTACGGGAGAATCGGTGGCTGCCAGGGTGCTGGCACAGTCCCCATTTTGAGAGGCACCACGTGTGTGTGTGTGCGCGCGTGTGTGTGCACGTGTGTGTGTGTGCACGTGTGTGCGTGTGCGCGCACAGGCAATGACCGAGGCCTATCGTATCGCGTTTAAATGAATGCAGAACTCAAGTTGGTAACCGAGTTGACCCCCCCCCACCTAACACAGAGTTTTCATGTTCTTTAGACAAACCCGAGTCACCCGGCAATCCCTGTAGTTTTTTTAGACGATTTCTCTGGGCTGATTTCGCTCCGAGTGGCTCTGCCCGGATCCCCGACGTCAGAATGCAAGCCGAGGCCGGAGGGGATTCACATCACCGAACACGTTATGGTGAAACATAAAATGTTAACTTGTCGGAATTTTTTTCCCCCCCGCTTTTTTTGTTAAGACTCGATTTGTCCATCAACTCAAGTACCACGAGAGCAAGGGGGCCAACTGGAGGTGGATGCGAGTCGACTTGAATTCACCGTCCCGTGGAAACGAGGCGCAAGCAGCGACCAACCCCGGCCATCACAGGTAGAAGTCCGTGGCGAAGTCGTAACTGTCGTCGTTAGGCGCACGGGCAGCAGCTGGAGGGGCGGTCTTTGTGACAGCCGGAGTAGCGGTCTTTGTGGCAGCAGCTGGAGCAGCGGTCTTTGTGGCAGCCGGAAGAGCGGTCTTTGTGGCAGCCGGAGTAGCGGTTTTTGTGGCAGCCGGAAGAGCGGTCTTTGTGGCAGCCGGAGTAGCAGCGGCAGCAGCGGTAGCAGCTCGCGTCCTGCCGAGTGGTGTCCTCGTCACGGCTCCTGCAAACAGGAACAGGCCACGGGAGAGAAGCAGCTCATTACCGGTGAGCAGTGCATTGTGGGTGACCTACTTGGTTAATCTTTGATTAAATTCAACGTCATTTTCGGATTGTAAATGTTGTGGATTAGCTCTGTGCTAGTAACGAATTGGCCACGTTCTGTTTACGTGACAAACCTTACTAATTGTGTCGGGTGGTGGCGGGTTTAACGACACACATTTATGCGATCTAACCCAAAAAAACTAAATTTTGACTTAACTTTAGTAACTGCAGGAATACATATTCTTTGGTTCTTTTGGTAAGGTCACGTAGATCGAAAAATAATATTAAAAAGTGAATAAAAATAATAAAATGAAATAATAAAACGAATAAAATTATTTTAAAAAAATTTCACTTTATTTTAGTTTTTCTATCTACGTGACTTTACCGAAAGAACCAAAGAATACCGAAAAAACCTATATTATGGCTTAGCGTCTCACGTGCACGAACTAGGTGGGGATTGTTGAATCGTGTGACCATTAGGAATGGCGACGCCCTGGGGAGACCTTCACCCAGCAGCGGATAGATCATGGCCGACGACGATTCCGTTCAGATTTAACTACAGATGGCAACCCTTTGACCCCCTTCACTCGCGGTGTCGCAAACAGCGGCCGAGGTCCGGTCCAGGTTCTCCCACAGTCCCTACCCCCCCTGCCAGTCTCACCGTGATCTCTGTCAACGCCAGGCCCAGGAGCGATCGCCGCTTTTCCATTCCCCTCCGCCGTGACCTGCAAAAGCAACAACGTCGCACCGTGACTCAACAGGCATGGGGGCAGCACCCAAAGTTCGTGCAATTTAATCACGTAACTTCATACTGGTAGGAACCACCTGGTTCCATCAGCCCATAGGGGATTATTGTGTCCATCCATTGTGCATCCAAAAATGGGAGGGGTGGGGCTGGGTGGGGAGGGTGGGCTGGGTGTGGAGGGGCTGGTCATCCCGTGGTGCCCTTATAAAACTCAACGTTTAACCTACTCACGCCAGCTTGTGCCCGCCCTCACAGTCGGCCATATTTGCGGAATACACCACGCCGCCGTTGATCCTGGCCATTGACCGAGCAACCCAACGTTCCTACCAGCTCCCTCCGCAGGAATGTGTTATTTGTAACTCCTTACTCGGCAAAAACGTTACACCTCTCAAAGCACTCGGTAATTCTGCATCTACAATACATTACGTCGGTGATTTGAATGCACTTCGCCCATCAAGTTTGCCCGAGAGCTACGCTTTGCTCCACTCGACGAGTAGTGAATACAGAATATTTATTTATACTGGCGGAATCCGATGAGCTATAAAGCTCTTTTTCACAGATGTCCAGCAGGGGCACACGGGGTTAGAACATTACAACAAATAACACGACATTGAGTGCAGGAAGTATTGGAAAGGCGAACAAATCACTTAAAATATACAAATACATTTGTTTTTAATCTTACCAGGTAAAGTCCACCGAGGTATTAACTTATCTTCAGAAGCGACCCAGCCACAAATGACAGCTCAACAGAGTGGCTTAACGTGTCTGGGCACCATGGCCACGTGGAGTGTCCACACACGTGGAGGGCGAGTCCCAGGACGGGCTCCCATGTCACTCTCTGCCACTTCTGGTGGTGGCCATGGTGGTGTCGGCGGCAGCCAGAAATCGGGCGCGGCTAACCGCCGCTCCCCGTGAGTCAAATATAGGTTCGTGCACCACGCGCTGCGAACCCGGCGACCCCGAGTGAGATTCCCGCCCATAGCCAACATCAGTGGCGAGCGAGATCTGCACAAACACTGGGCCCCTAACCCCCCCCCCGCCTTCACCAACCAAGAGTGACCAGCGTGGTGAAGTATGCTTTCATCCAGCAGTGGATATAGAAAAGGAAAATAATTATTTAGTATAGGGCGGTGCTGCTGCCTTCATTTACTGATTTGAACATTCCTATGATCAGGGTTAGTCTATAATAATACGAATGCATAAATATAAATTCTTTGGCGGATAATAATTTCTTTATTTTAGATAATTATATTTAATTTGAGCTTTCAGTCTCTTTGAATTTGGGCTCTCAACTTGCTAAATAAAGGCTCTGACTGAGTGCAGAACAGAAATAAACCCACCTCTTCCATATCGTCATCTTCATCATCATCGTCTTCATCATCATCATCGTCCTCATCATCGTCCTCATCATCATCCTCATCATCGTCATCATCATCATCTTCCTCATCTATTGCCATGTCCTCAATCTTCTCGGCTTTGTTGTCTTCGGCCTTCTCGACTTTGTTTCCATTCCGTTGCTGCTGCCCTTTGCTGGCGCTGGCTGTTACCGCTTGCTGCTGCTGCTGCTGTTTCTGCTGCTGCTGCAGATGCTGCAGCTCCAGGTCGTTGAGGACCCCCTTGGTGGAGCCGTAGCCCTTCACAGCGATGCTCCCGGCCGGCATGGGGAAGCGGCACCCTGCAAGGGCGCGAAAGAAAAGTTTCAAGTTGACGTTGTTTGCCCAAGTGAGGGGTCTGAGGAGCCCAGGAGAGTCTGATGCAATAGTGACCTGGGGGATATTAACTTTGCCAGTATTTGGCGATGATTGCTGCTGCTGAGTGTGTGTGTGTGATCCCAATTGAGCGATGATGTCGTCACGGGCATTTAAACTAAAACTGAACAATTAAAAAATGTTAGCAGGTAAGGCCCACTGAGCAATATCGCTCTTTTTAAGAAGCGACCTGGCTATCAGAAATGGTGGCCGGGGCATTGAACTTCAACAATTGCGCTACCGCTCACTTATTACAACATTGCCATGGTTTTATTACCGATTACTGGGGCATTGATTTTATCAATTTGGCCAGTTTCCTTTCAGATAAACCCTTAACAGCGATGCAACTTTATACGAACATTGAATTTGGATTTGGTCATCTTGACGCGAGTTATCGCGTACCCCACGTTACAGAAGGACAAGGCAGAAGGGCAGACACAGCTGACGCATCGACACTTTCGACCTTCGTTGGAAAGTGTCGATCATAAAATCGTACAATGACATTAATTACGCAGTAATGGGAAACTATTATTGTAACTCATCATTTCATCATGAAAAATAAAAAATATAATGCTGCGGCAACACTAGCTCGTACGTCTCTGCGTCGGTGTGTTTGTACGGGCTTAACAGGTGCTTGATAACGGCATTTGAACTTTATCCCGGTACCCTGGGGTACCACAGTACCCCGGCTCTCGCACAATGTCCGTGATGCAGTCTTTTTTAGTCTGTTGATGGTCGGCGATGCGGCAATCAAACTCATCCCGACGAGCTATACACGATGCACTGGTCAAAGTTACATTTTTCGATAACGGATTTTTTATGCTGTTTGGCGTTTCGACATTGCGGAGTAGCACTGATTTCGGATTGATTGGTACCCCAGTAGCGGAGTTAAGTACACCCCTGGAAAAAAATAGTGTCCCAAAAATAAAATATGTAATTGCCTCGGCCATTTTGTATCATTTGTTACCCCGGGGAACCGCCATAAGGATCATTTGCGCCAACCGTCTTATGTGGGTTACACGGGGGACCGCGGCAAACTACATGCGGGGGATGCGAGCGGATGTGGGCAAGGGACCGTGGCACACGGTCAAGACTCACGTGACAGCGTGTCGGCGTTGGCAGTGTCCAGCGCGGCACGGTCGTAGTGCAGCGGGGGGGATTCCAACTTCTTCGTGGTCTCAGTGACCGCCAGATCCGCCGGCACGCTCGTGTGGAAACTCAGCTTCCCACTGCGACGCAAGTCACAACGATAGCGTCGCATCAGCCCGATTGCATCACGTTTGCCCACGCACACACACACACACGATAGCCAGCTGGTTAGCGCTTTGCCTTTGTGTCCATATATATGCACAAACAAGGGGAATGGTGGTGGTAGTGGTTTACGCATTGAGCTACGAATCCGGTGACCCGAGTTTTATTCACGCTCGTGACCAAAAACTGTGCCGAATATCTGGCCACCCATCCCCTGGCGTGCAGTGCCGGCCTTCAATGGTGCTTGCTGACAGCACTTGTCCCAAAAGCCTATTCAGGTGATACGAAAACCTTTAATTCTGTTGCGTGTGTTGCGTGCGTTGTGTGTGCGTTGCGTGTGTGTGTCGCCACACGCACCAGAGCCAGCTGGAGAGCACTGCCCTGTCTCGTGTGTGTTGCATGTGTGTGTGTTGCGTGTTGAGTGCGTGTGTGTTGCATGTGTGTTGAGTGCGTGTGTTGGTTGCGTGAGCGTGTCGCCACACAGCTAGCTGGAGAGCACTACCCTGTCTCGTGTGTGTTGCGTGTGTGCGTGTTGAATGTGTATGTTGCATGTGTGTTGCGTGCGTGTGTTGCGTGCGTGTTGCGTGCGTTTTGAGTGCGTGCGTGTTGCGTGTGTGCGTGCTGCGTGTGTTGCGTGCGTGTGTTGAGTGTGTGTGTTGAGTGTGCGTGTGTTGCGTGTGTGTTGCGTGTGTTGTATGCGTGTGTTGCGTGAGCGTGTCGCTACACGCACCACAGCCAGCCGGAGAGGGCTGCCCTGGCGGCCGCCGCGTGGTCCGGCACGCCGCCCTTCTTGAGGTGCCCGCGCCGCCTTGCCAGCAGCTCCAGGAACTCGCTCGTGTTGCAGAAATCCGGCACCATGTAGTGAAGCATGATCTGTGATGGCGGACGGGAGGTTAACTTAGCGACGAGCAGCATGCGCAGCCGCAAAAAACGCATCGGGAATGGCCATGATGGTGCCGTCTGTCGTTTGCCTCGAACCGCCGGGTTCAGTGTTGCCGTTCGACGGGCGGCCGCGGGGAGGCACCTGCTGCATGTTGCACCGCTCCAGGATGGCGTCGAGCTTGCGCACGGCGTCTGCGAGGTTCACGCCGCTGGCGTGCAGCCCCCGCAGCACGAGCGCCACCTCGGCGTTGTCGGCGCTCGGCAGCACCGGCGGCGAGTCCAGCATCCGCACGCTGTGGTTGCTGAGGCACACCTCCTGCATGGCCCTGTGTGGAGCGCCAGTGGTAACACCGTTACGCGGTGACGTGGTTGCACCGTGACAAGGTTGCGCGGTTGCAGGGTTGCGCTGTTACAGGTCTGTACAGCGGCAAGGTTGTGCGATTGCAGGGTAGCGCGGTTGTGGGGACATGTGGGCAGCATTTAAACACTGCAATATTCGCAACTTAAAACTTATTATCTTCAGGGTAATGACGCTGCGCTGTCTTGACACGAGTTTGAAGCTTTATTCATGAGAATAAGAAAAATAAAATTCAGGTCACGGGTCGCGGTTACATGAGCGAAGCACTACGTGTCGGGCCACACCTGGTGACGGCAGCGTTGGGCCCCACATTGCACAGGCGCGTCTTCCGCAGGCTGTTGATGATGCTGCTCTTGCCGACGTTCGGAAACCCTGGCGCGGCACACGGGAAAGAAAGAAACGGTGGGGATGAGTGAGCGGGGCGGGGCGGAGGCAATTTTCATGGTTACACAAGGAGGCCCGGTCAGACGCTGTGCCGGCACCGCTGATATGCTGGGTTTGAATCCGGGGGGGCTACACCGCCACGGCAAAATCTTGGATGAACAACAGCAGATTAAAGATGTAACTTTAGATGTTGTTATCCACTCAATTGTTTGTTCAGAAGCAGAATGTATCTCGTCTATTCCTCCTTTAAAGGAGTGAAGACAGCAGCGGGGTATTGTGGTCGATGGTTTTGTATTCGTGGTCGCACTTGCAGGCCACCGAATCTTAGATGCGCCGCGTCAGATGGCCGCATCGGACACGCCACGGCGAAATATGCGGGCCATTGCGGGGAGATGTCTCGGTCATGCTCACCTACTACGGCCACCCGGCTTGCGGTGGCGGCAACGGCAGGGGTGGTGGCGGCGGTGGGGTCTTCTGCGGTCGCGGCAATTTCGGCGGCGGCAGCGTCTTCGGTGTCTTCGCCAGCGGTAGTGGTGTCAGTAGTGGCGGTGTCAATGGTGGTGGCGTGCTTGGAGCGCTTGGAGCCGCTGCCACCATTGGAGATGGGGCTGTGGTGGTGCTGCGCCAACCCGAGCAGCAGCCCCATGAGCGCTTCCTCGCCAACGCTGCGGCTCACCAGTACTTCACTGCCGGGCAGCTGTGCCTTCACCTGCACCGTGCCAGCGAAGCGACAGCACCAATCAATCACCGTCAACTGGACCGTGGCATTCCCGTTTCGTGTTGACGTTTGTGGCCGTACTGGACTAGAAAAGGCACTAGCAGGTGGAAGGAAGCGATGGCGAGGTGTGGTACCAACAGCAAAGGCATTGGGCCATGATGACCTCTTGACCTTGACACTTTGCGAAAGGTAATAGGTAATGCAAGCAGTAGTGTGACCGGTAGTGTGACTGGTAATGCAAGTGGTGCCGCAGTAGTGCAAGTGATAGTGCTGGTAGTGCAGCAGTAGTACGAGTGGTAGTGTAAGTGACATCTATGAAAAAAAGCTTCATGGCTCATCGGATTCCTCCAGGAGAAATATTGTGATCTGATCTGACAGTGCAAATGGTGCAGCAGTAGTGCGAGTGATAGTGCAAGTAATGGATCAGAAGTGCGAGTGGCGGTGCCAAGTGTATCGCACCCCAATGCCCGGCAGCTGTGTGGAACACTTGAAGAGCACGGTGGGGTGCTCCCTACCCAGGAATCCGAGCCACTTCTCTGCGCTGTCCTTTGGCACCAGGTCTGAGGGCAGAGGGAGGGCAGGAGAGTAGAGACAAAAAGGGCAGGGGGCAGTGGGAGAGGAATGTTAACCATGGCCAGAAGAGAGAGGGGAGGATAGACTGGGCCGGATATCACTCTCCATTCACTGGCAGTGACCAGCGTGGTGAAGTATACTCAACCCCCATCACCAACATGCCATGGAGAGGGCTTCATCCAGCAGTGCATTGACAAAGGGCTGTCGTTCACGATGATTGCATTATGATAATTATTCATGATGAACAGACGTGTTACAAAACCCGTCTGGCACAGAGTGAAAGATTAGACGAAAAATTATCTGCAGGAACCCTCTATCGATCTCCCTCTCACGGGAGCCCTTTCGCGAGCAGTGGTGGTGAGCGAGCGGTTGCAGGGCTGCACCTGCGCCGACTGCGAACGCTGGTGACGTCGCCGGCTCTAGGCGGCCGTGTGCGGTGAAAAAGGGAACGCGATCGTGGCGCTCACCGATCTTGTTGAGCAGGAAGACGAGCGGCTTCCCCGCCTCCAGCACCGTCTGCTCCAGCTGGGGGCAGCGGCAACCGAGGGGGTCGCGCGCATCCAGCACCAGCAGCACCACGTCCGCCAAGCCCAGCACCTGCCCAGCACCGCCGCCACCATCGCACACACAAATCAATTCATTAGCACATCTGCCATTCGTGGAATTATTTCGCATCGCACATAGCTGACCGTGCTAATCAGAAGTGTGGGGAAAGGACAACAAACTAAACACAAAAACCAGTTCTCAAAAATATGAGTTTTCAATCTAGATTTAAAAGTGCATTGCTCCGGTCGTTCTGTAATAACGGAAGAGCGTTCCAGACGGCCGCAAAAGCCCATCTGAAAGGGAGCGATGCGGTGACCGTCTTTGTTCAATGGTTAGCCAAGAGCCGCTGCTGTAAGGATGAGCTATGCGCCACAGACCGATACAGTAGTGTCAGTCAGGGACGATGTCTGCTCTATGGCTCTTAAGCGGATTTACCCAATGCACTGCTGATAAGACCCAGATAGTCAAAACCAGAAGAACATTTCTTTGAAGGAAATGCTGTTTGATAATAAGGTCTGGTTATATATACTTTCACCCATAATGCACAATTGCAATGGATGAGTTTTTTACTGAACTTGGTGATTTGTAAGTAAATTTTTTAAATATTGACCGATATCGCACATAGCCTGCTTAAAAAAAATAACATTACGGGATCTTTAACGTCCAATGAATGTGAGGCAGGTGACAATGGTGTTGCTGCTGCTAATGACGATGATGAGACCCTCCCGATCGCTCCACCTGCCTTGTGCAGCTCATTCAGAAGCCTCTTGTTCAAAGCCTCTGGTTTTGTCTTCATAGCCACGGGGTCCTGTACGGAGACAAAGAGACAGATGCTCAAACAGCGTAACCACAGCCCCACGTCTGCATGATTTTGTTCGTTCATGTGTACTCATGCGTGTGTGTACCCGTGTGGGAAGCGGTAGTGTAGCAATTACCATGCTGCACTACGAACCTGGCGACCCGGGTTCGATTCCCGCTCACAGCCAACTTCAGTGACGATTACCTGAACCGGTCCTGGGCCTCCCTAAGGCTGACTCGGCCTCAAATGAGTACCTGATGTGGTGTGTAAACATTGCCACTCGGGAGACAAAGGCGGCTGGGCGTGGTGTTGGCCACCCACCCCCTCGTGTACCGTGCCAGCCTTCATAGGTGCTCGCTAACAGCACTTGCCCCAACAGTCTGTGAAAGCTATACGGGGGATCTTTGTCTTTGTGTGTGCACCTTTGTGGAGAGGCGATCCGTCTTGCGCTCGGTTCTCTTACTGCGCTCATCCCGCTTCTTCTGCAGCTCTTTTTGCCTCGCCTCTTTCCTTTTCACCTTCAGCTCCTCGGCCTGCTCCCACGCAGAGACACACGCACAGATGAACACACAGATGAGCACGAGTTTGTTTGCCTGCGCTAGGTGGATTGTTAGTGCGCAGGACTGTGCGAGAGGGCGACGGCTTGTGGAAGTTCTTCCTTCAGGAGTGGACTAAATTGTGGCGGACAAAGACGATTGAAAAGATCCATGTTGGATTGAAATTGTACTGCTATGAGCCTACCCCCCCCCCAACCGTGGTTCGGACATTTCAACCCCCTACGGCGCCCCTGATGCTCTCCATCGTTTCCCGGTCGTTCGTCCGTCCATGGGCCCCACCTGCTGTTTTTTCAACTCGGCATCACGCAGGACGGCGTCCTTGAACGGCGCCAAGTTGGGCACGCCGGGGTCCTTGCGAGCTCGTCGCGCGGCGCTCCCTGCCCCCGTTCCCTTCTTCTTCGCCTCCTTGCGCTGCTTGCGCTTGTGCTCGCGGACCTGGGTCGAGCGTGGGAACGGAGAGAAGTACACAAAAGATGTTAATCACGTGAGTGGACAGGTACATAGACCCGACGCAGCACGCACACTCCCAAATACATGCATACGGGCGCAAACACATGGAAACATACGAATATCCCCCGTGTAGCCTATACAGGCTATTGAGGCATTAGGAGGTAGTGTGATCAGCACCACGCCTGGCCGCTGTTATCTCTCCAGTGGTGATGTTTATACACGTAGGCTTTCGCGACCAATATTACTCATAATCAACGTTTTTGGGTTAGATCGCGTTATTTATAAATGTGTCGTAACCCTCCACCATCCGACACGGCCAATCAGCAATAAAGTGTCACGTTGACAAAAGACAAAAAGTTCACTACTTTCGCCCACCGGTATTGAAGCAAGAAGCCACAACATTTTCAGTTTTTGAGTACGACGTTTCGGCATTGCCCGATGATGCTGGATGCAATTACCAGCGAAACGTCGTGCTCAAAAATTGTAAATGTTGTGGTTTCACGCTTCAACACACCGGTGGGCTAAAGTAGTGAACTATTTGTCTTTTGTCAACGTGACACTTTTTTGCTGATTGGCCCTGTCGGGTGGTGGAGGCTTACGACACATTTATAAATAACGCGATCTAACCCAAAAACGTTGCTTATGAGTGATGTTTATACACTACACCAGGTCCTCATTTGAGGCCGAGTCGACCAAAGAGTCCCAGGAGCAATTAAAATTTTCGTCACTGACGTTGGTCGTGAGCGGCAATCGAGCTCAGGTATCGGGTACGTAGCGCAGTGCGCTAACCACTGCGCCACCACTCCGCAGATGGCCAGCCCAGCAGCCAATCAGTTGAACCTCCTCGCAAATGACCACGCAGCTGCCCTTCCCCTCCCTTGCTCGTTCCGGTCGCGCGCAGAAACCGTTCCTTGCCTTTTTCTGGATCTTGAAGCGCTTGGAGCAGGTCATGCGCTTACTCGCCTTCTTCAGCTCTGCGGGGTGGGTACGGACGAGAAGATACCGGTGAGGTCGCGGTGAGAATTGGCGCGGCAGATGAGAGCGAGCAGTTGCGATCACATGGGCGAGAGCACATGTGAGATCTTTGGGAACTACATTATACAGGTGGGGCGACGCAAGCGAGTGCAGGTGAGGATGTGGGTCATTCATAAAAGTATAATTGCGCAGGTGAGAAAGCACGTGACGAGGCAGGTGAGCAAGACACGTGATGACACGGGTCATGGTCGGAAGTGAGGGTACGGATGATGATCGCACGTGATGACACGGGTGATAACACTGGTCAACACACTTTTTCTGGCATAAGGTATTCCAACGGTTTTAAGGTAATTTTGGGGTGCTGATTCCAAATCTGGCATCAGTATTTGTCTATCCCATCAGGTTTTTGAGATATCAAATATTGCATTTTCAATAAAAACTGCAGAAGAAAAAGATTCAATGTGGATATCTACATAAAATTATATTATAAACACACTATCCTAAAAATACAGCACCATATTTTAACGCTAAAGCAGTCACTGACTCGCAACAATTTGCAATAATAAGTGATAGTTAATTTCGGGTAAAATCAATGAAAATGGGGGTATGCCGATAGCATAAAATGAGATGTGATAGAGCAAATCTGAGCTCAGATTTGGAATCAGCACCCTGAAATTAGTCTAAAACAGCTGCAAAAGTCCAGGCCAGAAATTTTTGTTGTTGTTGACCAGTGTAATCGCACTGGTGATGTTCGCAGGTGAGATTAAAACCCAACACCAGAGGCGACGGCCTTCACCCAACAGTGGATTGACCATGGTTACTGACGATGACGATCCTTAACGGATGCACCCACCTTAATAAAACACACGAATTGGGATTCTCAATTAACACATCCATTAAATTAATTAACAGTTAACGTAATAACCCAACGTAAGGGTCCCCCTAACGCATCACAGCGACCCGAAGAACCCCCAACAGCCTTCGTGCTGAGCGTTCCATGTGCAAGGGCCTACACCGCACGGCCTATCCTGCACCACCAGGGCCGCTACGAGCACGTGGGGAGCATGGTCTGAAAGGTCGCCGGCCGTGGCCCTCGTCCCCTTCCCCTCCACGGCGCCAACGGGGAGCTGGCGGCGCGAATGTAATGGAGGAGCGAGTTGCCGAGGCGACGAAACTTACTCGGTCTCTTCATGGCTGCAGCGGAGGAGGCAACGTGGTCGCCTAGGTTGGAGGAGGAAGTTGTGACCCCTGACCCGGAACTGGATGTAGCGTTGGGTGCGGGTGGAGGGGGGAGAGCCACGTGCTCGCCGGGTGGGCAGCGCGCGAGACCGCGGGTTCGATTCCCACTCTTGGCGTAAATAATTAATTGCTTTAAATGTTTTTTTTTGCAAAATGGTTATTGATGTTCAAATATTTTGCCACGAATATATACTTTGATTTTAATCACGGTGTTCGATGTATTCATATTTTTTCATGTTTTAATTTTAATTCCTGTACAGTATGTTTTGTAATGTATTACGATTACTTGAATGTTTGTATCACCATATTGCAATAGCTTGATCAAATAACACGTGTGTAGCATAGCACAGCTGTATGTTTTTTTTATATAAAAATGGCGGGTTTGAAATTCACATGAGGCCATTTAGACTTTTCATATTCCCATCGTGTCAAGTTTCAAGTTGGATTTCGTGAGACATGGGGCCGTCCATAAATGATCTCACGAACCTATGGGGGGTTAGATATGTGTGACGATGTGTGACGAAGGGGGTGGGGAGAAATGTGACGTCACATAAAAATGCGCAACTTTAAATGAATATAGACAACACGTTCTACTTAATTAAATATACTTTTTATTAAATGTTCTCTCCTACAACATCAGAGTGCAGCGCCACATTAAATACGCACTACAATGGCAATAGTTTAAAGCGATTTGAAGCATGTTTTATTTTCAAAATGGAAATATGATTTTGGGGGGGGGGGGCAGAGCTTTGTGACGTCATATGTGAGGGGGGGGGGTCTGACTTTTTGTGACGCCGTGTGACGAGAGGGGGGGGGGTCAAAAATCGTCCAAAATCGCGTGACGTCATTTATGGACGGCCCCAAAGGCGAAAACACGAGACACCAAAAGACGCGTGCCGTCTTATTTTACAAGGGTGACGTAAGTCTAATTTGACATGGCACCGTACGTTAGTGTGTTCAGTCTGGCGTTTCAGCCACACGTGAGAGAGTTACATTTGTTTTAACTAATCGATTTGCATCATTAGCCACGGCCAAGCAACTGCTGGAGGAAGAAGCCCCAAAGACTTCCCCGATACCCCTCACACTCGATGAGCTTGGCATTCCATCGCTCCATCTCCGCGGTGGATGTGTGCTCTCTGGACGCGGCACGGTGGCGAGATGTTAACTCCCTCGCCTGGTGTACAGGAGGTCGTGGAGTTCGATCCCGACCCTGACGCCTGCTGCCGTATATTTGGAGTTTGCGTGTCTCTCTCTCATCATCATCATCACGGTGGCTAGGAGATGTTAACTACCTCGCCTGGTGTACAGGAGGCCGTGGGTTCCATCCCGACCCTGACGCCTGACGACACCTGCTGTATATTTGGAGTTTGTGTGTCTCTCATCATCATCATCACGGTGGCTATGAGATGTTAACTACCTCGCCTGGTATACAGGAGGTCGTGGGTTCGATCCCGACCCTGACGCCTGCTACTGCTGTATATTTGGAGTTTGCGTGTCTCCATCATCATCATCATCACGGTGGCTAGGAGATGTTAACTACCTCTCCAGGTGTACAGGAGGTCATGAGTTCGATCCCGACCCTGACGCCTGCTGCTGTATATTTGGAGTTTGTGTGTCTCTCATCATCATCATCATCACGGTGGCTAGGAGATGTTAACTACCTCGCCTGGTATACAGGAGGTCGTGGGTTCGATCCCGACCCTGAACGCCTGCTGCTGTATATTTGGAGTTTGCGTGTCTCTCTCTCACCGTGGTCGCGTGGATTTTTTTTTCTCAGGGTCCTCCGGTTTTTCCCTCCATCCACATTTAGAAACTTGCGTTTAGAGTATGCGGCTGCTATAAATTTCCACACGATAAGCCACTTCGTTGAGCTCTCATTTGTGGCCATGTCGTTTCTCCATGTTTACTGGGTTAATACGGACTGAACACGTTTTTATTTAGACGTTGGCAGTATAATCGTTTACTCGATTATTCAAGAGGATTGTCGCCCAGCAATCAATTTTACAACTTTCAAACTCCATATCGACTGTAATCACGACTTGAAAGTCCTTAACGCTCGTGACGTCACTCCACATCGACCAGGCCCCCTCATTAATATTCATGAGCAGATGACGTCCTCCAAATGGACACCCCCCCCAACCCTCATTCATAATCATGAGCGGGTGACGTCACTCAATATGGAGTACTCCCCCCTCGCTAATAATCATGAGCAAGTAACGTAACTCCACATCGAACAGCCCCCCTCATTAATATTCATGAGCAGGTGACGTCACTTCACATCGAACACCCCCCCCCCCCCTCATTAATAATAATTAATTGCACACTAATGCATGCAATTAATACCACGTCGCGGTCTGCTTTTCGTTTGCAAGTTTAAGATTTACTGCAATACACCCGGTCCTTGGACGGGCAAAAGGCTTGTAGTATATAATACTGGTAGGAACCCACTGGTTCCACCAGCCCACAGGGGATTATTGTATCCGTCCGTCGTGCAGGGAGGGGCTGGGTGGGGAGGGGCTGGGTAGTTTTTTTGTTGGGTTCGATCGCGTAAATATGTGTCGCTAAACCCTCCACCACCCAACACAGCCAACTTAGCTTTGTCACGTAAACAGAGCATGTCAATTCGTTTCTTGTACAGCACACCGGTGTGTTGGAGAGCAAAGCTGCTACATTTACAATCTGAGTACGACGTTATGGCAGGTTTAACGACATATTTAGGCGATCTAACAAAAAAAAACCTCTATTATGGATGATATTTGTCGCGAAAGCCTACGTGTTAAACTAACCTATATTAGAACTGCGTGGATTCCAGGAACACATGTGCTTGCAAATCATTACAACAGTAATACATTATCATACCTGTCAACCCATACGGTTTAGCCGCATTCTTGGACAGGGAAATTGAGTTTTCAGGTCAATACGGTGTACAGCCGTTTCAATACGGGCACATTTTTTTATATTTGTTTGTGTTTGTCTATTGTGATGGGACTTTGTATGATGAACGTTGATATTTAGAAAGGCAACGGGGGCTGATCAATACAGTCTCTGAATTTGTCTGTAATAACTGCAATAACTCCGTACTCTGATTGAAAGGGGGTTGACAGCTTTGCATCATTCATGCCTCACACCACTCCCGAAACATTTGCAATGAACGTGAAAAACAGCGTTCATCAATTAGCATAATTTATGCGGGAAACGCCGACGTCTCGACGCACCTCGCAGCCAATCACGGCGCGACACGGCCCCGCGCGCCGGCCGCTCGCACATGGACGCTTCCGATTGGCCACTCGCCGTGCGTGTTCGCCGCTGATTGGTCCACGCGGCGGGCACGCGGGAGGTTATATAAGCGCTGAGGAGCGCCCGCCCGCTCGCACTCAGCTGTGGGATCTTCACCGTCTGCGGGTCGGCGGCGTCGCTGCGTGCGAACTTTCACTCGCGCCGCGAACATTTTGTGTGTCTCGGCAAAGATCAAAATTTATAGAAACTCTTTCCCCGACTGAAGGCTGAACACGATGGCGAGGAGCGTGTGGCTCGTGGGCCTGCTGTGTGCACTTCTGACGTTTTGTGAGTATACGGTTGTTTAATTTTTGTTAATGCGTTATAAACTTCGCCGTGCGTCGGGTGTTAACACATTGACGAGCGTATGATTAAATAGCTCGTTTAACCTTCGCCTGGCGTAACGCGCGCACGCTTTCTAGCATGTTCCACTCTTCGAGACTGCTGTTCTGTGCCGTCTTCGCAAGGCACATTTTCCTCGTGTCAAACGTCGCCGTTGTGAAATTTTTACACATTTTGCTGAACGATTGCCAATTAAAAAAAAAATAACCCCCGGGGCGATTGATTGTTCGGTATATTCCGTGTCAAATGTTGACGTCGTATGTTGAACAAAAAAAATAATTTGTAGGGTTCTTGAATCGAATCGCGACTTTAATCTCGACGAATCTACGAATCGTCGTGCTGGGTCGCACACCGCCCTAGCCCGTGGTCTATCCACTGCTGGTCGAAGGCCTCGCCCAAGCTGCCACTGCCACAACGTAACGAACGATTCGGGATAATGTTCATGTCCCGGGAAAATGCAGTGGGGATTGTGCCTTGGAGTACGTTAAATATCGAGTCGTGCAAATGTTTCCTTGTTTTTGCAAATGTTTGAGGCGGGGAGGGGGTCGAGGCTGTGCAATGCTGATGAAATCGAAGTTTTACAGAATTTACATAATCGGTGTTAAACTTGGCAATCCCCTCATCGATAGATACAAACAATGACCGCACTTGCCCCTTAAATTCTCCCCATCCACGTCCATATTAAGTAACGCAAAAGTTGAGCCTGGAGAGTGCGCAGAAGGTCGATTGCTGCGCTTAAAAAGGTTTATTAACAAGCCCCATAAACTCCAACGCATCCTAAATGTCCATGAACCACAATCATTCATCGGCCATCAAATATTTCCATCATCCTCCCCCACCACTTCCTCCACATGACAAAGATCCCCCGTGTAGCCTGCACAGACTGTAGGGGCAAGTGCTGTTAGCGAGCACCTATGAAGGCCAGCACGGCACACGAGGGTGGGTGGCCAACACCACGCCCGGCCGCCTTTGTCTCCCTCGTGGCAATGTTTACACATCGCACCAGGTACTCATTTGAGGCTGAGTCGGCCTTAAGGAAGGCCCAGGACCGGTTCAAATAATCGTCGCTGGCATTGGCCGTGAGCGGGAATCGAACCCGGGTTGCCGGGTTCGTAGCGCAGCGCGCTAACCGCTCCACCACCGCTCCCCACAGTGACCACTTCTCCCCCAGGCACCTCTCGTCTCGACGCTCCTCCTCACTGCGTCCTCCCCCCCCCCCTCCTCCTTTGTCCACAGCCGCGGTGAGTGCGGACGACTCGACGGTGGACGGTGACGCCACGGTGGAGCAGGACCTGGGCAAGAGCCGCGAGGGCTCGCGGACGGACGACGAAGTTGTGCAGAGGTGGGCGAAAGAGGCTCCTCGCACTGCCACCGACACCGCACCGCGGCAGCACCACCATGTTAGGGCTGACGTTTTGCGCGTTTTACAAAATTTTATGGGTTAGAGCACGTACACTGAAATCTGTCGTTAAACCCGCCACCACCCGATACGGCCAATTGGTTAGGTTTGTCACGTAAAACGTGCCAATTGGTTACACGTTCAGCACACCGGTGTTTTGGAGAGTAAACTCCACAACAATTTGAGTGACTTTCGATTTCAAGCTTTCGTGACTGCAGGGATTCATCTTCTTGGTTCCTTCGGTAAAGTCACGTAGAAGAGAAGTAGTAAAATAATAAAAATAAAACAATAAAATACAGAGAATTGTATTTTATTATGTTTTATTTTTATTATTTTATTATTTCCATTCTACGTGACTTTACCGAAAGAACCACGAAGATGAATTTTAGTGACTTTTCGCTGGTAATTCCAACCATCGTCCTCGTGTTTTCCTGGCATGTCCACTGGAGCCAGCAGGCTCTGCAAAGATTAATCGACTCAAATTGATATTTAACGCTGGCAATTGCATACGCAATCCATTGTTTTCCCATCTGTTAAAATTGCAAAGACGATTCCTGGCCATCACTAATTTCCCCCTCCCCCATTTGCCAATTCGCAGTGACAGGCGTGGTGAAGTATGGTGATACAAAATCCCTGTGACCAACACAGTTTAGGGGGGAGGGAGGGGGGAGGCCTCTTGGCCATTGGTAGGTTGAGTTTGAATGAAGTTTATTATTTTATATATATTTAGCTTGGTTATGGTCTGCCTAGAGTTTCCTGGAGGCCAGGGGGGGGCAGAATGCAACTCCTAGTCCACTCGCCTCTGCCTGCTGTGGAGCCCTCTTTTGTGTGAGGCCCCGAATTTCCTCCTTTTACCCTCACCCCTGTCCCCTCTTGGCAGCCTGGAAGCTGATGATAGACTTAATGACGCAATGATTCAAATGGATTTTTTTTATTTTTTTACATCACTTGCAGTTACTTTGAAGTCAGAATTAATGTATTTCAATTTGTACATGTTGTATGTGTTGAGTTGGCTTGACCCACCTGCAGGCACTAATCTGCTACATGAACAGCAATTTTGAGATGAAACCCAATTGACCCTTGAATAAAATCTATTGCAACCCTGAACCCCCACCACCCACTTCCGCCGTGCAGGGAAGAGGAGGCGATCACACTGGATGGGCTGAACGCGGCACAGATCAAGGAGTTGCGGGAGAAAGCGGAGAAACACGTGTTCCAGGCGGAGGTGAACCGCATGATGAAGCTCATCATCAACTCCCTCTACAAGAACAAGGAGGTACAGTGAAGGGGCCAGGCTGTGAGAATGGATGGTGGCAAGGACCCAACTGTTTATTCACAGCTAATGAAAGAATTAGCTTTTTTTTTTCAAAGCTCGGGCGGTGGAGGAGGAGACCTCTTTGTGGTTTGAGAACACAGGTTGCTTCGATTCTGCGATGTTACGATGTGTCGAATGATACAAGGTCCACGATAATCGTATCGTCTGTTTTGCCACATGCCGTTATCTGCGTGGCCTCTACGGACGGGGGTGGGGGGGGGGTCGCGTAGAGTTGGCCATCCTCGTTATGAGCTGGGTTTCATGGTGGTTTGAGGGTTTGTAGGGCGCTGGCGTGGCAAATCGGTGACGTACGTTGGGTGAACTTCCCCCAACGTTTCCGGTTCATTCAGTCGGACACAATCCTTGGGTCGTGCGCATATGAGGCGTCACCACTGTTTATCGTGGACGTTGTCCAGCACTGGTTTTTAACTATGTCGCCACTGCTCTCTTTTGCAGATCTTCCTCCGAGAGCTGATCTCAAACGCTTCCGATGCCCTGGACAAAATCCGCCTGATGTCGCTGACTGACGAGAAGGCTCTGGATGCCACCGATGAGCTCACTATCAAGATCAAGGTGAGACCTTGGTGTCCCTGGTGATGGCTGTCGACTATAATCGTCCTCGACTGTGACTCTACACTGACCTTGGTGTCACAGCCTTGCTGTGCGACGCTTTCCGCTCTCTCCTGGCCCCCCTCCTTCTCCACTGCTTGGGAGCCCTCCCCTCCTCCACGTCACTCGAAATGCCGGCTGTGTTGTGGAAAATTCCGGGAGGAAATCTGCATTGTTGTGATATATTTAGTTTTTTTATTCCTCTTGTGCTGGTGCTGTCATATTCTGTGAACTAAGAACTGTTTATACATTCCTTGTGCTATCATTGGTGACTGACCATCAACTCATTACATTTAAACTCCTGACTTGATCACAGGTGACTTGCCTCTATTCGAACCCAGGACCTCGGCCGTTGCCAGTTCAACGCTCTGACCTCTGAGTCTCAAGGCCACCTCCCAACTCCGCACTCTTTACATCCTTTATCTGGACCCATCTGACCTCTCACCCCAATTATTCCCCCCCAATTCTCCCCCACTCCCCGCACAGGCCGACAAGGAGAAGAACCTGTTGCACATCACGGACACGGGCGTGGGCATGACGTACGAGGAGCTGGTCAAGAACCTGGGCACCATCGCCAAGTCGGGCACGAGCGAGTTCCTGAGCCGGGCGCAGGAGCTGGCGACCGAGGGCCAGTCGACCTCGGAGCTCATCGGCCAGTTCGGCGTGGGCTTCTACTCGGCCTTCCTGGTGGCCGACCGCATCGTGGTGACGTCCAAGCACAACAACGACACGCAGCACATCTGGGAGTCTGACTCGTCCGAGTTCACGGTGACGGAGGACCCGCGAGGGAACACGCTGGCGCGCGGCACCACCATCACGTGAGTGCGGACGGTTGGCGGAGGTTTTAAATTTGTTCATTTTGGATGTCGTCGTGGCCCAAGCCATTGGTACGGCCACATTTTTCACAGTTGTGGTTGGTGGATGGCTAGAACAAGACACAGGTCGGGCTGGAAGCTGCTCTTCACCCATTCTTTATAGGTAGTAACGTTATAATGCTGTCAAAGCTCTGTGCAAATGGGTCCAGGAACCAAATGTTGCTACGCTCATCTCCTGGCCCACCGCCCATGCGTACACCACTTGGTTTCCTATGCAGTATTCCATCCAAGTGGTAGACATGCTTGGCATAGCCCTGCTGATGAGGGGCATTTAAGGTAGTTTTGGTGAGAGACCAATAAATGGATAAGGGTCTGAATTGTCATAATTCAGGGTCCTGATATGAAGAATTGTTTTAACGTTGTGGTGAATGTGTAATGGCCTTGAGTAGCTGTAGTGGAGGAGTGGGGGGGTCACATCAACTCATGACATACAACCTATGAATCGTAAAAAAGCATTGACCCACCCATGTGCGATTCTATGCGTGTGTATCACAACATACAATAATTGATTCTAATTTAATCGCGTTGTTGAACTTCTAATTAATTACTCTGGTGCCTCTTGTTCAGGTTGGTGCTCAAGGAAGAAGCTGCAGATTACCTTGAGTTGGAGACCATCAAGAACCTGGTGAAGAAGTACTCTCAGTTCATCAACTTCCCCATCTACGTGTGGAGCAGCAAGGTGCGTGGTGTTCGTGTGTTTCACATACGAGAGCGACGCAGCGCCCATATCGACGGCAGCAGGTTTTACTCGCGTGCACACCCTCCTAACGGGAAGTTCTCGCCCCGTGGCAGACCGAGAGCGTTGAAGAACCCATTGAGGAGGAGGAGGAAGAGGCCAAGGAGGAGAAGGCGGACGACTCGGAAGACGATGTGGAGGTGGAAGAGGAAGACGAGAAGAAACCCAAGACAAAGAAGGTAGTACCATTGTGATTGTTGGACTTGAGTATCGCACCAGCTCTCTGCTTGGAATTGTTGAAAGGACTTTCAATCGAAAGAAGATTATAATTGGAAAACAAATTAACACCATGTTGCAAACATTCCCTATCCACAAATTTTGTTTACTGAAACACAACACGTAAAAACTGAGCCCTAATTATTTTGCACGACTGTGATAACGATAAAATTCACGTTTAATGTGGGACTGACAAAATGTGAACAATTATACAAGCAAGGTGTGAACGAGACCCTTAATACGTTCTCAAATCGAACGGTGAGGCGCGACTCGTCATGGCGGATTCGTCGCGCTCCTAGTTGGAATTGGCCAAGTGTCGTAATAACATGCCGAGCGGTTTGTGCCACCCCCTCCCAGGTTGAGAAGACCATCTGGGACTGGGAGCTGATGAATGACATCAAACCCATCTGGCAGCGAGTGACCAAGGAAGTGGAGGACGATGAGTACAAGGCCTTCTACAAGTCCTTCTCCAAGGTAGTTGTTGTTTGTTGTTCCCTCCGCCGCCGCCTCTTTGCTAAACCCCCACATCTTGCCTCTTCCCCTCCCCTGCGCTGTCGTATTGTGAGTTTGACCGTACGTTACCAGGCTTGGTCAGCTAGTGAAGCAGATAGCCCAGGACTGCTTCAGATGTTGGCTAGAATTTCAAACGGTTTGTTGTGCAGTCTGCCAGCTGATGCACCATCACTGCAGCCCAAAGTGTAATCTAGTTCATAAAATCACGTTTCTGAAATGTATGGTTGGCAAAGTGTTAATAGGCCATGCCTACTCAAGTGAGCAATGAGGTGTTTTTTTAATGCCATTGGCAGTTTTTCTATGAACCCCACCACGATAGATTCCCATGACTTTAAACCACGATCCAATCTCCCTCACCCATCACTGCCTCTCCCTTGACCGCGTGCGTCTCATTCTGCAGGACTCTGACGAGCCCTTGGCCTGGATCCACTTCACGGCCGAGGGCGAGGTGACCTTCAGGTCTATCCTCTTTGTGCCGACCAGCGCTCCCCGCGGCATGTTCGATGAGTACGGCACCAAGAAGACCGACTTCATCAAGGTAAACGGGACGATGTGCCAGCGGGCGAAACTAGTCTTGACGCCGGCGAGACGCTGGTGCGATGGCGCTCTGACGGCACTGCTTTGCTGCAAGCGGCAACGTCTCTTTTGCTGATGCGACCGACACGACCGTGCTGTCACGAGCGCCGTGATGGCGATGGGTTGGGTTCACGGCGCAAATCGGATGTTGTACGTATGTTGAACTTCTTTCGCGCACCGTACGTAGCCAACCTTGCTAATGGGAGGTGCTGGGGATGTTCCCGCACTGCTGTCGCGCAGATGTACGTCCGGAGAGTGTTCATCACGGACGACTTCCACGACATGATGCCCAAGTACCTGAACTTCGTCAAGGGAGTGGTGAGTCATTCCGGCTGCAAGCGTCTCTTAACGAGGGCAGCGTGAGCGCTTGCTCGATTCGTAAGCGCCCAATTCGTGCATCGAATCTCCGGCGTTGGGCTACCCAGTGACCAGAGTTCAGTTCTCGGCCACGGCCATCGGTAGCGCGTGTCTCTAAACAGATCCCATGGCTCTTTCCCCTTCACCAAAATACACTGACCAGTGTGGCGCACTATGGTGAAACGGCCCCAATAACTGACCTTGTGGGGGAAAGCTTTCATCCATACAATGGATGATGCTACATTCGCCAATATAAATAAGAATATTGGATATTAGATAATTATCCCAACTTGTGACAATTCATTGAATCAAGGGGCTGGGGGAGACTCCTCTCACACTGCTAGTTGAAACTAATTTAAGCTAATACCTGTGTACAAGTTGGACTAAGTGGCTGTAAAGTTTAATATTATAGAAGGACTAAGAAATGACATTTGGCACATTTTCAACAGTCGAGTTGGTACTGCTTTTAGCTGGAAAACATTTGTTACAGCTATATATAGGCAACATTGGTGGCTCTAAGTCACCGGTGTAGACTACATTCCTATGGTAGAAGCTGACCTAGCGTTGTGCAAGGCAAGTGAATTGCCCCACATTTTATCGTGTGCCTGACGAGAGATGTGTCTATTCCATTGGCCCAGGTGGATTCTGACGACCTGCCCCTGAACGTGTCGCGAGAGACGCTGCAGCAGCACAAGCTGCTCAAGGTGAGCTGGCGCGGGGTGTCAATCTTCACTGTTTGACTCGTACCACGATGGCCGTTTCTCCATCACCGTACTTCTGATTTGAATACTGCCAACAGCAGCGTGGCGCATTGAGTTTTGCTTGGGGGGGGGATAAACTTCTGAAGTTCTCAACGTCCGTATATCTGTGACCCTCTTCGCTGCATCATCGCCGGCGCAGGTCATCAAGAAGAAGCTGGTGCGCAAGACGCTGGACATGATCAAGAAGATCGCGGACGAGTCGTACGAAGAGAAGTTCTGGAAGGAGTTTGGCACCAACATCAAGCTGGGTGTGATCGAGGACCACTCGAACCGTACGCGCCTCGCCAAGCTGCTGCGTTTCCAGTCGTCGTTCGGCACGGACAAGCTGACGAGCCTGGAGGAGTACGTGGAGCGCATGAAGGAGAAGCAAGACAAGATCTACTTCATTGCCGGCGCCAACCGCAAGGAGGTGAGGGATGGTGGTGTGTGTGGGATGCTGTTGTGTGGTCACTGGGAGTGTTGGCGTCTCATCCTGGTGAATGTAATTTGTCTAGATTGACGGTTGCGGTTTGTCAGTCTTGTTGCCATGCTTATTTTTTGTGTGGTCTTTATGGCTATTGTAGTGAGGCTGTGGAAGGAGTAGGCCTGTGACCATGCGTTGATTAATTAAAATGTATTAGGCTTGTGATGTATGCACTATAATTTAAGTGTTCGTGCATGTGTGCACACTGCCAAACCCGGCAGTAGCAAATGCTATACAGAGCAGTGCTGCTGCCCCACCACTTCACAGAGTTCAACTTCACCTCAAATGATTATCTTGGTGTGTGCAGTGTAAACATCATCACTGGCCGGGCATGGTGCTGGCCACTCGCCCCTTTGTGTGCTGCGCCAGCCTCTACTGGCACTTGCCCCCCAAAAGTCTAACAGCTACATGGTACGGGGGGAACCTTTGTCTTTGTGTGGTGGCAGGTGGAGTCGTCACCGTTCGTGGAGCGGCTGCTCAAGAAGGGCTACGAGGTGCTGTTTCTCACCGAGGCTGTGGACGAGTACTGCATACAGGTGAGCGTCCACACGGGGGCGCTGTTCTCGTAACCTTTGCCTGCCTGCTGCCCGTCGCACGCCAGCAAGCCTGGCTGATTTAAGTGCCGAGAGCTGGGATTTGAGCGAATATGTGCGAAACGCACAAAATTAAAATGTTTTTGGTGCAGTCTCTGCCGACTGCTCGGACCGTTAACTTGCTACACTTGAGAGCTTGGCTCATAATCGTCTGATACGTTTTGGGTCTGAGTTTATGGATCGCTATGCAAGTATGTGAATTAAGTCTTCGGTGCCCAGGCTGAGACCCACTGGGTACACTTGATCCAGTTTAATCACGGCTTTGAGAGTCTGCAGGTCTCTACGCAGCTCGATTTGCTGTGCAAATCTATGAGTTTCTCAAGTAACTGGTGCCTGGGCTGAGACCATAAACCCTACACATGAGGCCCTCGTTTAACGAAGTTTGGGCAGCTGAAACCTCGATGTGAACCTTGGTTCTTACCGGTGCCAGCCCAGCCCTGGGGTCTGACCAGGGCCGTAACGAACCGTCCTCGCCGCCCCGTGGGTTTTCCTGATGACGCGACTGCTCCCTCTGTGCGTGCGGCGGAGTGCAGGCGCTGCCCGAGTTTGACGGGAAGCGCTTCCAGAACGTGGCCAAGGAGGGCCTGAAGCTGGACGACAGCGAGAAGGCCAAGGAGAAGCTGGAGACCCTGGAGAAGGAGTACGAGCCCCTCGTCAAGTGGCTCAAGGACAACGCCCTCAAGGACAAGGTCGGTGTGGACCCCTCCTCCACACAGTTGTTAACCAAGCCACCTCGAGTATCCCCGTGGCTACAGCTCCCCCACGGTTAAACCAAGTCTCCCTGTGGACGATTGCGTTATCATGTGCACCAACAGGGGCTGGCGCACAAACACGTCCACGTACACGGCGTGCTCTCTTTTAGCCCCGCCCCCCCTCCCTATATGTTCCATTCATTGGCTATCACATTCTGATAAGCTCCCCCCCCCTCCTCCCCCTTAACTTGTATTTAAGAACTTGCATCTTGGAATCCCTGCCTCACTTGATACAGCAAATCTGGCTGTGACGGTCCCACCTGATGACGGAGACTTGTGTTGCCTCCGAAACGTCGTGATATTTCATTTCTATTATTACTTTTATTAATTTCATTTTTTACCTACGTGACTTTACCGAAAAAACTAAGAGCTCGAATCCTTGCAGTCACGAAAGCTTCAAATCTAGAATCCCCCTGTGGGGTTTCTCTTTGCTTTGCACGTGCGCCAGATTGAGAAGGCGACGGTGTCACAGCGTCTGCTCGGCTCTCCCTGCGCGCTCGTCGCCAGCCAGTACGGCTGGTCGGGCAACATGGAGCGCATCATGAAGGCGCAGGCTTACCAGACGGGCAAGGACGCCGCTTCCAAGTGAGTGGCCATGCCGCCGGCAGGTTCGCCATGGGGGGGGGGGGGGGGGGTGAGACGCGGGCAGAGGGAAGGAAGATTAGGCGAGAGGGGATGGGGACGATAGGGGGTAGGGATGGAATCTAAACTACTAAAACTAAACTATTAAACTATTTTAATTTTACCAGGTAAAGCCTACTGAACCATCTTTATTTTCAGAAGCGACCTGGCCACAAATTATAGTCCAATTAAGTGGTCTTATCGCTTGAAATTTATAGCCAACAAATACTTTAAACGCGTGTTGATTTTAAACGTGGAGGGGAAAACCGGAGGACTGGAAGAAAATTCCACACGACCATGGGTAAAACATGCAAACGCCAAATATACATTTGTGAAGGTTGGGATCGAACCCATAACTTCCTTGCATACCAGGTGAGGTAGTTGACATCTAACTACCGCGGGGGAAGTGGGGGGAGGAATTGCAAGGGGAAAGGGAGAGAATTGTCAAGTGTCCATCGAAGCCAAGTATGGCGTATCCCCCGCTACTGCAAGTGTTTGAACTGCTTGCAGGGAAAGTGGTAATCGTTATTGCCAGCCCGATGGAGAAGATTTGCCACCGCCATAAAAATAAGGAATTTCTACCACTGGTTCAGGACTGCTAATGTAGATGAGCAATGCATCTATTCCCGTTTCGTTGTAATGTGCACTGCCTACTTTAAGGGCGATATTGGCAAATAAAATTAAGATTGCCTTCCGCACAATCTCATGCTGCTACGTGTGTGCATGCATTTGTTCCACCCCTGTCCCCATACAGCTTCTACGGGAGCCAGAAGAAAACCTTTGAGATCAACCCACGACACCCGCTCATCAAGGAGATGCTGACCCGTGTACAGGTGAGGGGTCACATGGCAGATTACCACCTTCATCGTGACCATCGCCCACCACCCATGTCGTCACCTTTTGCTGCCGATTTGAGAGATGTGCGTTACTGGAAGGCGGTCGCCAAGCGCTTATTAAAGCGGCTTTTTCGGAATTCCAGTTCTAAAAACTTGCCACTTCCTGCCCATTTCATATTACCAATCTTCTGGTTTCTTGGATATTCAATTGTGTGCCAAAATTGCTCATTTGTGCGAGTTGGGTGCAAAATGTTGCTAATAGAACCAATACAGAGACCAACATTCGATGGTGGTAAATCGTATTAGTGGTCGCAAGCAGGGATGAGAAGGGGAAGGTATTGAACTTGAGCATGGATTTGAACAGTGTTAGGGGAATCCGACCGCACGGATGATTGGGGAAAGGACGTTCAAGACATGACACCATGATCAATGTAAATCACTTCTATGTACTAAAATGGTGAAAGAGCAACTCTGAAACTGACGAGCTATAAAATCATAGGGGAAGTGGCGGTTTGTTAATTGTCAGATAATCTATTTGCGGTACCTGCCCCCCCCAGGATGCAGGGCGAGCGCGAGGTCAAAACAAGATGGTTAAACGGGACAAATGTAATTACCAGATTCTTCAATTGAATCCTAACCTAAAATCCTGCGAAACCTCCGAATCATGAGTGGGATGTTACCAGGAGGGTGTGGCGACCGGTTGTGAAGTTTTGATGTATTTATCTCCACTCGTCCCCTTGCCTGCAGGCGAGCGAGGAGGACGCAACGGCCAAGGACCTGGCGCTTGTGCTGTTTGAGACGGCGACGCTGCGCTCCGGCTACCTCCTGCAGGACACGCGTTCCTTCAGCGACCGCATTGAGCGCATGCTGCGCGTCAGCCTCAACATCGACCTCGAGGCCAAGGTGCGTTGCAGCGCTGCGCTCGTCCGTCACGGCGGTTGGTTAGCACCGGAGGGCGAGTCTCTTGCGTCCGCCTACAAAACGTAACTCTCCCTTTGTAAGTTAATCGGTGTGTTACCTGCTCGTGGCATGGATTGAATAACGAGGCTGCTGACGAAAATAATACCGACGCTGGAAAGTTGTGCAGAGAAGGCCTCGAGAAAATGTGCGTGCTTGAAATTGCATTCGATGGGTATAAGGCATGGGTTAGAGTGCATATGCAGGTTGGAGACGCCGCATTTGACCATTAGTATAGTGGGCTTTGGCAGTGTAGTGGGCCTAAAGGGTGTATGCGACTTGCTGCTATTTTGTACATTTTCAGTTTTTAAGATAACGATGATGTATTTTAATTAACTGTTGTAATCCAACACATACATCAGGTTTTTATGTTCGTAGATAATATCAAATAACATGCGGACGTTAAAATGTAATTTTTACAGCAAGATTCCTTCGATATGTCTCCAGGGGGTTTGTGCATGGAGCCAGCACCACTAAAAATCCTGTGAACAGTTTAAGCCGGCCGTGATTGAAACCTCTACCCGATTCTGGTAGCCAATGTTTTTAGCCATGGCAAGGAATACAACTTGGGGTTTGCCGGGCTAGTAGCCGAATATGAACCCAGTAATGACGCTAAACCGTCCTTCCATTTCTTCGTCAAGGTTGATGAGGAGCCGGAGGACGTGGCTGAGGAGGCGAGTGAGGACCAGGATGCCGACGATGACGATGCTGCTGATGATGATGAAGAGGTGGTGGATGTTGACGTTGGGAGCCAAGACAAGAAGGCTGCTGATGAGGATGCCACAGTAAGTGGTGCTGGTGGTCACGGGGCATTGAGAGACCATTACTCATCTCTGGCTAAAGCTTTCGGGTTCTCTGATATTTGGCTGGTCTGACGGAAGAGCAATGGACGATACTAAGAGGATAAATGTATCTATTTTAAAAAAAAATCCTTGGTAGGGGTTTAGTGGGCCTATCATCCAAAAAGTGTTTATTTAGAACTGCCTTTTGTTTAGTTCCCCTCCCCTGCAACTCTGATTGACGCGGTTGGCTCTGTACAATGCGAAAAGAAGTTCTCCATAGAGGTTGATTAAACGAGTAGCACTTTCTATGCAAGTGAAACAGCGATTGTGTTACTAGCCCCTCTGCCATGGGATAGTGGAATCCACCACTGGCTCATGGCTGTAAACACGAGATGTTCGCGTGCACCATCTCCATGCTCATTTCACCAGGAAGTCTTGTTTAAATAGGAAATCGCATTCTACTAAATTGTAGCTACTGCCACTCGTTAATCCATTTTTTAAGGCAATATTAGTGACGAAATATATACTCTACATGTAAACATTTGCACTTACAAGGTGTGCGTGCTCGCATCAACCTATGTACACCTACACATTCGTTCACACAAATTTGTTTTGTTGATTCTGATGGTTTCCTTTTTCACCCGTGTCTTGCAGGATTCGGAAAAAGCAGAAGCTGAAAAAGATGAACTCTGAGCCCCACACTGGCACCACGGGGGGGGAGGGTGGAGGTCGATTGGGGGGGATCAGTGGAGGTGGGGCTGAGGGGATGGATTTTGAAACCCTTCTTGCTTCCACCTGAATTGTCTGGTTGTACAGAATAGGTGTGGGCCTTGAACGGTCTGGGTTCGACACGTCTGCTGTGTGTGTGTATATTATTTGGGGTGTCCTCATGCCATTCCCTGTCGCAAGAAATTGTTTTGACTTTTTAATAAAATGTCATTCACTGTCTGCTCTGTGCCTTGTTGTTGTAAGTCTATTTTAACGCTTTTGATCTAGATTTGAAGTGTCCGTGACTGCAGGGATCCATACTCTTTGGTTCTTTCAGTAAAGTCACGTAGGTATAAATTCAATCACGACGTTTAGATGATTGCTTCTGTTGCAATCGAAACGTGGTGATTTATTTTATACCTACGTGACTTTACCGAAAGGCTCTCTTTTGGTCGAGACGTTTTACAAGCTATCAACTAAACCATTTTATGAGACTGGTTTACAAAGCAGACGCAATACCTTTAGTTATCCAAAAGCATCATGCCCAGTTAACATACAAAGAACCGTTTACAATTCGGCAATCGGCCACATCACTTCAGTATGGAGGCCTCTCCCATCCCTTCATCCGGCAAGGTCCTGTGATGCCACAGTCCATGTCGGCCTAGTTGAACGGTAACTCGTCCTGGGTTTATTGGAACACTTTGCTGCCTACACAGAGGGAGGGGAGGGGGGGGGCAATCCTTGAACTGGGCAAACATCCCAAGCAGGACCTTTGTGCAAGAGACTTTACTCAGGCTGTCCAGGGTAAACAATTCGGCAGGTGTCTTTCATAACCGCACACGTGTACTTAAAGTTCTTTACAGAACGGCACTTTGGGGTGGTTGGAGACATCGATTTTAATGTGCCACGTGCATGTTCAATCGCCGACCGCAACATTCCTGGTCATTGGCAATCGGCAAATGCCGACGTGGCTGTGAATGTGGCATATGTGTTCAATTTCAGGATGGGAGCTTCTCTGCCTAATGGCTGGGTTTTCAATTCAATGGGTTGTCTTCATAGGCTACTAATTACTTTTGTGATTGGAGCAATCGTTGCCCCCCCCCACTCCTGGCAGATTAATGCCCCAGGTCACTTTGAAATTAGACTATCCTGGTCTCCAAGTTGTCATCTGATTAAACTAAATAGCCACTACTGGATGAAGACCTTGCAAAGCTGTTGCCATCTCAAGGTCCTGCATATGAGCAGATTCCGTTTGGGGGGTGGGTTCTCTCGTAGCTGCCATTGTGTTAGGCATGACCACCTGCTGCATCTATGTCCTATTCTCCCTTGTGGGCTGTGGCATAAAAAAGTCAACGTTTCCCCTTTGAGCGGTATCTTGATGCTGTTGTAACTAAAATACACGCGTGCTGTCAATCCCAGTGCTATATTCGGGTTTATCTCGGCACGTGGGTCAATGCTGGTTATTATACCATATTTCACCAGTCTGGGTTGATGGTAGAGAAACATGTACAATATTTAACACGAAGGCTGACGACCAACTTTCATAATGGAGTTTTGTTTTGGGTTAGATGGCGTAAATATGTATCGTTAAACCCGCCACCACCTGACAGCCAATTAGGTTTGTCACGTAAGGGGCCGTCCATAAATGACGTCACGATTTTTGACCCCCCCCCCTTGTCACACTGCGTCACAAAGTCAGACCCCCCTTAAATATGACGTCACAAAGCTCTGCCCCCCCCCCCCCCAAAAAAAAACATGCTTCAAATCGCTTTAAACTATTGTCATTGTAGTGCGTATTTCATGTGACGCTGCACTCTGATGTAGGAGAAAACATTAAAAGGTTAGTTTCATTAAGTAGAACGTGTCTATTTAAAGTTGCGCATTTTGATGTGACGTCACATTTCTCAAACCCCCCCCTCGTCACACGTCACAAATGTCTGACCCCCCCCCCCCCAGGTGCGTGACGTCATTTATGGACGGCCCCTCCACAAAACGTGCCAATTCGTTAGTAGCACAGCACACCAGAGAGTAAACCATTTAAAATTAGAGTACGACGTTTCGCCAGTAATTACAACCAGTATCAGGCGACAGCCAACGTCCTCTAAAATTGTGTTTTGCACTTCCATCTGCTGGCTGCAACATTCTTGAGGCCTTCAGCAACCTGATGTGTACAAGACAATTGCCTATCGAAGCACTATCCAGGCTCAAACCTGCTCATTTTACGGGCTGCCTAAACCCACGTTATTGTAAATGCAACGGATCGTGTGCTAAATGTGGTGCTAAACGGCAGCTTCAGTAAACCTTATGAATAACCTATTAGACTGTGCTTTTTCTCTAATGAAAATTGTCGGTCCTCAAAGCATTCTCCTATCCTGATTGCTTCATTTATCTACGCCAGCGGTGGTCAACCTGTAACGGACCAAGGAGCCAAAAGTACGCATGAGTTCTGCAAAGAGCCAAGTATATTTTGCCAAATATATTGACAGCTTTCGCTACAGGATGGGAGACCGTCACTGTGATAGGACCGTTCTACATTATGCCCCTTCGATAGAGCCGCATGCGGCTAAGGAGACACGAGTTGGCCACCACTGCTCTATGCCATCAATTTCCCTGTCACCTCTTTGTTCACCTCCCATCTATCTCCGCAATGAACAGCTCTTTACACTGATCTGCATTTGGGTGACATGGTGAAGTGATAACATTTGTGCCGCAGGAAAAAAGTTCCAAGGTTCGACTCGCGACTCCCGAGCACCTTTCAAATCTGGAAACCCTGGTTTAGACCATCCTACCACAGAGAACACAGGTTAATCAAGGGCAGTTTTAAAACTGGATTTGAATGCAGGATATGGATATTAACTTTTGTCTGTCACCTATTTGAGTAAAAATATTGGTGGCGGGGTGGTGCAGGAGTGTAATTTCACTCAGCAAAAAGGCCCTAAGTTCGATTCCCGACTAGGATGCGTTTGTGTGTGGATTTTGTATGTTCTCCCCATGTTCCGCATGGCTTTCCTCCAGGTTATCTGGTTTCCTCCCAGAGTTAAGATCAATATAATTGGCATCAGCAAAACATCCCAATGCTGAAAAATTGCCTAAAATTACTCAACTGAGATCACACAGCAGCAGCAACATCACCCACTGGTGAAAAAACTCTCCTGCAAAAAATATTGAGAAAGTGAATATTTCTTGGGTAAACACGAGTAATTTTTATATGCCAAATGGTGTACATGTACAGCCCTTTTAAAATATAGTTAAGGTTAAAGGTCTCCTCGCACTGTGCCCAATGTCCCAAATATCTTATTTTCATGACTCTTGAAAATAAGTCTTGAGACTCAGTGAGACTTTTCTGGATTACCGAATGACATTCTTACACAAACAGCAATGGAGATGAAGGCAAGAAGCTGAGACTGTTTAACTTTTAATCAAGGCATTATTTAAACATCGTCACAGTTGTCACTAAATCGCAGTGACAACAAAAACACAAACGTCAATGGCGACGCAAAACCGGTACAAAACGACAAGCGTGTGTGTGCATGCATGTTGAAGTGCATCGGTTCCAGCTTCAGCACTGATCGGATGAGAGGGGGGGTAGCCAATAAGCTGTCATGTGGGCCACTATAACAGTGAGTGCCACGGTATTGAGATGTTAACTATCTCACGTGGTATACAGGGTCGTGGGTTTGATCCTGACCCTGACACCTGTTTATTTGGAGTTTGCGCGTCTCTCTTCCTGTGGTCATGTGGATTTTTCTCTGGGTCCTCCAGTTTTTCCCTTCACATTTATAAACATGCGTTTAGAGTATTTGGCTGCGATGAATTTCCACATGATGAGCCACTACAATGAGCTGGCATTGTGGCCAGGTCGCTTCCGAAAAAGAGCTATATGGTTCAGTGGGCCTTACCTGGTAAAATAAAATAAAAAGTCTTATCGTTTTTGATTCACCATCGCGAAGGAGAGAAAACATTCTGTGCATGTGCTGTGCCTCCTGTGCGTGTTCGTGCTTGTGTGAAGCGTGTGTGTGTGTTAACACGTACACGTGCACATGCTCGAGGTTGAGCGAGCACGTACACGTGCACGTACACGTACACGTGCTCGAGGTTGAGCGAGCAGGTACACGTGCACGTGCTCGAGGTTGAGCGAGTGGACGGAGTGTTGACGCGACGCCGTCACGAGGGATGGCTGCGTTCCTCCTCCGCAGCCCTGGTGCCACTGAGTGGTGTCCCCGTTGTGCCCTCGATGCCCAACAGCCGCGTCTGCAGTTGCCCCGGCGCTGGCGGAACCTCAGGGATGCTCTGTGTGGGAGGGAAGCCGCAACAGTGAACAACAGCAACGCGGTGAAACTCCTCTATCCCTTAATTCTAGATTTGAAGCTTTCGTGACTGCAAGGATTCATATTCTTAGGTTTTTTCGGTAAAGTCACGTAGGTAAAACATTAAAATTAATAAAAGTAAAATAAAATAAAAATCAAGTACTTGATACAGCTGTCGTGGCTGTGACGGTTCCACCTGAAGACGGAAGCTTGTGTTGCCTCCGAAACGTCGTGATTTTTATTTTATTTTACTTTTATTAATTTTAATGTTTTCCTCTATCCCTGTTGGGGTGGCACTATCGAAATATCCTCTTACCAATTAACTCCAGATATCCACACAGATACACTACGGGTAGCAGCGTCGCTTGGGGTCCACGATCTAGAAAGTATTTCTGCACCCAACACACCACATCCACCGTACCTCCTTCGCTATGGTTGCGGCTACTGCTAGTCAAGTGTCACCTTCTCGGGTTTAACCAGAGACCCGGAAAACACTCAGTGGGATTCTTTGTTTTACTAGGTAAGGCCCAATGAGTAAAATAATAAAATAATAAAATAAAACATAAATAATTCTCACGACGTTTCGGCCACAACGCAAGCAGTCGTCCTCAGGTGAAGAATGAAACACCACCAAGCTTGGAGCGTATCTTATTTTCAGGACCAAGCTTGGTGGTGTTTCATTCTTCACCTGAGGACGGCTGCTTGCATTGTGGCCGAAACGTCGTGAGTATTATTTTATTATGTTTTATTTGTATTATTTTATTATTTTCCTTCTACGTGACTTTACCGAAAGAACCAAGGAGATGAATCCCTACAGTCACGAAAGCTTTAAATCAAAATGTAAGCCCAATGAGTAATTGAGCTCTTTTTCAGAAGCGACCTGGTTATCACAAATGATAGCTCAACGAAGTGGTTTATAATGTGAACATTTTATCCCGGAGCCGGGCTCCTGAGAAAGAAAGAAGAAAAAAAAGTCCACGTACCAGATCTGGCCGGATAGTAGCGGTGAACCACCTCCGCTCCTGCCAGCATTGACAGGAGACTCGCGGTCAGCATCTTGAGATAGCGCGGCCACGTCACGCCCGCCGGCATTGTCAACAACCTCGCTCCCAAAGTCTCACGCACGGCCCAGTGTGAGCTGTCAGTTCGTTGCGCCCGTAGCTTCTACGCAAGCAGCGCAAGCCGGTCTGGTGGCAGCAGCGGCGGCAGCAGCAACAACAGGCGGGAAGGGGGGATGGAGACGGAGTGACGGGTGGGGTGGTGACCGGGTCGATTCGTCTGTTCGAGAAAGGCGAGACTCTTAGTCGGAACCGCTGGACTGCGAGGTCTCGGCGAGGCGCTGCTGGTAACGGCGCTTCCGACTGCTTGCGTCTGTAGACGTCGTCTGAAAGAAACAGCGCGCCGTCGCGTGCGGTTAGTCGCACTCGATGGTGAGCATGCGGTGTCAGAGGTCAACAACGGGACGCCGGGGTCAAACGAAGGGTCAAACGAAGGGTCAAACGCGTGGCATGCGAGTCCCGATTCGAGTGTAGGCACTGTTCAGGGCTACCAGGCCGTGGATACTCGTCACGTGCAACCAACTCCAGTCTACCGGTCACCCGGAAAATATTTCAGTGAGAAATAATGAAGCCCTGCGTGGTACCCACAGAAGGTCTCTCTGCCGACTCTCATGTTAATCATGATCCACTCCATGGCACCGCCAATCACGAAGAACACGGGCAGGAACCGATAGACACCCAGCCTCTTCTCTCCGGGAACTTTACTGAGAATCCTCCCGAGAGCGCTGCTGAAGAACACCATCGCCCACTCGCCCGCTGCACCCCCTGACACATGGACAGACAGACAGACATGTGGACACAGAGATACGCGGACACAGACAGAAAGACACGTAGACACAGACAGAGAGACACAAGGACATAGAGAGACACGAGAATACAGAGAGACACGTGGACACACACATGAGACAGATATACGGACACAAAAAAACACACGGACAGTGAACACGTGGACAGAGACACACACGGACAGAGACACACGTGGACAGAGAAACACGTGGACACAGATACACGTGGACACAGACACAAAGAGACACGTGGGCAGAGAGACATGTACAGACGTTGTAAGCTGGGCTTCCATTTCTCACTGAATATTTTCCATCTCGCTGGTGATTTACCAGCAGCCGGAAAGGCCTCTCCCACAAACCGTGTCAGCCACGGGGGTTGTTTAACCTTATACGTTTAACCATACTTCACCACGCTGGTCAGTGCGGGGTTGGTGAAGCCGGGGGAAGCGCAGCCCGGGTTCGGATGTCATCCCACGCCACTGATGTGAGCCGTGACCCGGAATTGAACTTGGGTTGTTCGGTTCGTGGCACGTGTGCCGTTCACTGCGCTACCGCTCCCGACACCCCGATGCTCGCTACACCACCCCACTCATCACGCATGCGTCATTACAGTCCACGACAGTAGAGTTGTAGTATTGTACTGTTATTGAATGTGGTCAATGGAGGGTTTTGGACAACTCCAGGCACAGTCGCGTAAAATTCGAAAAACTAAAGGTGGTCTCTGTCGACCCGAGGCAACCTTCCACCAGACCCGGGCTGGGTTTTGCAGCCTTGACACATCACTCGAGGTCTTTAAAATAAAGGGCCGTCCATAAATGACGTCACGCGATTTTGGAACATTTTTGACCCCCCCCCTCCTTCGTCACACGGCGTCACAAAAAGTCAGACCCCCCCCCCCTCAAATATGACGTCACAAAGCTCTGCCCCCCCCCCCCCAAAATAAAACATGCTTCAAATCGCTTTAAACTATTGTCATTGTAGTGCGTATTTAATGTGGCGCTGCACTCTGATGTTGTAGGAGAAAATAAGTCTATTTAATGAAGTAGAACGTGTTGTCTATATTTATTTAAAGTTGCGCATTTTGATGTGACGTCATATTTCTCACCCCCCGCCCCTCGTCACACATCGTCACAAATGTCTGACCCCCCCCCCTAAGTGCGTGACGTCATTTATGGACGGTCCCCAAAGGGACTTTAACATGTCTGTGCTTACAGTCCTGCGGAGTTGTATATCGTTACGCGCTTCGGGGGTAGAGTTACGTGACTCACGCGTGGTACAAGTTGCATAAGGCAACGTTGTTTAGCCGCGTGCAGCGGTAAATAACGAAAACGCAACACATTTGACAACAGCGCTGCCCTAAAGATTAAAATAAGGCGACGTTTCGGGAAATGCCCTTCTGCATCGCACGAATTGTCAAATCCCCGTGGGGTTTTGTTGTTGTTGTTGCGCAGACAGCGTCCCTTCGTCAAGAAGCTCTCTCGTGAACAACAGACGGTGGGGCCGTATCGGCGCGTTAATCAACAAATCACGTACGGCGCGAAAGAAGTTCAACGTGCAGTACAGTAACCGTGCATGCAATAGAGCGAGATTGCTCATTTTAACGCCCACACCCGTATCGCCGCAATGTCACGTCGACGCGGCTTGTCATTATCGCCCTACATCGCATGCCGCCCCGTTGCGAAAGCCTCAACGTGCAACGAAACGTCGCTAATTAACTTGACGTGATTTTATCATTGTCCGTCTTCAAGGCCATAGCCATGGAGTCAACATTGGGGGGGGGGGGGGTGGGTGACCAAATTTATTTTATAGCAATATATTAGTGGAGACATTTTGAGCATATTTGAATGTTATAATTACGGCCTTGGTCGTCTTAAAGAGACATTCTACACCGCTGTACGCACCTCGGCCACGTAGAAAACTCGACTGAAGCTGCCACCCTCGCACGCTGCACGTGGTGCCCTTGCGTGAAGTCCTTTCCGCGTGAACCGCCGAGTCAGAATGCACCGCCGATAATTGTCGGCCGATTCCTCAGAGCGGCTCGCCGACGACCAAGAGGGGAAGGCGGCGGGTGGCGGAGCGATGCATGACGACTCGGTCATGCACCGCACCACCACACACCATCCCCCCGCCCCACTCTCTCTGCCGTAAAGCCTCGCCTCCTCCCCTCTCTCTCTCTCTCTAGGCCCGGGAGCTGTCGTAAAAGCGTTAGGGTGGTGGGGGGAAAAAACTGACGGTTTGAGACAAATAAATAATCGTGCACGAAAACATGTCGACGTTCTCGTGTTTGGTTGCGACAATTTATCGCGCGCGCTAAGTACTCCCACAGGAGACGTAGGAAAATAAAAAAGCGTTAAATAAATTGACGTAAAGGGTCGTAAAACACACGGGCAAGAGGTTGTGGCGGGGGGAGGGGAGCTGCCGTAAAGGACACAGACGTTGGTAACGCGCATGCTCACGATGTCGTGAAAAAGTGTCGTAAAAAATCAATAACACGAAAACCAACCAAGCCACCGTAGACCAATTATTTGGTGTTGATTCTGCGTTGGCAGTGATGGCACAAGCGTAAACATACCTCTATAAACAGTTGTTTTTAATGTTTACGCGATCTAACCCAAAGAAACCTGTATTATGGGTGATATTGGTCGCGAAAGCCTACGTGTTAAAATAAACATACATGTAAACCCCTTATCAAGTTCAAGTTCAAGTTCATTTATTAGGTATAGCCCTGTGAGCCATTCAGCTCTTGAATCGGGTGCAACCGCAACAAACAAAAAACAAAAACATGAACAAAAAAAACATCTTAAAGTGAATATGTGACTAAGTGCAAAGAGAAAATCCAAGAAAAGACAGCAAAAATATTGCAGAAAAAACACCGTACACCAACGCTGTGTGCAAAAATCCCAGTGGGATGCAAGTCAAACAACAACAACAACCACAAGACAACTTAGATTAAGGCCATCAGTCTAACTCTGTACTACAACAACACAAACATGGCTAAACCAATACACTTTTCGAAATCACCAAAATAAAGCCATGAAGGCAATGAAAAAGCAATCATAGGAACTGACGGAATTTTAACAATAAATGGCATAAACAACATGTACTACCAAAACCCTGCAGCCATAGCTGGCTGCATGAGTCACTCCACAACAGCAGGAGCATCAATCGGAGTATTGTAATTTTTCAATGCACCTTTAAGATCAGCACACTAAATCAAAACACAGGTCATACTTTGTAGCGATCATCCGGAGCGAAACATTTTATTTTAGGTCACTGAATAGCACTGGCAGCTAGGGGTGTACAACTCCTCTAAAGCAGTTTTGAGTGAAGATCTCATAGGTAGTTACTCAAGTTTCAATTTATTTGCAACAGCATTCCAGACCCTGGGGGCATCAATAGCAAAGGCCCTTCCTCCAGTATATGTACGGCAATAGGGAATATTAAGCTGGTAAATGAGTGTAGACCTTATTGGTCACCCCGTGCTCTTATAAATCTCAACGTTCATCCTAAAAAATCCCATCACATGGGACAAACAAAAAAAAATAGACAAACATTTGTTTTGCCCGTATTGAAACATTCCTGCGGAGGGAGCTGGCCAGGATCAACGGCGGCGTGGTGTATTCCGCAAATATGGCCGACTGTGAGGGCGGGCACAAGCCGGCGTGAGTAGGTTAAACGTTGAGTTTTATAAGGGCACCACGGGGTGACCAGCCCCTCCCCTCCCCACCCAGCCCCACCCCTCCCATCCACCCCCCACCCAGCCCCACCCTCCCCTCTCCACCCAGCCCCACCCCTCCCACCCCTCACCCAGCCCCACCCTCCCCACCCTCTCCTCCCCACCCAGCTCCTCCCCACCCTCCCCACCCAGCCCCACCCTCCGCTCTCCACCCAGCCCCTCCCCACCTCCCCTCTCCACCCAGCCCCACCCAGCCCCTCCCCACCCTCCCCTCTCCACCCAGCCCCACCCAGCCTCTCCCCACCCTCCCCTCTCCACCCAGCCTCACCTCTCCCGTTTTTGGATCCACGACGGACGGACGGACACAATAATCCCCAGTGGGCTGGTGTAACCAGGAGGTTCCTACCAGTATCACGTGACATTTATATATATATTTAAAAACAACCAAAGCTTCCCCAAAAAGCCGTCGGTCGTAAAGTGTCGTGAAATATTAACTGATTGGGGGAGGAGAGGGAAGAGGAGAGGGGGTAGTAGAGGAGGGAGGGGGGGGGAGAGGGGGAGGAGAGGGGAGGGGGCGGAGAGGGGGTGGAGAGGGGGAGAGGGGGAGGAGAGGGGAGGGGGAGGGAGTTGGGAGGGGGAGGAGAGGGGAGGGGGAGGAGAGGGGAGGGGGTGGAGAGGGGAGGGGGAGGGAGTTGGGAGGGGGAGGGAGTTGGGAGGGGGAGGGGGAGGGAGTTGGGAGGGGGAGGGAGTTGGGAGGGGGAGGGAGTTGGGAGGGGGAGGAGAGGGGAGGGGGAGGGAGTTGGGAGGGAGTTGGGAGAAGGAGGGAGTTGGGAGGGGAGGAGGGAGTTGGGAGGGGGACTGCCGCAAAGCGTCACAAAATTAGACCAACCGCCTGCCGTAAAGCGTCGTAAAGTGCCGCAAACACCCCCGCTCCGCACACCTCCCGCTCCCATTGTCGATGCTGAGGCCCGCGCGCGTCGCGATCTCCGTCGTTCGCCTCATCCACCCTCGCCTCGCCGCGCCGCGCCGCCTCTCTGCTTGCCCCCAGGGTGAGGGGCCTGGTAGGCCGCCGTGCGGGCTGGGTGCGGGTTCGTTACCAGGCACGGGGGCTGCTGCTGCTGATCCACGTGCGGGCTGCGTGCTGATTTGTTTCGGCGTAAATCGCACCGCGCTCTGTGGCGCGCTTTGTGTTGTGTTGGATGCCGGGTTTGGGGATTTGTTGGTGAGGAGGAGGAGGTGGTGGTAGTGTTGTTGGTGAGGAGGTGGTGGTAGTGTTGTTGGTGAGGAGGAGGAGGTGGTGGTTGTGGTGTTGTTGGTGAGGAGGAGGTGGTGGTGGTGTTGTTGGTGAGGAGGTGGTGGTGGTGGTGATTGGGGGCAGCGGTGAGCGCCACTCGAAGTCAACGAGCCACTCTCCCCCCCCCGAGTTTGAGTCCAGGCTGACGGGCACCAACATCGATGGCTAAGAGTGATATCTGAATCGCTTCTAGCTCAAACCTTTCGCTAAACACGCCCTGACCGGCGTGGTGAAGTATGGTCAAACACCCCCCTACCCCCATCCCTTGGAGAGGCCTTCATCCAGCAGTGGATTAAAGGGCTTGCGTCTCATTGGGGCTTTGTGTATGATTTGAGTTTGGGCTGTCGGAGCGACGTCTGTGTGGTCCATGCTGTGTATGATTTGTGTATGATTTGAGTTTGGGCTGTCGGAGCGACGTCTGTGTGGTCCATGCTGTGTATGATTTGTGTATGATTTGAGTTTGGGCTGTCTGAGCGATGTCTGTGTGGTCCATGCTGTGTATGATTTGTGTATGATTTGAGTTTGGGCTGTCTGAGCGATGTCTGTGTGGTCCATGCTGTGTATGATTTGTGTATGATTTGAGTTTGGGCTATCGGAACGACGTCTGTGTGGTCCATGCTGTGTATGATTTGTGTATGATTTGTGTATGATTTGAGTTTGGGCTATCGGAACGACGTCTGTGTGGTCCATGCTGTGTATGATTTGTGTATGATTTGAGTTTGGGCTGTCTGAGCGATGTCTGTGTGGTCCATGCTGTGTATGATTTGTGTATGATTTGTGTATGATTTGAGTTTGGGCTATCGGAACGACGTCTGTGTGGTCCATGCTGTGTATGATTTGTGTATGATTTGTGTATGATTTGAGTTTGGGCTATCGGAACGACGTCTGTGTGGTCCATGCTGTGTATGATTTGTGTATGATTTGAGTTTGGGCTGTCTGAGCGATGTCTGTGTGGTCCATGCTGTGTATGATTTGTGTATGATTTGTGTATGATTTGAGTTTGGGCTATCGGAACGACGTCTGTGTGGTCCATGCTGTGTATGATTTGTGTATGATTTGTGTATGATTTGAGTTTGGGCTGTCGGAGCGACGTCTGTGTGGTCCATGCTGTGGAGGAGCGGCAGTGTAACGATTCGTGAGCTGCGCTACGAACCGACAATAGTGGCGAATATCTTGAACCGGGCATGGGACCCTCTCCAAGGTAGACTCGGCCTTAAATGGTGCGATGTGTAAACATTGCCATTGGGGAGACAAAGGCGGCCGGTCGTCGTTCTTGGACACCCATCCCCTCGTGTGCCGTGCCAGCCTTCATAAGAAGCCACTAGATCGATGCACTTTAATATCCTCTAGATTGAACACTAACTTCTTTAGAACTGCGTTTAGTTTGTTGTCCTTCCACCGCATCTCCGATTAGCACGGTTGACTACGTACGGTGCGAAAGAAGTTCAACATGCTTACATAAGAGATGCTCGCGAACAGTGCTTGCCCCAAAAGTCTATTCTTTTTGGCTTTGTATGCAAGGGAACCCTGTTCGCTCTAAACTGTCTCAGCATCCAAGCTGTCACAAACCGAGGACCTTAAAATCAACCAATGCATTGAAATTATATCAAATGGGTTTCTAGAGATTGAACAGCTACAACTGAGATTGCACGAAGGGAAGTCATTGAATGCAGATACAAATAGGAGTGAGCAGAACTATTCACAACAACGCCAGGAGATGTACAATTGGAGAAAAGGCACACAAATAAATAGTGAAAGTATGAAGGAGGAAATGATTGAAACACTTCACAAAGAGAAAGTGTGTAAAGTGAAGCAAAAAATAAAATCAAAAGTCGTGCAGAGCAAGTTCGCTGAACAAATACGAAATAATTGGAGGGAGCACCGGAAAACGCAACACGTGTATATTTAGGACAAATGTTGAAGGCGGATCGGCATTAAATTATGAAATAGAGAGGGGAGCGAGAGCAGATAGAGTCCTTGTGGATACGGTAATTACATTTGATGAGTACACCAGGGTGCCTGAAGAAAGACGTTTTAAACCATATTGATTGGGAAAACATAATAAAAAAAACCCATAAGGATCCATAATTGAAAAGTGTTCAAAGAAGGATATTTACAGGGACAGAATTAAACTGAGAGACAGAGGAACACATGGGGCTTAATGTATCGCTGAATATTTTCCAGGTAGATTTTTATCTGAAATAGGTGGCACGTCACTAGCAAGATGTATACTCGATGCGGTGTGCCGTGCGTGTAAATATGTATGGGTCACTCAGCCACACAGATCTAGTAATTATGACAATGTTTGTCCTGACAGAAATGAGAGTGATTGGAATGATGGCACAGTAGTAATGCTTACGATGAGGATGATACTGATAATAATGATTGTGATGTTAGTGATGACGTTAGTCATGAAGATAATGATGATAATGATTTTGGTAATGTTAGTGATAATGATTGTAATGATAGTGATTACAATGATAATGACATTAATATTGGGCGGCAATTGATAGCAATGATGATGATGGTGTTGATGGCAATGATCATAGTGATGATGATCTCGATGACAATGATGATGATGTGATGATCACGATGATGCGATGATGATGGGAATAATCAACGTTTTTGGGTTTAGATCGCGTTATTTATAAATGTGTCTTAACCCTCCACCACCCGACATGGCCAATCAGCAAAAAAGTGTCACGTTGACAAAAGACAACTAGTTCACTGCTTTAGCCCACCGGTGTGTTGAAGCGTGAAACCACAACATTTACAAATTTTTAGTACGACGTTTCGCTGGTAATTGCATCCAGCATCATCGGGCAATTCGCCAGAATGAGCATGATGATAGTAATGATGGCAGTGATGGTAGTGATGACGATGTTGCCTCATTGCACAGGGCACCACTCTCACCATGGGAGTGAAGCGACGGCGCACGGCCTCGCCTTCCAGCAGCGCCAGCGGGGGGGATGCTGAAGAGGTCCCCCCCCCAACTGCTGCCGCCGCGGTGCCCCCCCGCAAGCGGCGCCGGCCACACACGCAAGCCGTGGATCCTGTACGTACCCCCCCCCACCACCACCGCCCGGGCCCCCCCCGTCTTGTGCGAAATAAGTTCAACATACATGCGTACATGTAGCCTGGTTATTTTACTAATTAGATCCGTGGTGCTGTGTGAGCACAGCAGCAACAACAAAAGACAAAACTGACTGCACCCGATAGATTTCAGTGTAATGCAGCCAGGGTGATCAACGGTTTAGCACTTACTGATTCATCCGCGTCACCTCCTTATCACTTCTGTCGCTATTACCATGATAACTTCCCATGAACTTTACTCCATGATTTATTCACCTGTGTTAAGGATTCGGGTCTTCCAAACTGACTGTGTTTCAGTCATGTTGGGTTCAATCATATTTCCTTCCTTGTGCTTATTGCCCACCTTACCCCTACGCTCCCATTCTGCCCTCTCTCCCTCGTCCTCCACACTCTCCTTCCTTACACTCTCTACCTTCCCTTTCCTCCGGTCCTTCCCCTTGCAGCTGGGCGTGTGCCATGAGTTGTACAACACTCTGCGGGACACGCGGGATGGACACGCGCGACTGCTGTGTGAATTCTTCATCCGCGTGCCCAAGCGCAGGTAAGGCCATATAATTGGCAGCGCTCGCACAAGGCGTGAAGGAAGCCGTTCTTCCGTAGAATGCGATGAGACAACAACAACTCTGCGGAGGAAGGTGTGGCTCCGCCCCTCTGATTAGCACGGTTGGCTATGTATGATGCAAAAGAAGTTTAACATACATACGTCACGGGGGTGGAGGTGGCATTGACTGGTATTTTGCTTTGTTATAAGGCATCTATTTGGTTCACGGGAATTGTGGCATCGCAAGACTTAGTGATGGCAACTATTTGGGGAGCCATTCGTCTAACAGTGGATTGTTCATGGCTGATGATGATGCTATTAATGGTGTTATAACGCAGTATTAATGGCAAGGTGGTTGAATTTAGTTTTTGTGACGAAATAGACGATGCAAATGAGATGACGTCAAGTGACACGTGATGCCGCAGGATGACGTTTCACGTCATGACAGCATCACTTTGGAATGCTTCTTCCCAGGAACCTCCCCGACTACTATGACGTGGTGTCTCAGCCCATGGACCTGCTGAAGATTCAGCAGAAGTTGAAGACGGAGGAGTACAACAGTGTGGACCAACTTACCACCGACATCCAGCTAATGGTCAACAACACCAAGGCCTATTACAAGGTACGTGCCGATCGCTCGCACAGATGCCTTTTCAATGTTCTCCAACTAAGCATCTCTGTCTGTCTTGTCAGTAAGAAAGAAGGACTACAAAGTTAAATAAACAAAGCTTTAAAATAAAGTTACCTTGCTATGAGAGCCTGACCGTACAGAAACTGGCCAATTGCCCAAAACTTGGAGACAAAAAAGCGGCGCTAATAGTTTACACGTTGCCTGTCAAGGCGATGACGTCATTACAACTACCGTCACCTCATTGCGTGGCTCAGAATGTAACGTTATTGAATCCCTCTGGGAACGAACGCATGTTGGAAAACGTTTCAGAATTCGTGCTTGTGCACGCGCGCGATTCTTCCTTGCTCACTTGTATTTTTGATAATTGTTTTTTTACCCTTTTATCTGGCAACATAACTGACACCTTTTTTACAAGGAATCATGTTTGCATAGACCACAATACCTGCAGTCATAATGCAAACAAAAAACATAACTCTGATAATGTATGCACTGTCCTTGAAGTTGATTGGTCCACACCCGAGACAGCTTTCCTTAGAGCCTAGTCTCACATGGGTTGGACCAGATGACGCCAAAAGGCATTATGACTGCAGGTATTGTGGTCTATGCAAACATGACTCCTTGTAAAAAAAGGTGTCAGTTATGTTGCCAGACAAAAGGGTAAAAAACCAATTATCATATTTTTTACTGGCAAATGAGGTTCCAAACTTGTATTTTTGTTTTCCGTTTCCGCCAGGAGGGCACGGTGGAACACCGCGACGCGTGTCGCCTCTGGGAGCTCTACGTCTCCAAGCGCAACGAGCTCATCCACCCGCCCTTGGACGTCGCCACCGCCACCAGTGCCGCTGCCGCTTCCGCCGCCGCTGTCGCAGCTGCGACGACTGCCAAAGAGGAGGAGGCGGAGGAGGAGGAAGAGGAAGTGGACGAGGCGGAGGAGGAGGAGGAGGAGGAGGAAGAGGAGGAAGCGGGGGAGGAAGAGGAAGAGGAGGAGGAAGAAGCGGAAGCGGAGGCCGAGACTGAGGCTAAGACGGAGGATCCTGAGCAGGAGCAGGGTCAGGAGAGCGGAGCGGGCACCACGGAGGACGACGAGATGCCTGGGAAGCCGGTGGGCACCTTCGCCCCTTAGCGGCGGTCTCACGGCCGTGTGCGCGAGGGGTCACAATGCATGACGAGATGCAAGAGCTTTTCTGATTGATTGTGTGCGTGTGGACGTGCTTGTGCGGGTTCGTATGTGGGGACTGGCCTCCCACCCCCCCTCGTGTGCCGTGTCAGCCTTCATAGCTGCTGCTACTCGCGAACAACACTTTCCCCAACGGTCTGTTAAAGGCTATATGGGGGATCCTTGTGTCGGTTCCTATGTGTGGGGAGCAGGAGTATCGTGCATATGTGCAGGGAGCAGTAGTGTGGTGGTTAGCGCACTTCACAACGAACCTGTTGACCTGAGTTACGATTCCCACTCACTGCCAAGACCGGTGATGAATATCTGAAACTGCTCTGGGCCTCTGCTAGGTCGACTCAAATGAGTACCTGTGTGAATTGTAAAGTTCACCATTGGGTAGACAAAGAGAATCAAGTGTGGTGCTGGCCACCCACTTCCTTCCGTGCCGTGCCCGCCTTCACATGTGCTCGCTAGCATCACTTACCCCAAGAGTATATGATCTTTGTTGCGTGTATATTTATGCTTACGTGTACATGCATTCACAGCGTGTGCGGGGCCTGAAGGAGCACCTGGAACAGCTGTTTGAGACAGTGGCGACGTACAGCGACCCATCTGGACGCCTCATCAGCGAGCTCTTTCAGAAGCTTCCGTCACGCACGGTCAGCACTGCCTCCTTCTCACTGTAGCGAGGCCGCCTCAGTTGAGCCCGAGCCCTAGCAAGAGTTATCTTAGTCTCATCCCTCACTCAAACCCTAGCTCACTCATCCCAACACTAACTAAAGCCTAGCTTAGCCCTACTCCTAACCCTGACTCTAACCCTTCCTGTCTTGAGCCCTTCACCTCGTGTTCACTATAACAATAGATTTAGCCCTTACTTTACTCAGACTCCTGATGTAAAATTAATGTTGAGCTTATTTCGCGCTGTACGGAGCCAACCGTGCTAATCGGGGTTACAGCGGAAGGACGACAAACTAAACGAAAAAATTATTTCTAAAGATATTCGTTTTCAATCTAGATTTGAAAAGTACGTAGCTCCAGTAACGCTCGAGCCATACTCACAGTAAGCCTAACTACTAGCCCCATTCAATCCCCTACCTACATCGGGTGCCTGGCCAGCGTGGGTGAAGTATTTATCGAACAACTCGCGGCATGGGGAGGCCCCGTCTGGCAGGTGGATGATTGTTTTATGTGCGGATCCGTGTCGCGAGCGTCCAACATTGAATAAGCTCTCATTTTCCTTCCAGCACTACCCCGACTACTATGACGTCATCAAGGATCCCATCGACCTGAAGACGATCGCTCAGAGGATCCAGGTGAGTGAATCTTGGGCATTGTATGTTGAAATTCTTTCGCAGCGTACATAGCCAACCGTGCATTAATGGTGAGCGCAAGTTAAAGGTGTTCGCAGGCCAACAAACAAACAGCTCTTATAAGGTACGTGTGCAATACGCCCTAATAGGTGCTCGCTAACACCACTTGGCTACATGGGAGATCTTTGTCTTTGATTGCCCAGCAGACCGGCTTCTACAAGAGCATAACGGAGATGGCTCGCGACGTGGAGACTCTGGTGAAGAACGCACGCAACTACAACGAGCCGGGATCTCAGGTCTTCAAGGTGAGACCTGCCAACATCTGCGTGCCAGCGTCTGTTCACCACCCTTCAGGCCATCACCCGCTTGCCATCCCCCGCTTGCCATCTCCCGCTGCCCCTCACCTTCTCACCCTCACCTGGTGGATTGTGGGATCTCGAACCAACAGCAGTTTATTAACAGAGCCATCTGTCGGCCATAGTTTAGAACATTTGCCCGGCTTCACCCGGGAACGTTAAGCGTTCATCGAGGGGCAGTGCACGGTGGGGTTACCCGCACGCCGCGCGACCACGAGCGTCGTTCTCGTCGCCATCCGCGAGAGACGCTTCTGTCGTCGTTTTGTGATGGCAGGATGCGCACACGATCAAGAAGATCTTCAACCAGAAGAAGACGGAACTGGAGCACTCGCTGGAGCCCGTGAAGACCAGCCTCAGGATAAGGTGGGCGAGCGTGGTGTGCACCGGTGCCGCGGCTGGTGGGGATATTTAGGAGTGCAGTGATTGTGTGCGTGCGCGAGTGAGCGAGTGGGCGCGTGTGCGGGAAGCGGTAGCGTTGCAGTTATCACAATGTGCAACGAACCTGCCAGTCTCATGGGCAACACCGGTGGTGACTCTGAGCTGTTCCTGGGCGTGGTGCTGGAAACATCACTCCCTGATATACGTGCGCCATGCCGCCCTTCATAGGTGCTCGCTAACAGCACTTGCCCCAATTGTCCAGTAAGGATATACGGGGGATCTTTGTCTTTTGTACGCCCGTGGATTCGTCGATGTGGCAGGAACCGGCGCTCGGCGCAGGGCGACCGCCTGTCGGCCATCACCATGACGCTGCAGTACGGCTCCGAGAGCGAAGACGAGGAGCAGCAGCAACCGCCAAACGGTTCGGTCGTTCATTCATTAATTCGTTTTTAACGAGAACTAAGATTGAAAGTGTGAATGCATTCACTCTGTCCGCTTCTCTGGCTGTCTGTAATGGGGATAGGGAGGCCCGATTAGTTTAGTAACGATGATCCAATATTAATAAATAAAATTGTTTAAAGTTGTGTTGCTCTTAGGAACTTACCCGAAAGGAAACCGGCCAACTTGATCAAGTTTAGAGTATTTGGATGTGATACATTTCCACATAATAAGCCACTTCATTGATCTATCATTTGTGGCCAGGTTTCTTCTGAAAAATATCTGTATAGTTCAGTGGGCTTTACCTGGTAAAATAAAAGAAATTGTTTAGTTGAATAGTTTAGTTTAATGGGGTCGCACAAAAAAACCAGAACAACAAAATATTTGGGTTGCTGGTCAACGTGATGACATCGTAACGTGTGCCGTCGCGAGATGACGTCATGCCATATGCACACCGTGTGACGTCACGTTTGTTGCGCATCGGTCCCAAATGGAATTATTGCTCATTCATTCATTGTTTATTTCGGGGTTCAATCATCGTGACGGTATAATGCCAATCTGTAACGATAACAACCCTCCACTCCCTGACAGAGCCAATCCAATCAAGTTGTCACGCTATGCGCAAAAGTCCCAATTGATTTGGTTTTTCAACAAAACTGGAAGAGGAGGAAATATTTAAAATCAATCCAATATTTTTGACATTTTTTTTATTCGACGTTTTGCTGGAGGTTGCATTCCTCATCGTAAGGTGTGGTTGAGGGTTACGTAAAAAATTGGCTTTACATCTACGCGACCTAACATAAAAGAAACCGATCACAAATCATTACGTCGGTCGTGAAATCCTGCGTATACAATTATGGCTGATTAAACGCATCGGAGGACAAACGTCTGTTGGAAAGTGTAGCACGCAGATGCCGTTTCGTGTGCATATATTTAACAACTGTACTTCTACAGCCTTGCCGTGGTGTGTGGATCTTGCGGTAATTCACAACGCGCTGTGGCTTTTTATAGAGAGTCTCAACGCCACCGTCCGACGGTCGAGACTACCGGCGGACTGGCAGCCAAAGGAAGGAACGCGCCCCAGAGGACGTCCGCCGCGGAGACGGAGCGATGAGATCAGCTCGTGCGCAGGTACTGCATGGACTTGTGCATTGTAACACTATGCAAGTTGGTAATGGCTTGGTTGGGGGGTGGGGATTAGGAGTTCTTTATCCAGCAGTGGATAGATGATGGTCACGGCGAATGGTCAATACGCCACCCTCCCACATGTCAAACGCGTTCGACGGTCCCAGGATAGGTTCACAAATATGCCAAAGGTGCATATTTGTGAACCTATCCTGGCACAAGCATCATCTTGTTGATGTTAATCCTATTATTCTTATGAATCTATTATTATTAGGCTTTTGTTTACCTCAGATGTCCTCACTTAGTCTGAAGACTATTTTCAGGAGGGTCTTGGCAAGTCAGAACGGCGCGAACGCCGAATCTACGAATAATTTGATTGCTTTAATTTGTCCGCCGCGAGAACGCCGGCGGATACCAAAACGTACTCGCGATTCAATTTGTTTCCCACCAAGGCGACGACAGCATGCAGTACGAGGACGCGCCGAACTCTGACGAGGATGACGATGCCGACGGCGGCGGCAGCAGCGTCGGCGGCGCCGCCGGGGGGGGCACGACCGCCGTGAGTCCCGGCGGGAGCTCCGAGTCCGGCGGGAGCCTCCTGCAGCGGCTGCTCGACTCGGTGCAGAACGCGCGCGGCGCCCAGGGTCAGCTGCTCGCCGACCCCTTCCTGCGGCTGCCCTCCCGCAAGGAGTACCCCGAGTACTACGTGCTCATCAAGCAGCCCATCGCGCTGCTGCACATCAGGTGGGCATGTGTGGGTGGTGGATGGGTGGTCTGGCTGCAGGGTGCTCTGGCTAGAGGGTGGCATGGCTGGAAGATGGTCTGGCTGGGAGGGTGGTATGGCTGCAGGCTGGAGGCTGCAGGGTGGCATGGCTGGAAGGGTGGTCTGGGTGGAGGGTGATATAGCTGCAGGGTGGTGTGGCTGCAGGGTGGTATGGCTGGAGGAATGTACAGGCAGGGGTTTTGCTTAAGTTTTGCGATCACAAAATGCTGACTGCACCTGACGCATGCTTTTAATTAATGCTTTCGATTCAAGTGTGGGAGAGTGCGTGGAGGGGAGTTTCTTGAGGATAATGGGTAGATGTAGGAGAGTACATGGAGGGGAGTAGAGTGGCACGAGAGGGTAGAGGTAGGCAGGAGGCAGAGGAGCTTGAAGAAGGCGAGTGCAGTCTTGAATGAAGACAATAAATAATGGGTTCTTAAATCAAATCGCGAACACTAATGCTGACAATTCATAGTTTCCACCTATCGATGGAATCACTGTCCCGTGTCTGGAGAGTCCTGTGTCTGCTGCTGCTGCCCCCACCGCCGCTTCTTGATGTCATGTCTCTCGTGCTTGTCGGCGGTGGCAGGAGCAAGCTGCGCGCAGGCGAGTACACGAGCGTCGACCAGCTGGAGTCCGATCTCACGCTCATGTTCGAAAACGCCAAGCGCTTCAACATGCCGACGTCCTCCATCTACAAGCGCGCAGTCAAGCTCCAGCACCTGCTGCAGGTCGGCCCCGCTGCCACATGCTCCTCCGAAGCTTTCCTGGCCGCACCCCGCCTGCTGCTGCCTTTTTTTCTGTCTCTTCTGTCTGTCTGATGTCTCCCCACTGTCTGCCTACTCCATCACCGCTCCTCTGTCTCCATGGTGATTTGCGTGGTGTTTGAAGTTAAATTGTGTGGTGGTCAAAGGTGGTTTGTTTGATCTTAGATGGTGGTGGTGTATATCATCGTCATGGCTGAGGCGGTGGTTTGTGTGGTGTTCAAAGGTGGTTTTGTATGATTGTGGTGGTGGTGTGGGTAGTGGAATATATCACCATTGTTGACACGGTGGTTTGTGGAGTAATGATTGACGGTGGTTTGTGTGGGGTGGTAGTGGTGGTTTATATTACTGTGGTGGTTGACGCGGTGGTCTGTGACTTTGACGTGTGCGGCGCAGATTAAGAAGCGCTTGCTGCTGCGCTCTGCGGACATTTCACGGGACTTGGGCGACGACCCAGAGAGCAGCACGGCCTCCACGCCCGACACCGCCAGCGGCAAGCGCAAGAGGTGGCGCCCAACCCTCGCACACCCGCACGCACACCCGCACGCACACCCGCACGCACACCCGCACGCACACGCGCACTCCCATTCCGCGCACCGTTGCACCTGTGGTCCTGTGCCATGGAAGCCATAGTTAGACCTCCACAATCGCTTCTCGACCCAGACCGCACTCTTGGCTCCGTAAAGAAACAGTGGACATTTATTTTAGCGAGAGAGAAGTGGTCAATCATTGGTCTAAATCACTTCCCTCTTTTTCCACTGTACAACCGAGCCACGCCGGGGCCGTGCCGAGCCAAGCCTGACGGAGATCATGAGGCGCCAGGTTGTTTTTCCACTGCCGCATCTAAGCAGTGACGTGCACGATTGCAATCTCCAGTCGGTTAAACCTCTTAATCAAGTTTTCGTCCTGCTCTCTGCATGCTTGCTCTCTCGCTGAGAGTGAAGGGGGTCGGACATGAGCTATGCTACAAGGCTGATTTCTTCACCTCTCCGTTCATGTATATATCCATTTATTACTTGTGGTTGTTGCATAATAAGTTATTTAATTGCGTAAAATACTTTGTAACATCGCCCCCAACTGGCGGACTTATGACCACTTGCAGGTCGATGCTGCTTACACCTTGTGCCGCATAGGGACAGCTGCCATGAGGTATCCTCTTGGCTAGTCCGCAACAGGGCCATTGGAACGGTCGAGATGAGGTGTGACCTAAGTGCAATTTGAGTTGCCGAATATTTGAAACAAGCGCCCTCTCGTGGACATGTTTGAAAAAGAGCTTTATAGTGCATATTCTTGGTTCTTTCGGTAAAATCTTTTTTTTTCTTTACCTACATGACTTTACCGAAAGAACCAAGAATATGGATCCTTGGAGTCACGAAAACTTCTAATCTAGAATGAGCTTTATAGTGCATTTGATTCCACCAGTAAAAATTTTCTGAATCTGAATAATGTAAATTCTTTAAACCCCGTTGCTCGCTCGCTCGCTCCTATGTTCCGGCTCGCAGGATAATCAGCCGCATCCTGCTCACGGGCTCCTCGGGCAAGAAAGTGTACAAGACGCACAAGCGGCGAGACGCCGACTCGGCGCTGAAGCGTCGGCTGCGGGCCCTGTACGCGGCCGCGGTGGAGGCGCGCGACCCCGCGTCGGGGCGCCGCCTCGTCGACCTGTTCATGGTGCGGCCGTCGCGCAAGGACTACCCCGACTACTACAAGATCATCCTGGAGCCCATCGACATGCGCAACATCGAGCAGAACATCCGCGCCGACAAGTACACCAGCCAGGAGGCGCTCATGGACGACTTCCAGCTCATGTTCCGCAACGCGCGGCACTACAACGAGGAGGGGTCACAGGTGTACAACGACGCCGTGACGCTGGAGGGGCTGATCCGCGAGAAGCTCAAGGAGATGGGGCCCCTGACGGAGGAGGACGAGTCCCCCTCGCCCAAACTCAAGCTCGGTGAGGAGTCGAGTCCCTGCGTCGCCCTCGCTTGCACGCGCGAGCCACGGGGGCTCACCTAATACCAGTCCCACACAACAACAACACAGCAGCAGCCGCCATTCACCACTGTAGCGCTTGTACCAGGCTAGGGGCACTTTGAGGCCACTTGCAGTGTCAAAATCTCGCTGACGAGAAGTCATGGGACAGACTGACTGAGATGGCTGGCAGATGTGCCACCTGTGCTGTCTACTGTGCCACCTTGCTGTGTTTTAGCCGCCCGGCGCTCCACTCATTGTTAAGGTGGCAAGATGTTAACTACCTCGCCTATTCGTGGGTTCGATCCCTATCCTAATTCCTGTATATTTTGAGTTTGCATGTTCTTCCTGTGGTGGTGTGGATTTTTGTCTAGGTCCTCCAGTTTTTCCATCCACATTTATAAACATGCATTTACAGTATTTGGATGCTATACATTTGCACGTGATAAGCCACGTAGTTGAACTATCATTTGTGGCCAGGTCACTTATAAAAAAGAGCTATTAGCTCAGTGGGCTTTACCTGGTAAAATAAAAAAGTTTAAATTGTTTAGTTTGAATTAGAAACGTGGTGTTGTGAAGCAGTACAAACTATTCCTTTCTTGTCATGCGCTAAATCTTCAAATTGACCCAGGCCTCCGGATTCGTAACGCAGCGCGCTCAAACCCTACACCACCGCTTCCCACACGCAACGACAAGATCCATATACATTCTTATGATCCGCCTGCATAATGATTTTTGTCTTCCCGCGCTTTCCCCTATCACGCCTTGGCTCTCCGCACCCACCCCACGAACTCGCCGCCACCATTCCTTGGACCCCCACGCGCCTCCCGCCCCCCCCCCCCCCCCCCCCACGCAGGCCGCAAGAGTGGGCTGTCTCCGAAGAAGATCCGAAGCCTGACGCCACTGCAGCAGAAGCTGAGCGACCTGTACGAGGCTGTGCGCAGCCACACGGACCGCCGCGGGCGCAAGCTGTGCACCATCTTCCTGCGGCTGCCGTCGCGCTCCGAGCTGCCCGACTACTACGTGACCATCAAGAAGCCCTGTGGACATGGAGAAGATGCGCGCCCACATGGTGGCGGGCAAGTACCAGGACGTGGAGTCACTCGTGGAGGACTTCACCCTCATGTTCAACAACGCGTGCACCTACAACGACCCGGACTCGCTCATTTACAAGGACGCGCTGGTGCTGCACCGCGTGCTCCTCCGCGCCAGGCGCCAGCTGTGCGACAACGAAGACGACGAGATGGACGCGATAGCCGGGGGCGGCGGTGGTGGCGGCGCGCCCAAGGTGGGCCTGCTCGTGCGCGAGCTCATTAACAACCTCTTCGTGTCGGTCCTGAGCCACCAGGACGAGGAGGGGCGCTGCTACAGCGACTCACTCGCCGACGTGGTGTCCTGCCCGCTGGCCGTCGAAGCCGGCGCCGAACTTCCCGCCACCGCCGCCACCACCACCCCCGTGGTGGTGGCGCCGGTGGCCGCCGAGACCCAGGACCACCGGCTGCTGACATTCGAGACGATCCGCAGAAACATCGAGAGGGGGCGCTACCGTCGTTTGGACGTGTTCCAGGAGCACATGTTCGAAGTGCTGGACAGAGCGCGCAAGATGAACCGGTGAGAGGCGGTTGCGTTAGCAGAGCTAAAGTTCTCCTCGTGGTTGCGTGGATTTTTCTCCGTGACTTCCGCTTTTTCCCCGCCACTTTTAGAAACATTTGTTCAGAGTATTTTGCTGCTATAACTTTCCACAGGATACGCCACTTTGACGAGTTATAATTTGTGGGCAAGTTGCTCCCGAAAAAGAGCTAAATAGCTCAGTGGGCCTTATCTGGTAAAATAAAAAATTGTTTAGTTTGAGGGGATGGTGTGGCTCGTGCCACGCTCGGCTGCCTTTATCTCCCCAGTGGCGGTGTTTACGCATCGCACCATTTATTCTATTGAGGCTGAGACGACCTAGGGGAGGCCCAGAACCGGATAAAATAATCGTCATTAGTGTTTGACCATGAGCGGGAATCGAACTCGGGTGACCGTGTTCGTAGCGATGTTGTTAAAGTTGTTGAGCCAACTGGCCAGAATTTGGCAAAACTTCGCCCAGTTTTCACCCAGACAACTGTTCAGAGTCGCAGTTAAGAAACAAACAACATATATACGAATACGAGCAGTGGTTAGCATCGCATTAGTATCGCGCTAACCACTACGCTACCGCTCCCCATAGGGTTAGCGAGCACACGTACACACACCCGCGCGCACACATGCAGAGCCGTGTGGCGTTGCCAGACCGCCACGTGCATCGTCGCTCTCTCCCTCGCCCGGGACAGCACGGACTCGGAGATCTACGAAGGACGCCGTGGAGCTGCAGCAGTTCTTCATCAAGATCCGCGATGAGCTGTGCAAGAACGGAGAGATGCTGCTGTCGCCGGCACTCAGCTACACGGCCAAGCACCTTCAGCACGACCTGGAGAAGGAGCGCAAGGAGAAGGTCCCCGCCGAGGCAGCGGAAGATCGCGTCAAGCGCGACGAGGACGGCAAGGACCCGTCCGGTGAGTCCCCAGTCTTCTCCCGGCATTTCACTGAGAGATGGAACTCAGCGTGCTCTTACCTTGTTGCTGCACACACACAGTCTCTTGTGTCCCGGGCCTGTTCCACGTGAGTTTGAGCTTCCTTCGTCTTCAATGTGGACTTGATTAATGTTGCCACACATAGATGCTGCTGCTCATTGAAGATACATTTGTAAATACTATGTGTGAGAAGTAGATGTTTGTATTTTGGTTTGCGTTTTCCTATTGTCATCATCATCAGCTAGGACTAATACCCAGTATCGGCTGTGTGTGTGTCGGCTGCATGTTCGCGTTGGCTGTGTATGCGTGTCGGCTGTGTGCCTGTGTCCCCGCACAGACTTCAAGAAGAGCGAGGGGTCAGACACGCGGGCGGGAGGGCAACGAACGTACAGCCAGGACTGCAGCTTCGAGGATAACATGTACCGCGTGGGCGACTTTGTCTACGTGGAGCCGAGCTCCTCGGACCTCCAGCCCCACATCGCCTGCATTGAGAAGCTTTGGGTGGACGATAATACTGGTGGGTGCGTGCGTGGGTGTGTGAGTGGATGTATGGGGTGCCCGAGTGTAGCGGTTGCTGCACTGCACTTCGAACCCAGCGACCTGGGTTCGATTCTCGCTCACGGCCACCATCAGTGACGATTATCTGAATCAGCCTCAAAATGAGTACTGGTGGGGCGTGTAAACATCACCACACGGTAGATAATCAGTCGGGCGTGGTGCTGACCACCCACCCCCTGATGTGCCGTACCAGCCTTCATAGGTGCTCACTAACAGCTCTTGCCCCTACAGTCTGTTCAGATCTTGGTTTTGTCCATCTCCACGACGATTGAGAGTTGTTAACCCCTCGCATGGGTGACTTTTCTCCGGGCACTCCGTTTTCCTTCCACTTTTATGAACACTCGTTCATGGAGTGGGCCAAACATGGCAATATAGGAACCCAGAGCTTGGGCAATTGTTGACTGTAGTTCTGGCTGCCATCCCGCTCATCTGTGATTTCCCATGCCTCTGGATCTCATGAAAACGGTGGATCTCGTACAAATGTGTGTTATATTTAATGTATAATTTACCTCAGCATTCTTATGCTGCACATAGAATCTGATTGTGTGTGTGTATGTGTTTGGTGTCCGTATCCCCCCCCCTTCCGCAGGAGAGAAGTGGCTGTATGGCTGCTGGTTCTACCGGCCCACGGAGACCTTCCACTTGGCCACACGCAAGTTCCTCGAGAAGGAGGTCTTCAAGAGCGACTACTACAACACGGTGCCCGTCTCCAAAATCTTGGGCAAGTGCGTCGTCATGTTCGTCAAGGTACCAGCCCCCGCCACGTCTCACACACGCGGTTCATTAAGTTGATTTATCGATCAACCAAAAGTTGTAAAATTTACTTTTGTGGTCGAGGACTCGGGTTCCCATTTGCAAACGGTGGCCGGTCCTGACATCCTGCCGAATAGTGTCCAACTCTTCTGTGGCGATCCCATGAAATAAATAATCTCACCGAGAATCGGTAGAGAAACTAATGAATTTGTTATCGGATATCCCAGCTATATTTATAACTGAGGTTTAAAGCGTGAATGCTTTAGCTCCGCACGTCTGTCTGTAACAAAGGGTGGGGGCATGATAATTATTGTTAAGATTATCCAATATGAACAAAACTTTAACTAAATTATATTTTCATTTTATATAGCGTCATTCATGCTAATAGCATCCCATAACGCTGTACATTAATGTTATATGAGGACCAAATCCCACATACAGCCATAAGCAAGCAAATTAAAACTTGACTACCAAACAAATTCTAAAATTTATAAACAAAAGATGGCACCAAATCAAAAGGCACAAACAGTTATGTTGATCTTAGTCACTTAGAGAAAACTGACCAGATTTATCAAAGGGTTGCCAAAAGGTTGCCGTTAAAAACCAGTGCTCAAAGAATGTTGCTTTGCTAGCCAGGCGACGATGTCGTTGTGCGTGACGTGGAAGCACCTTTCCACCTCCTCTCCACCAGGACTACTTTAAGTCGCGCCCGGACGGGTTGCGCGCGGAAGGACGTGTACGTGTGCGAGTCGCGCTACTCCACCAAGGTGAAGGCCTTCAAGAAGATCAAGCTGTGGTCCATGCCGCCCAGCACGGCACGGCTCGTGGCGCGCGACGAGCCGCTGCCCGTGGTGCGCGTCGCCTCCGTGTTTGCGTCGCGAGAGCGCGACAGGGAGCAGCGCGAAAGGGAGCAACGCGAGAGGGAGCGCCCGCGCGACGGGATGACGGCGGCGACGCTCGTGGGGCCCATCACCGCAGGACTCGACGAGGCCAAGGTGGCCGCGGCAGCTGCGGCGGCGGCGGCCGCCGGGATGATGGAGGAGAGCAACGACGATATCATCGACAAGGTGCGGAGAGGAGCGACGATCGGTGGTCGCCGGGGGGCTGTGTGAGGCCCAACGTTCACGCAGCGTGAACTGCCTGGACAGGGTTCACACACAGAGTGAACAGTCTTGACAGGGTGTTTAAAAACAAAGATCCCCCATATTGCCTTTAATAGACTCGTGGGGCAAGTGCTGTTAGCGAGCACCTGTTAAAGCCAGCATAGCATACAAGGGGGTGGGTGGCCAGCACCACGCCCGAGCCGCATGTGTTTCCCCAGTGCCGATGTTTACACACCGTACCAGGCACTAGTTTAAGGTTGAGTCGACCCAGGAGTAGCCCGAGACTAGTTTAGATATTTGTCGCTGATATTTATCGTGAGCGGGAATTGAGCTTGGGTCTCACCGGGTTTGTAGCTCAGTGCACGAACCACAACGCAATCGCTACCCCCGCAGGCAGGGGGGGTTATTCACACATAAACACGCGCACACACCTACGGGAGCGAACCGTCTTAGCAGGATGTTTGCGCACACACACACGCGTAACTGGTGTGTGCGCGCACGTGCCGTGCCCGCTGTTGGTAGGAGCGGGAGGACGTGCCGGTGGAGATGCCCAACGGAGAGCCCGGCTGCCAGTACTTTGAGCAGCTGGGCATGAGCGGCCGCTACCACAAGATTGGGGACTTCGTGTACACGCGGGTTGAGGGTCGCGAGCGACCGCGCATTGGCAGGTCAGCATTTCCCCCCGACCCTCGCTCGTCACTTCGATCCCCACCGTGCGCCCCCTTTGTTACTGTCCCCTTCCTTGGGGCCATCCCATATTTCACACACCCCGACTCCCCCTGGATGGCGGCGGTTAAAGCTGATAAATAGCAGACAATGTGCGCAGAGATGCATGGAGAGATGACGCATCGTCGTTTTGAAATTACAGTGATAGACGGAAACAGGAACGCGTTGATCAGAGGATGCACGCAGGTTAATAAAATCGTCTTGGCTGTTAAGACAATCAAGTAGGCTTGCGCGGGACATGTCGGACCTATAAGGCATGATGGCTTATGATCAAGAGGAATGACAGTGTTGTAGCCAAGGAACGGAACGCGTCCCCAAAGAACGTCCGTTGATGAGATGGAGCTATGAAATCTGCTCGGATTTAGAAGCCATGTGGATTCTTACCCTGGAGAATTGTCAGGGATGACGGTGGCTTGGGCAGGTCTTCGTCCAGCAGTGGATGGATCCAGGCTGATGGCGGTGAGTGTTCGCGATGAGCACAGAGGGCCGTTGTGTCTGCTGCAGGGTGGAGAAGCTGTGGAGAGACAAAGACGGGCGGGTGTGGTTCTTCGGGCCGTTCTTCATCCCTCCCGAGGACACGGAGCACGAACCGACCAAGATGTTCTACAAGAAGGAGGTGTTCCTGAGCACCGTGGAGGAGACCTGCACCATGGACACCGTCATCGGTGCGGCGTGTGTGCGTGTGTTTGTAGGTGTACGCGTGTAGGTGCGTGCGTGTCATCGTGCATGTCGGTGTGCGCGTGCGTGCACGTGTGTGTGTGCGTGTAGGCGTGTGTGTGTGTGTGCGTGTAGGCGTGTGTGTGTGTGCGTGTAGGTGTGTGTGTGCGTGTAGGTGTGTGTGCAGGTGTGCACGTGCGTGTAGGCGTGTGTGCGTGTAGGTGTGTGTGTGTGTGTGCGTGCGTGCACGTGTGTGTGTGCGTGTAGGTGTGTGTGCGTGCACGTGTGCGTGTGTGTGCGTGTAGGTGTGTGTGCGTGTAGGTGTGTGCGTGCGCGGGCGTGGTGGTGTAGAGGTTAGCACGCGGTGCTATGAACCCGGCGACCCGAGTTCGGTTGCTGCTCACGGCCACCAATTACTGTGGCGGTTATCTGAACTGGTCCTGGGCCTCCCCTAGGTTGAATCAACCTCAAATGAGTACTTGGTATGATGCGTCAACATCACTACTCGGGAGACAAAGGCGACCGGACCTGCTGCTTGCCAAGCACCAAATTGTGTGCCGTGCCGGCCTTATAAGGTGCTACTCATTGATGGCACTTGCCCCAGCAGTCTGCTGAGGCTATAGGGGGGGGATCTTTGTCTGCGCCTCCATGTCCCCCTCGGGCGCCCGCCACGGCTCAGTGTGTGCGTTGTCGTCGTTTTTGTTGCACCGTCACAGGCAAGTGCTGCGTCCTCGCCTTCAAGGACTACCTGGTGTGCCGCGCCACCGAGGTGGCGGAGCGCGACGTGTACGTGTGCGAGAGCCGCTACAACGAGGCCGAGCGCCACATGAAGCGCTTCAAGGGCCTGCGGCGATTCTCGCTGTCGGCCAAGGTCCTCGACGACGAGATATACTACTTCCGGTGAGTGAGGGGAACCCCCCACCCCCCCCCCCCCGCGATGGATTTGCAAATGCTGGGACTCGTGACCATTCACCACCCTCCTGTCCTAACCCTTCCCCCCCCCGCTGCTCAGTGAGTCATGTGTTTTTTTTTTCTCCCGGTCCTCCGGTTTTTCCCTCCGCATTTATAAAAGTGCGTATAGAGTATTTGGCTGCTATACATTTCCACATGATAAGCCAGGTCTTTGAGCTATCATTTGTGACCAGGTCGCCTCTGAAAAAGAGCTACATTGGTTTAGTGGGCCTTACCTGATAAAATAAAACGTCTAGTTAGAATAGTCGTTGAGTCAGTTATGATTATCTCGTTTGTACCATGTCCATTGTGTTGTCTTTGTCGATTGTATCCCCTCTCTCGATTGTATTGCCTGCCCCAAGTATAGGTTTCAAGGCAAGTGTATCTGTATTCAGACAAAGCAATTAAATGACTGAATCATTTTGAACTGAAGTTCTAATTGTTGCTGTTCATTGGCCAAACAAAATCATCGTCACCATCGTATTCCCTGTCTTGCCGGTGTCGGCTTTCTTTGTGACAACCGTAGGATCTGGAAGAAGGGACGAGGCGATGACTATGTGTTGTGAAATCAATGACTGTGATGACCTATGAACCATATATTGATATCGATTTAAAGCTTTCGTGACTGCAGGGATTCATCTTCTTGGTTCTTTCGGTAAAGTCACGTAGAAGGGAAATAATAAAATAATAAAAATGAAACATAATAAAATAATTCTCACGACGTTTCGGCCACAACGCTACCCCTATCCCCTCCCTTTGATGCTGCTAATCCTGCATAATGCACGGGCATAATATGACTTTGAAACCCCCTGCCCACCTCCTACTCATTCCACAAGTAGTGCTAATCACATATCTGCATTTCCCATAAATATGCTAAATTCCTCTTGATATGCAAATTATTTTGTCAAGGCGCTCTCCCCCTTCCAACCCAGCTTAAATATACGCTCCAAGCGTGGTGGTGTTTCATTCAGATGCTGTCTCCCCGACAAACCTGGTCTTCACCTGAGGACAGCTGCTTGCGTTGTGGCCGAAACGTCGTGAGAATGATTTTATTATGTTTTATTTTTATTATTTTATTATTTCCCTTCTATGTGACTTTACCGAAAGAACCAAGAAGATATATTGATAGAGAAGAGGCTCAGGTAGAAATTTCCCTCGTTGCTTCGGTCCTCGATTAATAATGGGAGAGGGGTGGCCCAGATAAACCCAAACACATGGATAACGATTAGAACCTCCGATTACCATGGTTGGCTACGTACGGTGCGAAAAAAGTTCAACATACAACGAAAATAGTGGCAGAAAATAGTTATTGTTTCGATTTAAAGCTTTCGTGACTGCAGGGATTCATCTTCTTGGTTCTTTCGGTAAAGTCACGTAGAATGGAAATAATAAAATAATACAAATAAAATATTATGTTTTCTTTTTTTTTTACTTCCATTCTACGTGACTTTACCGAAAGAACCAAGAAGATAGTCATTGTTGTTGACTGTATTTAGAAAAAGGGCACGTGGAGTGAAACATCAGACACCGTCCCGAATGAACGCCGCGGTCCGACTCGTCAGAGAGAGTAACGACTGGCGGCCCTGCGTCTCTGTGTGCCCCGTGCAGCAAGCCCATCACGCCGGCCAAGGAGCCGTCGCCGCTGCTCGACCGCAAGATCGCCGAGCTGGAGGCGCGCTTCGCGGAGCAGGACGGCGGCGTCGGTGGTGCCGGCTGCGCCGGCGGAGAGGAGGACGATGAGGGCATGGAGGAGGAGGGCGACCTGGCGGATCACGCGGCGCTCTCGCAGCTCCACGCACCGCTAACGGGCGACCTCGACTCGTCCGCGTACCTCACCCCGCAGGTGCTGACCAGGCACCCCCCCCCCACCACCACTGCAACTCGCTTTTTATTGTATCATCTTTATCTTTACAAGAGTTATCATGGTCCTCTCGTTCCAGACAGACAAGAATCATTAATAGTCTAGGCCTTGATTGGATAGCGTTAAAACGTTGCGATCCCCCTCTGCGTGACATCACAAGTAATGACAGAATCGGAATCTTTATCCTGGAGAAATCTGATGAGCGCTGAAGCTCTCTTTCACGGATGTCCAGTAGTGGCGGGTCAGAAAGTTATGTCGTCACCGCCTCGGAAGCCAAGGCAGATACTTTTTTTTGCGCTGTTTTTTTTATCGCCGAATTTTCGGGGTAACCCCCCCCTCCCCATCGCCCCTCATCTCCGTGGCACAGACGACTCCGAAGGCGGTGCGGGGCAAGGCGAAGGACGGCAAGCGTAAGACGAACCCGAGCGGCTACATCCTGTTCAGCAGCGAGATGCGCGCCGTGGTGAAGGCCAAGAACCCCGAGTACACCTTCGGCGAGCTGAGCCGCATCGTCGGCACGGAGTGGCGCAACCTGGACGCCGTCAAGAAGGCCGAGTACGAGGGTGAGTGAGCAGGAGACGAGCGCGGCGCTGGCGCTGTAGAGCAAAAAAGAAACTACTTTATTTTACCGGGTAAGGCCTACTGAACTTTATAGCTGCTTTTGAGAAGCGACCTGGCCACAAATGATGGCTCAACGAAGTGGCTTATCACGTGGGAATTTATAGCAGCAAAATACTCTAAACACGTGACGTTGATTCTAAATGTGGAAGGCAAAACCGAAGGACCCGGAGAAAAATCTGCGCGACTGCAGGGAGAGGAGACATGCAAACTCCGAATATACAGGTGTCAGGGTTGGGATCAAACCCACGACCTCATGCATACCAGGCGAGGTAGTTAACATTTCGTCACCGTGGCGCCCCATGGGGTTGCGCCTGCAGGTGGCGCCGGCTGCGCTGGTGATTTGGGGAGGTGGCCGTTTGTGAGAGGAAGAGAAGCAGCAATGGAAACAATGAGGGCAATGTTCTTGAAATCACCCCAACCTCGGCCCATCCAGCAGTATGAATGGGTACGCTGTGGTTAGTCGATCGGCAGGTCATGTGTGGCGGGGTAAAGTGTGGGTACCTCTTATAAGACATCTGGCCAGCGTGATTTTAATAAAAAATGATGCACACTAATGCCTTTTATCAACCCAAGAAATCCTCAATGGGTCTTGAGACTTGATAGCTGCATCACTGCCCCCACCTCCCGCGCACATTGCTATGCCTACTACAAGGTTGGTAACAAAAAGGGAAAAGGTAAAGGTGCAGCTCTGCAACCACTTTCCCAAACCACAGCCACAAATGCCCTTCCGCCAAGAGCGGCACCACGTGTGCCCGTAGTTTGCGAGATGCGTCCATGCGGTATGCGAAGCGCGTGTAGCCGTGCCATTTGGCGTGGTGCATGATCGCGCATGGCGCTCCTGCATGCACCCCCCGCGTGGCGCGTGTGCAGACCGCGCGGCGAAGCAGGCGGAGCTGCAGGAGAGGGAGCGCGCAGCCCAGCAGCAGCAGGCGTCGGCGTCGCCGCGCGCTGGCACGCCCTCGGGGGGCGCCATCATGGGAGTCGTGCCGCCCCCGACGCCTATGGGAGCGCTGCAGCAGCAGCTGCCCACCGCCGCTGGTATGATCGGATGGACGAATGGATGGACGGACAGACGGACGGACAGATGGGTGAATGGACGCGCAGTCAGACGAATGGACGATGGAGTGAATGAGTGAGTGAATAAATGTGTGAGCGAGTGAAGAAGCAATTGAGCAAGAGAACAAATTAATGAAATTGAGAAGAAAACGAGCAGATGAAATATCGAATGGATGAATGAACAAGCAAATTAATTAATCTAAAGTACGAGTTAGAAAATAAATGAACTAGTGAACAATAGTGCTTGAGATAGAACAAACGAGTGAGTGAGCGAACATAAGAGTGATTGGGAAAGTAAACAAATGAAATTGCGAGCAAATTAACTTGCGAACTACCGCACGAAAGTGCGAGCATTTAAACGATGAGCGAGTGAGCAAGAAAATGGACAACAACAACAGATGGGATCGACACAAACCAACCTAATTGAACAGCAAATGAGTGAGGCTGCGCCACTTGCTGGGTAAATAGTGTCACTGGAAGAGAACTTTCCCCTCCACGTGACATTTGCTCCAGAGGTCGCAAACGGGTTTTGATTCCTTACCCGTACCCGGCCGCACCAGGGTCGCAAACGGGTACCCGTACCCGGCCGTACCCTTACCCGTACCCGGCCGGGTACGGGTAAGGGTACGGGTATCGGGTACCTGATTGCGACCTCTGGAATGAAGCCATGTTGCAGGCGCGGGTGGGTTGATTCTAGGAACTTGAATTGTGAGAAGAGACAAGACGTTGGGAAATGAGTGACAAACGGTTACTCACCAGTGACTCACGGTCTACCCACCAGTGACTCACGGTCTACCCGTACCCGGCCGCACCAGGGTCGCAAACGGGTACCCGTATCCGGCGGAGTACGGGTAGCCGGGTATCGGGTAGGGTACGGGTATCGGGTACCCGGTTGCGACTTCTGATTTTCTCCCCCTTGCCATAAGTGACCAGGACCAGCCCCCCTGCTCGCCCGCCACCCCCCCCATCTCCCCCACCACCACTACCACCACTACCACCACCACCCCATTGCTGTGCACGAACTTCCCCCGACCCTTGGCGGTTGCATGAAACATCGGCTGTGGCACAGTGGTGCCGCACGGTCGCCACTCCTTCGCGACGTAACCGCATCCCATCGTGTGTGGTGTGGACCGTGAGGCTTTTGCATGACGAGTTAATGGTCCGCTGCTGAGCCACCTGCAACAAACGGCAGTGCCCTGTGCTGCCACGCATGTGTGTGTTTGTGTGTGTGTGTGTATAATACGTGTGGCTGTGTACATTGTATACGTACGGGTTAACGCACGTGGGGAGCGATCGGAAGGTCCAAAACACTGAGCCAGTGCCGTTGAGAACCTGGGTTTGAATTCGAGTTTCGGCTGCCCAACCATGATTCGAACCGGGTTCTCGTGCGTAGGGAGTTGATGGACTCAGTCACCACCGATGATGACTTCGCAAATCGTTAAATTCGCTTTTCAAATAATAATTGCTTTATCACAGCTTTTATGATACTCTTTGGTTCTTTCGGTAAAATGACGCCGGCACACAGTGGCCTGCTCTTGCGATTTACATCACTGGATCTTTAACATCCACCTTGAAGCAAGTAGCTCGTGGTTTTTATTCACGTGATTAATCTACCCGCAGCAACAATCAGGGCGACCGCTAGATTCAAACCGTGAACCTCTGCAACGAGTGGAAAACTCGCTGACCACTGGGCTATGGTACCGCCCCATTATAAATTGTAAACTAATCGCTTCATTGCCCATGGCCTTTTGGTGTCTGTATTGAATATCGTAGCATTGAGTGCGAGTGCATACACACATGCTATAAATACTCTCAGTGTTCAATTTTAGTCGTGCCTATCGCCCCTCACGTGTCTGTACATATAGAGCACGAACATGCATACGTAAGTACGTACATACAGCCGTACATAAAACATTGTAAGCGTGAGCAGAGACCATTAATCATTGAAAGGAAGGAATTGTAAACTTGTAACATCGAGCATTCATGATGCTGCCTAAGTGTAGAGAATAACCCCCAGAACCTCTTTTGAGTTAACGGAGCAGACAAGTTGCACTCCGTATAGGACAATGGCCCTCCTAATTACATTTTGGGTACATTTTTGCTTGTACCATCAGAGTGGTTCTGTATGTTCCAGCCGTTTCGTCAGGCTGTGAACCAGAAGCCACAGCCCCAGCCGTACTAATTGGTTGTACACCACCGCTGTTAGTGCTTTGACAACATCGCTTGGGCAGCATCATTATTATCCACCCCAAACGCTCTCACTGTGCATGCGCAGGCCATTTCTCATCTGCCACTCCTCGCCCTTCCCCCATTTCCCTGTTCTCCCCCTTCTCTGTTCCTCCTTCCTCCCCATTTGCATCCCCACATCTCACACCCGACCAAACAACATCCGCCTCATCCCCCCCATCCCATCCACCCCATGTCGATGGGAAGGATTCATAGGGGGCTTCCCTCCCCCGCTGGTCAGCCTACAGGGCTCCATAGAGGGGCTGGGGGCCCCTCCCCTCATTGCTCCGCCAGCCCCCATGCTGCCGTTTTACCCCCAGCCCATCGCCATCACTTCGGGTAAGGCTGCTGCGTCCACGTCACGTTCTGTGTTTTTACCGGAGCGGAATGCTTCAATCCAGATGTGCGTCTGTACGTTGGACTTATTTCGCACCGTACGATAGCCAACCGTGCTAATCGGAGGTGCGGGTTAAGGACAACAAACCAAACACAAAAAGCAGTTCTTAAGGAATGAGTTTTCAATTTATATTTAAAATTGCATGGTTCCAGTGGTTTCCTAATATCAGAAGGAAGGGCTTTCCAGACGGCAGCAGAAGCGCATCTGAAAGCGCGAATGCCGGGAGTTGCCTATCCGTGTTGTTCCCAGATTTGGAACGCGAGGAGTTTGGTTTGTGTGCAGGAGCGAGATGGATAATAGCAACACTGGACAAGGAAGGATGGGAATGGCATGGGGAAGCCTTCGTCCACCAGTGGATTGGTAGTGGCTAACGATGATGGTGCTTGTTAATGAATGAATCTCACAGGATTAGCTGTGCTCTATCTCGAGGCCCATCGCGCATTTACACGCAAATCGTGTAAGATGTTGGAAATTTACTTTCACATCAAAACAACTGTTTTTGCCATTTGTCTTACTCAGTTGAATGGGTGTAGTATGCTCAGTGCCTTGTGACAAAACGTGAAATTAGCAGGAGCTTCACAATTTAATTATGTCCACCGAGGAGATAGAGCGGTGAATGAGCTCCTGTACAGATGCCAGGTGGATTATTACATCGCAAGACTGGGAGAGACAGCGGTGGCTTGGAGAAGCCTTCATCCAGCAGTGGATTGACCGTGACTGGTTGTGATCATGGCTATGTTGAAATATATTTAGGCCACTTGACTTCATGGGGAAAGTGTACAATTCCTAGCAAGGCACTCACCAGAGCTTGCGGATATGGCATGTGCTTACGCAGTCGAGGGCAGCAGGCTTATAGGCTGCAGATTTGGCGTTGCGTGGTTAGCGGCGTAGTGTGTGTTTTGAAAAGGCCGGTGTCATCATTGTGGCTGTGGTTGTTTGCCGTGAGCAGGTGGACGTGTCATGGGGCAGCAAGTGGGGGCAGTGGGGGCAGGCCAGACACCAGGAGCTGGCTTCCAACAGGTATGCATATACATACACATGCACGCGCACATAACCACACTGGTTGGCTAGTGTGGTTATGGTTAGAGCTGGTGCCAAAGTCTGGTTTGCGAGTGTGGTCAGGGTTCGAGGTCGCGCTATGGCCTGGGTGGCTAGTAGGATTAGGCATCAGCATTTCATTAGTATCTGATTGGCTAACGTTCCCAACGGGTATGCCACCTTTTTAGAGTGTGACCCGCATTGGCAATCTCCTTTCTCCCCTTGGGCCGAGAGGGGTCACCTGCCAACGTAGCGAAAGTGACGTCGCAGTCGCGAGAATGACGTGGCGGTTGTAGCCTTTTGCAAGGTTTGTTCGCTCTTCGTTTTTGCGCGTCCACGACGGGAAACGGTCGCTCGCGTAGCTTTTTCAACGTCGCCGCACGTCGGAACAACTTTGAAATAAAGAGACCGATCAAGTTTGACGAGCGCTCATCCCTCCGCCGCCGCGCACGCACACGTCCGTCCGACGTATTTTTAACTACTCCCTTCCCTCCGCAAATTTCTTTAATTAATAACGACCCCCCCAAACTGTGTGCACAGTCTCAGCAGCCGCCCCCCCCGTACCCGGCGCCCCAGGTGGCGGTGGCGGCCGTGTCGTCACTGCCGCCGGCGCCCATGTTCGTGGCGGCGCCGCCCCGGCCCCAGCGCCTGCTGCACTCGGAGGCGTACCTCCGCTACATCGAGAACCTCAACAACGAGTGCCCCACCGTCAGCAAGTGGGAGCAGACGGTCACCGGTATGTAGGGGGGCTTCGAGCAGGATGAGAATGAGTGGGGGGCTCTCGGGGTTGGAGGTTTGTGGTTGGGGAGTGGGGCCTCAGTGGCCCAATGTTCATTCATTCTCGTGTCCTTTTACCATCTTAGATCAAGGATAAACAATCGTGGGCGCAGGCCTGCGCATGGTCCAATCTGGGTTGAAAGTGTAAATGCATCAGCTACTTCTGTCAGTCGATCTCTCTGTCGATGTGACTGTTCTACATGATGACTCATAAATATGATCCAATATGAGTGAAACTTTAGAGTAAAGTTGTGTGGCTATTAGGGACTCACCCTATAGGAAAGCAGCCATATGGATGAAAGGATTTCCTATACTGGCGCTAAAAAGCCAGCGTTAAAAGGATAATCCTTCAACGAGAACCTCAATCAGTGCCCCACCGTCAGCCCGTGGGAGTAGACGCTTGCCGATTATGTGGGGGGCTTTTGAGATTTTGGGGTGGTTGAGGGGCCTCATATAAACAGTCATTCTGGCAGAACGAGTGCTTGACATTGATGAAGCTGTCAGGGCTTGAGGTTCATGGGAACACTGAACGTGGTAGTAGCAGGTAAAAGAGTGACGAAGCAGTGACTGAACAGCAGTGAGAGAGCAACTGGAGTGAATCTGCGTTTAGACGCATCAGTCAACTACACCGATTTACTCTGGATTTTATCGGTTGGTTAGGTGAACACACCACCGCGATGATGGCGATGGTTTTGCCGGTCTCTCTGCCGTAGCAGCAGTGGCTTTTTTATTGTGTAATTTGCATTCATTTAATTTTCCACTTAAGTATCTTCCAAAGGTGGGTTTTTTGTTGCAAATTGTTTTTTCAAGAAATTTTCATTTCTATTTAAATGTAACTTTTTGTTATTGCATTGTATATTCACTTTGTTTTAATTACAGTTGTAAGACATGCCTATTTTTATAATTTAATTCTGCCAACGTTTGCATTCATAACCTTATTTCAATATTTTGGTTTCCCCACCTCTTCCCCCCCCCCCCTTCCTCCCACATTCCTCTTCCCCTGTCTTGCCTCTGAATAACTTCCACCCCTACGACCTCTACTTCCTGCCCTCCCTTGCTGGTGGGCGCGCCCCCTGACCTCTCCGTCCGCCCCTTGCCCTTTGCTTGCCGCTGACTCCCCGTGACTCTTGACCCCCGACCTTCATCCGGCACCCCTCGTTGCCGGTGCAGCGCGACGGGAGGATGTCCCCCTGAGCCGTGAGCAGGAAGCACGCCTGCCCACACACTGGCTGCAGGGCAAGGGGGCGCACAACAGCCTGGCGCACGCGCTCTGGCGCCTGCGCGACATCATGCTGCGCGACGCCCTCAACATCCGGCAGGCGCACTCGCTCGACTGCGACTAATGCACACTAACGCTGCCCCCCCCCCTCCAAGTGCATCCCCTCTGATCGCCGTCCCACACTGCCACCACCGCTGTCACCGTCGCCGCCTCATCTGTCCCCTCCAACACTTTCTCTCTCCAGCGCCACCACCACCACCGTCCTCGTCACCACTGCCATTGTCGCTACCACTTCCGCCACCATCACACCTCTCTCTTTCCACCCACCGCCACCTCTATCTCTCACAATATCTATCCTCTCTGACCCTATCCCCCTCCGCTAATACTACCACCACCACCGTGTTGGCTGCCACCTCCATTGTCGCTGGTGCTTGCTGCCACCTCCCCTCTCCCACTACCAAATCTCCCTCCACGACCACTACTCTTACCACCATTCCACTGCTAGCACCACCACCACCGCCATCCTCGTCGCCACCATCATTCTTGCTGCCACTACCGCTGCCACCACTGCACAGGATCTGGCGAGAGGGACCATCGGGCCGGCGGGTGCTCGGATCTGTTCCGGGGTCGATGTAGCTGGCGCTGTTGCCTGGACATCGCTGCCATCGTCATCATTCAGCCATCCCCATCATTCTGGTTGTTCTGGTTGTTCATGGCGCTGAGTTTGGCAGCGCCGGTGTAAGCCGAACGTCTTTGCTGACCGTGAGATATCGCCATCTTTGACAACATGGTGGCAGCACGACAACGACCACGTTGCAAGTCGCTTCTGCGCCCGGCGCAAATGCAGCAGGAACGACAGGAGTAACGCTTGCACCGATTGTTGACACAGGCGGCCGGACCTCAGTGCCACCTATGTCTGGTTGCGGCGCCAGCGGCCCCGGTTCCAGCTGTTGTTGGCGTCGTTGAGGATCAAGCATGCGGTGTTTCTTGGCTCCAGGTCCTGTCTGTATGGAGAGGTTGAACCACTTTGTATCGTTTATTGTGAGACTGAACAGGTTTAGGGTTCGTTGGAAAATCAATAGGGTCAGCGTTCGTGTGGAAAATGAGACATTGTATCAACAGGGGGTTTAGACCGTGAAAATGTTGACTTTGGAAGAACAAGGTTTCACTATAATTTAAAAAAATATCTGACTGTCACAATATTCTGCCAGTTCTTTCTCACTGCCAAGAAGAAAGGACCGCTTCCCCAAACGTGAGCTTGTTTTGTATACTTTTTTTATTTAAACTATTCGGCATGGTTGTTAATGAAAAGAAGGGCGAGGTGATATTGCCCCTGGTGAACGCTCTTCTGCCAACACGGTCCCTTAATGTCTATTTTATCTAGGGCTGCCTCGATATGGCAATGCTACGACATAGCGCATGATACAAGGTCCATGGTAATCCTACCGTCCTCATTGAGAACATCAAGGTGATTGTGGCAGACAATTTGAAGAAACGTTTCAGAGTAAATAGCAATTACAAATCTAGGTAGTTCTTCACGGGACTGTTTCGGAGCGGCTGATGGCGTGTTGCTTTGATTTTGGGTCGTGGTTGAGCATGCGCCCCCCCCCCCCCCCCCGCTTGTTTGCAGAGTTTCACGGTTCGAACGCAGAAGCCCGCCCTGGTTATTGCAGCGGGTGCATGAACCGTAATAACACCCTGCGCGCTGTCTGCTTCACAGTGGACATTGAAGACCTCGTGATGTCGTTGGCAACAGGGGGCCGTTGTGTACTCGCATCGTGGGTCCAAATTTGCAAAAATTACTGCACGTTACTCAATTGAAATACTATATTCAGTTTAGCAATCATTGCCCTCAACTTGGCAAATGACCATAATACGTAACATTTTAAAAGCGTGTGTGCATTGTAAGCGTTTTAGGTTGTACACAATTATGGCTGGCTTGCGGTGATGGAAATGCTATTTTTATTTGTTCTGAAAGTGACAAAATCACAAAAAACGATACATTAATAATACAGTTACAAAGTTATTTAAAACCGATATCGTAATATTTGATATCGTATCGTGAAAATGTATGTCGTGCGAAAACCTACGGTTGTATTTTTTTTACTCGACGAGCCGTTCAGGCTGAGTTTTAAGAGTCCACCGCAGAGTTCAACCGCAATGTGATGGGGTGAATATGAATCTCACCGGGGTCTTGCCAGTTCCCTTGCGTCATCTAAAACTAGACTTTTTATTTACCAGGTAAGCCCCACTAAGCTATGTAACTCTTTTTCAGAAGCGACCTGGCTATCACGAATGATAGCTCAACGACGTGGCTTGTGTGTAAATTAATCGCAGCCAAATATTCTAAATTCATGTTTATAAATGTGGAAGGAGAAACTGGAGGACCCGTAGAAGAATCCACGCGACCACGGGGAAATAAGACGTGAAAACTCCAAATATACAGGCGTCAGGGTCGAGATCAAACCCACAATCTCCTGTATACCAGGCGAAGTTGTTAACATCTTGCCACCACGGCGAGATGGTAACTAGGTCAAAAAAGCCACCTATCTCCGTCTCCGATAGCATTTCCTATCCTCGGGCTAGAGGTGACGACACGACAGCCGTAGTTCTTCATATTCGGACAGGTGTTCCTGCCAGGCCGCACCGGGGGCATATTTGTAAGAAAAACAAACCAATGATAATGTGGAAAAACAGATAAAAATCGATCAACATTTCCTACGGTCAATTCAAACATCAACACCCGTGTATTTTTAGACATTCCTTGCCAAATGCACGCGTTGCGTGTTGGGTTGTGTGTGGTGTTGGGTGTGTAGTGTTGCATGGCATCATTGAGTAAGACACAGAGACTGGCATGGTGTGGTCGGGGGTAGCAGTCGCCATGCCCGGTCATCTTTGTCTCCCCAAAGATGATGTTTACACACTGCACCATGGACCCATTTAAGGCAGAGCCAGTCCGAGACTGGATAGCACTTGCCACGGATTGTGTGCATTGGCCATATACAAAGTGGCACTGGGGAGACAACAGGTGGGCGGGCATCGATCTGTATTATGGGCATGATGGATCTGTTGGCCACGTCGGGTTTGCCAGCTGTCTGCGTTTAACAGTCCCGAAAATTGGCATCCTTCGGGTGACAGATTGATTTGTACTCAGATCTGTTGGTATTGTGTTGAACGTTATAACCGTGAACTGCACGGTTTTAGTACACGCTGGCTGACTGATAAATATGTCCAGGTTGTGTCTGCAAGTTGGGAGGGGGGGGGTGGCAACCCTATGGCCACACCACCGACTCGTGCTCCGTGTCAATCGTAATAGGTGCTCGCTAACATCACTCGCCCCGACAGTGACTGTTCGGGAGATTAATCTTCGTATTTGTGCGCGGTCCAGGTGTGCCTTGCGTACTTGCGTATACAGGCGCAGGCAGTTGCGTGGGTCACATGTGGTCATCATGCCTTCTGGGTGTGCGTGGTAATTTGAATGCTCCTACCCGTTCTCGCGGTAAATGTTCCACTGCCGTACCGTGCCGGGAAATTGTCGTTGTGTTCATATTTGAAGGGGACCGTACTCTGCCTGCGTGAGTGCGTGTGGTGCATAACAAACGCAGAGTGGCGGGACATTGAGTTAGCGCACTCCGCTCCGAACCGGGCGACACGAGTTCAATTCCCGCTCGCCACCAAACTACATTTGGCGAATATTTGAACCGACCCTCGGCCTCCCCGAGGTCGACTCAGCCTCAAAGTAGCCGGGGAGACAAAGACGACCGGGCGTGGTTGTTGACCCAACGCCCCCCTGCGTTGTACCACCCTTAATAGAATGCTCGCTAACAGCTCTTTCCCCAGCAGTATTTGACGGCTATACGGGGGATATTTATCTTTGTGTGGTCCATACACGTGTACCTGCTGAATCGTCTCCTCGTATGTGTGACCTCGTGTTTGGACCAATACCTGCGGTTGTGTTTAAGGTAACGTGTGTGTGTGTGTTTATTGTTATTGTGTGTGTGTCAGCGTGTATTAACCATGAGCGTTTTTTTGTTTGCATTTTATGGGAAAATTTGTATACAAAAATAATACCACGAAGGACATTGGTAATGGAAATAACACAAAAAAATAAATATGTTCATTGTTCATCATCTTGTGGGTGTTGTTGTGTTTCTCGTGTTTGAAAACTACAAGAAACGATGTCAGAAACGTGACAAATACGCCCGTAAAGTTGGATAAAAGAAAGGTCGTGTGCAATGTGGTGTCAATTGACCAATCGTAATTTACTATATTACGAACAAATCATTAAATGATGTGTAACTCTAAATCATAAACTGCGTTGTTGTGGAGAGTATAAATACCATAAGCACACAAAATGTCTATCCGGATTTTCACAACACAAGTCCGCTTACACAACCCATTCGCCTGTCTGGGAGTGCATCATTTCAGCAGCACTGGTTCAAGTCGAGCAAAATCTGGACTGGTTTCGATAATTCTGATGATACTGAATTCACGCCTGTCCAGCCCTGGTCAGTGCCTTCTTATTACAGACTAATTCAGATCTTGGTCAGCATCCTGTGATCTTATCAATCTGAACGTTCATCCTACAAAGTCCCATCACAAGGGAGAAACACAGACAATCACCACTAGTACACTCACCACTAGTGTACACTCACCACTATATACCTTTTTCGATTTAAAGCGTGACTTTACCGAAAGAACCAAGAAGATGAATCCCTGCAGTCACGAAAGCTTTAAATCGAAACAGAGCACGTTTGTTTGCGTGTTCACCACAACTATCGTTAATTGCAAACGGTTTCTCATTGATATTCATATTTTTTGGGTCTTTCGGTAAAGTCACGTGGATATAAGAAAAATAATAAAGTAATAAAAAATCACGACGTTTCGATCGCAACACAAGCAATCGTCTTCAGGTGAAAAATCTCCTTTTAAAAAGTTTTTTTTTTAATACAACGGTTTTTATTAACAAAACTTCGTTTAACTTCACGGTCGAGAAGTACGTCAATGATGCGGTGCCTGCTCCCACATCAACATTTACTTGAATTACTTGATTATTTGATAAATGAATCTTCAATGTAGAACTTTTACTGGTAGGAACCTCCTGGTTACACCAGCCCACAGGGGATTATTGTGTCCGTCGTGCAGGGAGGGGCTGGGTGGGGAGGGTGGGGAGAGGCTGGGTGGGAAGGGGAGGGTGGGGAGGGGCTGGGTGGGGAGGGGCTGGGTGGGGAGGGGCTGGGTGGGGAGGGTGGGGAGGGGCTGGGTGGGGAGGGGTTTGGTGGGGAGGGTAGGGCTGGGTGGGGAGTGGGAGGGGTGGGGCTGGGTGGGGAGGGGCTGGTCACCCCGTGGTGCCCTTATAAAACTCAACGTTTAACCTACTCCCGCCGGCTTGTGCCCGCCCTCACAGTCGGGCATATTTGCGGAATACACCACGCCGCCGTTGATCCTGGCCATTGACCGAGCAACCCAACGTTCCTACCAGCTCCCTCCGCAGGACAATGTGTTGTTTGTGTGGAGGGTGCCCGTAACTCGTTCACATGGAGCAAGGCACGTGGTGCCTGCTTCTTGGGCGAGGCGATTCGAGAGTCTAGGGACCGCGGCGTTTTTTTACCTACACAAATATATAAATAAATATTCAGGCGTCCATACAAAATGTAAATTACTTTAAAGTAGCGAATTAAATTATCAATTGATGCAGATTTTGATCCAAGCATGCATTGTCACCGGATCTGAGTACTTGTGCAAAACTTGGAATTCATTGGACAACAGGAAGTAGACTAACGTTTGATTACAAGATTTGACCACGACACAGGAATCAATACTCTTTGGTTTTTTCGGTAAAGTCACGTAGGTAAAAATAAAAATAAATGAAATCTCGATTTGAAGTGTTCGTGACTGCAGGGATCCATACTCTTAGGTTTTTTCGGTAAAGTCACGTGGGTATAAAATAAAATAAATTAAATCACAGACGTTTCGATTACAACACAAGCAATCAAGTTAAGTAAAACCGTTGAAAAATACAGCAGGAGGACTGCTGAGGCAGGAATAAATGTAGCGAGAGAGCAACTGCAGCCGAAAGTTAAATATGTTTGAGATGAGTACAACCCAAGGGTAAGTGGGCGGGGCTAGAGATGGAATTTGCAAGTACTATAAATGTAGGATCGCAGAGCTCGGAATACCTCGGCTAATTACGTCTGCATTCACCACAATACTTGTGGTCAGAATGCAAACAAAAATAAAGGCGATCAGTATTACCTCGGTGTCGCGGCATCTCTTTAGAGAAGTGAACGAATCGATAATTTTTATTCTTAGGTTTTTTCGGTAAAGTCACGTAGGCAAAACATAAAAATTAATAAAATTAAATAAAGATCACGACGTTTCGGAGGCAACACAAACATCGTGATCTTTATTTTATTTTATTTTTTATTAATTTTGATGTTTTACCTACGTGACTTTACCGAAAAAACCTAAGAATATGAATCATTGCAGTCACGAAAGCTTCAAATCTAGAATCGATAATTTTTGTCTCGGAGTTTGTTCAAAGATCGAATGGTTATGTGGCAACCCTCCCCGTAGATGCGGTGAAATCTTGACTTAAAGCTTTCGTGACTGCAGGAATTCATATTCTTTGGGTCTTTCGGTAAAGTCACGTCGATATTATTTTTTTACCTACGTGACTTTACCGAAAGACCCAAAGAATATGAATTCCTACACTCAAGAAAGCTTTTCAGATTTTTTCATTTGAGTTTGGATCATTTACAAATCGCGTTTCGCTCAGCGCGCGCACGCGCCTCGTCGCTTCCCGTAACATTCGTTCGCGTTGCAAACCCCCACTGCGCATTGGCGACGGTCGGCGAGCTCGCCGGCTGGATTGGCTGGCGTCGGTCACGTGGGCAACCGCGCCGACCAATCGCGCGGCTTCGTCTCCACGCGATCACTTGTGCGTTGTATGAAATCCACGCCTCGTCCGCGCCAGTTTAAGTGTGTGGGGGTTTCGCTCGCTAACAGTCGACTCGAGTTGACAATCTCAGCGCCGCGGTGGGACGCAACGCGCGGCAGCAGCAGCAGCAGCAACAGCGGCGCGGCTTACCGCCCCCGGGCGAGCGGGAAGCGACACGGGGAGGCGCTGAGCGAAGCGCGCGGGCTTGGAGCGAAGCGAGGATTCGCCCGGGGCCTAGGCCAGGCTTCGCCCAGGCGAGTGCCGAGTCTCATTGAAACGAACGATGAGGGGGGTTGCGTGGTGTGTGCGTGCGTATGTTCACGCGTGAGTGTTCACACGTGTGTTCACGCGTGTGCGTACAAGTACTTGCCACCTTGACATGCCCGTGCAAAGTAATTGTACAAAGTACACCTAGCCTGGCACTGCCGCCACCGCTATTCAGTGGTGAGTGGCCACCGTTAGGACGATTGTGTGTGTACAGTAGGGGGTACAGCTGGTGCATCTATCAGTCATCTCAGTCGGTCCACCCATGGCACCTGCTGGGTCTGCCCCGAGACCTCCTGTCAGCAGCGAGCACTTAGACACTTCACGTGGCCTCAAAGTGCACCTGGCCTGGCACAGGCGCCGTGGTGATGTCACGGTCACTTGGTGACGAGTGGCGGGTTGTGGTACACGTGTGTGTGTGTGTTAGCGCGCGTGTGTGTGTACACACTGGCACAGGTGGTGCATCGGCCAGTCTTCTCAGTCCCCTGACACCCTGCAGTCCACTTTCTCACACACCTAGCCTGGCATAAGCGTCGCTACGTCATGGCGATTGTTACGTGTCAACGATTTAAGCCTTGATAATTCTTCAGTGAAACGTGTTTAGAGCATTTTCAGGCCCGTGTTGTTATACTCCTTGTGCCACGTAGGGACATTTGCCACTGGGAGGGCCCTCGGCTCCTAGACTCCCGCAAGGCATTGGAATGGTTGAAATGAGAATTGATGTCCGGCGATTTGAGATGCTCAGGCATTTTACCAAGCGCCCTATACATGTTTTTTGTGTTTAGTTGTCCTTCCCCTGGACCTCCGATTAGCACGGCTGGCTACGTACTGTTGCGAAAGAGGTTCAACGGACATGCATAACGCACCCTTATCATTGGACCCGTGCCTTCCTGAGCCGCTTTACTCTGAGCGAGCGTTTGCACCTCGAATCATAAACTATTCTGAGTCTCTGTGCCAATTGTCTGAAAGCGACTCCCCCCCCCCCTTCTCCCAACTTGTGTAGCTGCAGCGAGGAGGGCGCGACGATGTCGCTGTACGATGATCTTCGCGTGGAGAGGAGCGACTCCAAGACAGAGGGATGGTCCAAGAACTTCAAGCTCCTGCAGTCGCAGCTGCAGGTTAAGAAGGCGGCGCTCACACAGGCCAAGGTAACAACCCCCTACTCCACCCCAACCCTCAAGTTTGTTACGGTCTAACACTTGAACAAACTCGTCATAATAATTAGTCATGGTCGTTCCACTGCTGGATGAAGGCGTCCCCAAACCGCTGCCATCTCTCATGATCTTTTGATGTAATAATCCACCTATCGTGCCCATGAGCTCATTCACTCCATTCTGGATTTTACACACTCGGGACAATATATTCTAGAGCTTAACACAATTATAGATTGATGGATGGCTTGATCATGGCTGTGATGATAATTATTGGAATGCCAATAACACTTTCATGTAACTGCTTTGTTTTTGTTTTTTTGTTTTTTCGGCAGAACCAGAGGGGCAAGCAGAGCACAGTGCTGGCACCTGTGGTTGACCTCAAGCGCAACTCGGGTTCAGACGAGCGGACGAGTTTCCCTGAGCCGCCGCCGCCTCCGCCAGTCGCCACCACACCCAAGGTGGTGCCGCCTGTGAACCGTTTACCCCCACTGTTCGCGGCGGGAAATAGAAATAATCGAGGGTCATATGAAATTAAATTGTGGGTCGTCTACGAAATGATGTAGCGGGTCGTATCTGACCCACTGGCTGTAGGTTCCTCAACGCTGCGCTAATATCTGCGCCCTTCTCTGGGTTGAGCAGGAGTCCGGCGCCGCACAGATGGCCTTCATGGGGGAGATGCTGATCCCCGTGGCGGATGAGTACGACCCTATGTACCCCAACGATTACGACAAGGTGGTAAAGCGGCAGCGGGAAGACCGACAACGCCAGCGTG